TAACATAGGGTCTGTCACCTGTCTTTCCTTCTGATAAATACATTCTGGGTTTCTCAATCTTTCAATTTACGGATACAGGATATAAAGATTTCATAGATCTAATCTCAATCAGCACTTACCACGAAATTTCTCAGTTGACTAGCCAGGCAGCTAAATAGTAGAAATACTACATAATTACTTAATTAAATGCTTGGATTACAATTTGGGAACATTTTAACCTACTATGCCTGTTCGTTTACCTCTTCCATTTATTTCCTTAAAAGTGTTTTTAATTCAACTTTTCTTTACTGAAGGAAGTATTGAACTGAAAGAGTTCTGTATTGCGCTAGTCCTGTCTAAAAACACGGACCCTTAGTGCAAGTTTTTAGACTAGACTCTCGGTTAGATACAATTCTATGATCTCTTATGAATGCAAATATTTGGACATTTACTCAAATAGTTGTGCTGCTAATGAAAATCTTTGACTATAGTTGCGCATTTCTGACGGCGCATCAACGAAAAGGTTTTTAAATTTGACAAATATTGGATATTTTTGGATGTCCATATTATTTGAAAATGATCAATATTTGAAACAAATTCAATTCCAAAAAAAAGGTAACTTCTTTTAACGGACTCGACCAGTTAGTATTTTTGGCTATTGAAGGGGGTTATGCTATGTATTCGAAAGTCTTGCCCCTTTTTAAAATTTCTTCCCCAGATATAAACCTATACATACTTGTATATAGGAAACCTAATTCCCAAACCATAATTTGTGTTTGAACCAGGGACCGCAAATACTATCATGATTATATTGTAGTTTTTTTTTTTTTTTGTTAACTAAAAAATCATTCACTTATAGTAATTTTGAGAAAGCAAGGAATTTACGAATATCCTTTTTTAGGATTATCTATCCATTTCCAGCATGATTTAAAAAATGTAATTTTTATTTATTCTCTCAACATTTAGTGATTAGTTTTGAGTTTAATTTTACAACTGAGCTGAAAGCCCTGGCAGCTAGTGCTCCAAATTTAAGTAGGTTAAGAATTAATTGTTAACCTTCTCTTTTATAAATAAATAAAATTATTTATTGTTTATTTTATATTTTAATTAATTAATTAATGAAATTAATTTGATTTTTGTAATTTTTTTGTGGTACAGGGTATTTAAGAGGTGAGCCCGCTCGACTTCTTGTTTTTATAATAATACTTATAATGATTACAGTCCCAGGTTTTAACAAAATATACAAATGATGATCAATTGAAAATATATTTATACAATATAGATATATGTCTAATATAGTCTCTCAGTTTTGTTGTATTGTTCAGTTCAATAATTTAGCCAACTTGTGTGGGAATGTTGCTTAAAGCTTTGGCCGTGCAACTACTTGTATAAAAAGTTGCAAGTGTTTCTGCCCGAGGACATGCTACAATATTCTAATAAAGAGAGGATAAGCTACATGGACCAAGGCGGTGGCAGCACCCAACGTTCAAAACTTTCAACAATCGCATAAGCACACGCACACACATACCCATACACATACATATGCACAATGTGTGTGTGTGTGTGTGTGTGTGTGTGTTTGTGATTGTGTTTGTGTTTGGGTCTCAATATTGAAATCTTACAATATCTTTCAATAAAATATGTAGATGCCCGTCTTCCTTGCTGGGGCCCCCACCTTCTCAAGTCATGCGCTCCATGTCGCCTCCAATGCCTCGATATGCTTTTTTTTAGCAAATTGACAGGATGGCAGGCAACTGAGTTTTACGGCCGACACAAATGCGCAATAGCAGCAGCTGCCAAAACCCCACCGGCCCCACTTTCTCCTGGCAGATACGCTTCGGTCAATGCCAATATTATTAGCCTCTGCCTTCTCGCATTGTGGCAGCCTGTTCGCATTCGCCCCCATGCCCCATGCCCCACGCCCCTCGCCGGCTGCGTTTGTGGGTTGTCGTCTGCTTTGTGACACATTGACGTTTCGCATGGTGCTGGGTTTGGTTTGGTTTGGTTTTGGCTCGGTTCGGTTTCTTTCGGTATGGTCTGGGCTGGTCTGGTCTGGTCTGGGCTGGAGTGGAGTGGTGGCACTAGCGGCGGAGGATTTCATTTAAATTTGCTGTCAACGCAATTACTTACCAAGAAAACGGAGCGCGCTGCAACTACAGCTAGACTTGCCTATAAAAAACTTAAGAATTCACATTAGGGATCGGTTGTAAGCAATCCTCCAAGGAACAATAATACTTAGTCTAGGCTTTCAAGAGACGTTTTCTCAATTGACTCTTTGGCATATGTGTGTTGGAGTTAGAATAGCCACCGAGTTCAAAAAACCGACGTTCTCAAAACGTTTATTTAAGCCATTCTGATACTACGCCACTTTTTAGTTCCTTTAGCTGGGTCAGCAGGTTTCCCAGTTTCCATTTAAAATACTTGTAAATTTTATATTCATTTTAATTTTCTTAAGAGTGTTTCATTACAACTTATATCTAGGACTTACATTATTAGCTCTCTTCGATTACTCCAATTTATTATCATTTTGAATTTCAAAATTAAAATTCCTTAATAGTTTCCTGCTATGCTATTTCAGAAAGAAACCTAGCCATAAAGACTTAGGATTATTCTTAATAACAAAAGCTATGAATAGAATAAAGTAATACAAATGTTTATGAAAATTTATCTTAAGATAACAAAAGTCTTGATTAATGTTCAATACTATTTAAGACTGTTCTTCCATACGCTGTTTTAAATTAATATTTCCAACGCTCTGTGCGTTTCGTTCTCTTGATTCTTGTATTCTTTTAACGCTACCTACAGCACTAGCTGACCAATTTGGAAGAGCATGAAACTCTTAATCTCAGGGAATGGGTGGTCGCCCTACTCTTATGAATTGGTACTCTCTTAGCAGTCAGCCCTGGCTTATCGAATGCTCCCATAAGCATAGGACAATAGTACATTTCCAGACGATCACCACAGAATGTGGATTGATTTATTATAAGTATTATATCTTTTTTTTTTTAATAAGTTGAAAAAACTCGGCTCTGCTATTTGTATAATAATCTTATGAGATACATAGAATGTTTCTCAGTGAATGGGAATGAAAAGGGCACTGGTTTTGACGAGGCTCTACTGTGTATCTTTGTGAGTATTTGTATATGTTAGTATGTATGTATGTGTGTATACTATATAAGCATCAATAATGCTAAGAGAGTGAGAGGAAAGTTGAGCGTAGGTGTTGTCAGTGTCTCGTTGATATGCTGTGTATTGGGATCTCGCACTTAAACTCTGAGCTTTAGGTTTCTGTCGTTCACCAACACTCCCCTGTACCCAGTCCCCAGTTCCAGGTCCCCAGTTCCAATTCCCCAGTCGCCATTCCCCCGCATTCGCTCGCTTAGTAAGGAGTAAGCCAGCGAGTCAGTCAGTCACTCACTTGAGTTGAGCCGAATGAATGTGAATTTATATTGATTCGATTTATTGTTGCGACCAAACAGTTCACTGAGGGCGAGGCGTGCGTTTCTCTCCTCACACATCATCCCCTTCCTCCTCTTCTTCGACTACAGTCCTTCACTGCTTGCGCAGCCAGTAAAGTAGACAGACAACATTTTAAACATTTTTGCATGCAACTTTATGCACAACATGCCAAGTATCTGGCAATAAATAAAAAAAAAACAAAATACAGAACATGTCGGGCCATAAACGACGCCCATGCGAGGGGGCGTATGAAATAATGAAAGGAGGACAAAAAAAATGCCAACGCGCAACAATAAAATTAAGAAATTTTCAATTTATGCGCGAGACACCTGACAACGGCTACGACTCCCATATGTATGTATGTGTGTGTGTGCGTGTCTGTGTATTTACGTACATACTTATATAAGTAATATGTGTGAATGCCACACACAACCCCCCCCCCTCCCCCTTCTCCACCACATTTCCATAACATCTAACCAATACATTTGTGCGTGCATGCTTTCAAAGCCCCTTTGAGCTCGTTAAGCGTTTTTATTACCTTTCCTGCTTAATTATTTTTTGCCAGAATTGTAGACTTCGCTGCGATGGTGAAGGGGGCCCAAGGGTGGGGGGATTTCGGAAAGAGCAATTCCTCGACTCCTCGGCTGTGTATTGTTTTTGGGTGCCTGCTGAGAGGTCATGTCAATAACTTGTATCATGTGCTTCACATCGTCAGAGATCCGCACCAAATTGCTTAAGTCCCCATAATGCCAATGTCAGACAAGTGCCCAAGGGACTTGTACAATTATATTAATAATACACATACTCGTACTCCCTAGCACTCTCCACCTGTGCTGTCTGGCTCTTTATTGAGTATCGGGTTTCGGTTTCAGCTCTCAGTGCTGAAATATTCATTTAGTCATTTGGCAATTTCTGGAAATCTCTCACTGTTTTTTTTTTTACGTGGCTTTTACTTTTTCTCCCAGCCCCCGTGATTTTTAACATTTTATTCTCCCACAAAATCTACGGGTTTTTCATGAAATCAAACCACAACTATTTCATCCCTTTCTGTTTACCTTCGTTTTATATTGTTTTAACTTCATCATCCATCCTCTCTTTCGCCATTTAGATTTCCACTCTTATCTTTGATCTTTCCTCTTCTCTTCATAGGATTTTTATTTTTTGAAAAGGGAATGATTATTTTTGTTGGATATGGATATGCATTAATACTAGCATTTCTAGTGGTAACATATTTATTCATTCTTCCTAGATATATTCTTTCGTATCCATATCAATTTTCCCTCCCCTTTTTCTGTTATTGTGTCTTGCTTCTTTCATATTCTCATGTATCATCTCAAGTTTCGTTCGCCCCTATCTGTAGTTCCTTTTCTGCTTTTCAATTAAAGCTTCATCGGCTTGGCTTTATTTATTTATTTACATTTCATGTCTCCCGTTTTCCCTTGATTTTCCTTTTCTGAGGCTTTTCCCTGTTCATCTGCGCTTGCCTTTCCCCTTATATCCACACACTTTTCTGTACTGGCACATTCTCAAAACTTTGCTCTACATTTCTCTGCCCCCAACAGGATATGGGAATATCGCACCACGCACAACACTGGGTCGCATCGTAACGCTGGCATACGCCTTCTTCGGAATACCACTAACACTTGTATATCTGAGCAGTACAGGCAGCATCTTGGCTCGAGTGGCTCGCGAAGTATTCTCCAAGGCACTCTGCTGCTGTCTCTGCTCCAATTGCGGTTACTGTTGTTACGATGAGAAGCGCATGGCGGAGAAGGAGCGACGGATGAAGCGGAAGCGCCAGCAGGAGGAGCTGCGCAAACAGCAGGCAGTAATGCAGGAGCCGTACTATGTGCGCGACGTCTACCATGCCACTCCCGAGAAGCAGGCAGGTGGCGGCGACATCGGTGGCGGAGCCGGCCCCTCGGCCAACATGCCGCCGCCGCCTGCTCCCACGTCCCTTCCAGCTGACATTGACTCTTTGAGCGCCAGCGAGTCGCGCGGTTCGATGCATGGCTTGAGCATATTGGCCCCCATCCTGCTCTGCTTCTCCATGATGATTATCTACATTGTGTTTGGTGCGGCCGTACTCTATCGGCTAGAGAATTGGCCAATTATCGATGGCATCTACTTCTGTTTCATGAGCCTGTCGACCATAGGGTTCGGAGACATGTTGCCCGGACTGCGAAGGGAATCGAACGCAACCACCTGGTTCTGCTCCGTTTATATAATGTCGGGCATGACCTTGACCGCCATGTGCTTCAATGTCATACACGAGGAGATCGTGCATCGCATTCGCATTGTGGTCGAGTTCAAGAAGACAAATACAGCGGCCAATGGCGTAACTGGAGGCTCCATGATAGACGTGACGCACGAGGACGGGCAGTACTTTGTACCCGCGTCCTGACACTACGAGAAGCGCGGCAATCTGTACCAGCGCAATCCCACCGAAGAGACACTGGTAACAGGTAAGGAGATCCAAGCTATACAGCTCAGTTCAACGAATTAGATCTCTAAATGCATATTCTAATAGCTTATATTAAGAAGCAGACCTTTCTTTTGGCACCACTTTTGGACTGGCTCGGCATTACGAATACTGCACAGACAACTTACACAGATTTTAATATATTTTTTAAAAACCTGTTCCTATTGGAATTAACATACTTCCTTGAACTAATGTTTTTCCCCGAGTCAAGTCCATCGGCAACCAATCCAAAACAGATGTACGACCACTACTAAATTCGTAAGGTCAATACTTGTAGCTCGTAGTTCTTATAAATGGATATGGCAGCCCATCTCCTTCTTTATTTCAAAACTGAAACGAGCATCTCATTGAGCACAGCCCAATGCCTTTATTGTAACTCAAAATTTTAGAATTACCCATGAACTTAGATTCAAAATGAAAACACTTTTTAATGTTAGTTCCGATTAAATTCATCGCGTTCCCACTAAAACGTTCGTGAAAATTCTTAGGTACGACATCAGTAAATAATAAATGTAAAAAGACATTTGCAGGAGAAGCGTTCTAAAACATACTATATAGTATGTTCTTTAAAAATGAACTTATTAAGTTTTTATAAAAGTAGGTTTTGCACTCACAATTTTCGTTTATGGGAGACTAAATGAAGAAACCCAAAGATCATTCATTTGCAGAAAGAAGCAAGCTGGAATACTCTTAAACTGAATGTAAAAGCTATTCTTAATCCTCGTTGAAAATGTCAATTTATTTATAAGTGGAAACGTTCAAGTTTATCTGCCAAATCGCACGTAATCCAAAATTACGCGTTTCCATAGAAATATGACAATTTTATGAATTTATTTCATGAAGCGAAGTTTTTTCGAATCAAATATTTACTGATCTCAGTTCTGGCAGCACTCAGGACAGTCGTGCAGTTAGGACGCCCATCTTTCCCGCCATGCCAAATAAAATCGAACCTATAAGTCAGTCCTTAGCGGTCCATCCCGCATGACTGAAAAAAATGAAAACCAAACGTTTGAAACATTAAGTGCTTTATTCAATCATGCTGTGTCGTGAGTGGGGCTCCAAAAGTATAGAAATATCGCCTTGAGTATATTTTTATTATATTTTTTATCAAAAATTCATAAATTTGAATACAAATTTATTAAATGACTAAATGGAGCTTCTGTTACTAACAACAAAAATTGCTAATTTAAAAAAAAAAGGTCCAAGCTAATCCACTAATCAATTGAAACCCATTTCACCGCGAACCCAAATTCCGACATTTTTTCAGCAGTTTTACAAAATTTTGAAGTTTTCATTGTAACTGGCTTGATAAGCTTTCCATTTAAATGGCTGAAGCAGCCTTTAACATTTTAAATTTCAAATCAAATAGACGAAAAAGCGGCAGCACTGCTCACCGCGTTCAGGTAGCACTTTATTATTTAGTTTGGTAGCACTTTAATTGTTTTCTTTGCAAATGTGCATTTGAATTTCAAATCTAAATATGCATATAAATACTTAAAACTAAACCGAGTAGAGTTGTCATGTTCCCAATAATTGAATATTTTTTGTCCCCATTAGACACGCCCACTTCGCTGGTGCTGGCCGCAACGACAGACAACCCGCCCATGCATCTGCTCAAGGACTATGTGAACCATGAGCTGGTGCCCATACTCACAATGGATCCGAACAGCGCCAGTGCAGTCGGCAATCGTTTATCGCTGGCCGCACCCGCCTATACGCCAACACTAGGCGGCGACTTAACGCCCAACAGTTGCATTGCCCATGGCGGCGACGGCCCCCTAGGATTCTCGACGCTGAGCAGCCCCTTGTTGGAGGGTCTGACGCCGACCACAGCGCAGGCCAAGGGCGTATACACGCTGACTGAGGAAACGGAAATGGAGCTACAAGCCGTACACACTGAGACGCAAGTGGAGCGCGTATAAATGGCGAACCACTCCCTCAGTATCTGTGGAGCAGTATTAGCATTAGATTTTAGTGAAGTCGCATTTAGGTCATAAGTATCGAACTTTTTTTTTTGGGCACGCCTAGCATTCCTAAAATAAAAATCTGAGTCCCCACCCCACTCTAATCCTGAGCCTAGTGCATAAGTCCGAACTATCATTGTATATATAGCAGAGATAAGGATTAAGAGGAAGAAAGAGAGCGTAAATGCAGCAAATCGAAGCGAAAGGAAACGAATTAATAAATTTCCATAGTTCTTAAGCTCGTGCTACACTTAAATAGTCTAATTAGCCACAAAAATGTGTGCTACCAAAAAAAACATTAAAATAAAAAATAAAAAAAAACAATGTTTAAAAAACAATCTAGTCAATGTAGTCAATGAAAACGCCCCCTAACTGTTATATTTAAAGTAAAGGAATATAACGAAAAGAAAAAACAGGAAAACATCAAAACGAATCTGAAGTGCGTAAAAAGTTCTCTGGATTTCGCAAGACAAGGGCTTTGCTGGGTTCAACAAAAACTTCGTAACGTTCGGCGCTTGGGGATCCACCAAGTTGAGAAATGTTAGAATCCTTAGCCTTTGCAATTGAGCGCATTAAAGTATTAAAATTATTGAATGTATTGAAAACCCACATGCGCATTATTATAAATAGTTATGTAACTAAAGCTAAAGGTTTACTAAATTCTTTTTTATGTATTGTATGTAAACCCATTCCTGGTCCCACATGAGCAACCAAAACCACAACAACAATATAATATAAAGTATAAACATTTTATACGTAAATCAAGCTTAGTAAACTTAAATACTATTCTAATAAATATATATATAAATACATATGCATACAATACATATATTCGTACGCTATATATAGGAAATTGTTTTTTTTTTTTTTTTTTTTTTGTAACTGTACAATTAATATTAAAGAGGAAAATTAAAAGCAAATTACATATGCATATTATAAATGAATTTGAATTCATAAATTTAAATAAAAAAGTTCGAACTAAAGAATAAATCCATAAGATGAATTTGTAAATTAAATGCGAATACATGTAGCTAAATATACGCAATTGTATATTTATTTACGAACGGACAAACAGTAAATACATCAATAAAAATTTAAATAAGTAAAAACGTTAAATGCAACCCAACAAAATGTTTTTGAATTGTGCTGCCAGATCAATGTAAGCGCCTGTTTACCAACACTGGTATTCTGTTTGAGCTGTTGCTGTATCACTGAATTGGTATCACTACAAGGTGGCCATTTGCCGCCAAAGTCATGCCACTTTTACAGTTAGAATTAGGTGTCTGTGGTGTGGGTGCATGTGTGTAAAATTTTAAATTGAACCTTTTGTTATATTGCATTGTACTTGTTGGAGAAAATTTATTTTCCGTTTATACATTGCGCGATGGACTGGAATCTCATCATAAGCATTTTATTAAACTGCCTGCATTTAGCGCGCACTGCCATTGATGATGACTGCCCAACGCTGGCCGATGGCGATAGCTTGTCTCAGACTCAATTGCTGGATCGCCTGACCCATGGTTGTCGATATGACCGTTTGGAGCGTCCAATTACCTATTCAGTTTCTGGCACCCGCCTGCCTGTCGATGTCTACATGCGCGCCTATATATACTTTATGCAGAACCTGGAAGCACACGATCTTCAATTCAAGATTTACGCACTGCTCCAACTACGCTATCTCGATCCGCGACTGACGTTCCGGAATGTATCGCCTAAACGGCAGCAACCTATATTGGGTGAGCAACAGTTGCGCGACTCACTCTGGATGCCTCACATATTTTTGGCTAATGAGCGTGACTCCAGCATTTTAGGTGCGTATGTTGTGCAATGAGGGGAATCTACAAAAATATTTAAAACCGCATCATTTATAGGCACTACTGAAAAGGATATACTGACCTCCATATCCCCGGATGGCACAGTGATTGTTTCCAGCCGTATTAAGGCTACTCTTTATTGCTGGCTAAATCTCAAGAAGTTCCCCTTCGACGAGCAATATTGCGCCACACAACTGGAGAGCTGGATGTATAATACATCCGAAATGGTTCTGCATTGGGAGCAGAAACGTCCCATTACCTATGATCCGGCACTGCACTTGACCGAGTTTCTAGTACAGCATTCCTGGTCTAATGAGACGACAATTAATGCCGATCTTAGCGATTTGCGACATGGCGCCTTTGCTGGCAATTACAGTTCGCTCAGCTTTACGGTTCATTTGACACGCGTAGTTGGCTTCTATTTAATGGATTACTTTCTGCCCTCCATGCTAATTGTGGCCATATCGTGGGTGTCGTTTTGGTTGCAGGCCGATCAGGCACCGCCACGCATTACACTTGGCACTAGCACTATGTTAACCTTCATAACACTCGCATCGGCTCAGGGCAAAACGCTGCCGAAAGTCAGCTACATTAAGGTGTCCGAAGTCTGGTTTCTGGGCTGTACCATCTTCATCTTTGGCAGCTTGGTGGAGTTTGCGTTTGTGAACAGTATTTGGCGGCGCAAACACAACGTGCCCGTTAAAAAGTTGAACAGCAAACACATTCTAAAGTCGACTTTATCACCGAAATTGTCGCGTCGTCGCAGCCACGCCCGTTCGCGTTCCTTTTCCGGCACAGGCCGTCAAGCAGACACAAGCTCCTTGAGTAGTAATGCACCATTCAACAATTACCTCACAGTGAATCTGCCCATTACGACCATAACGGAGGGCCAAGTTTTGGGCCATTCTGTACGCAAGTCAAGTTTACAAGCACTAAGCGCATCCAATCGCAAAATGGACGTGACTTTTGTGGAGAGTGCCTTCAATGAAGCAGCTGTGCCAGCCATTGAGCTAAGCACGGCATCCGGCTCAATCGGTCCTGTACCCAATAATAACAACAATAAGTGTGAGGAGTTCAGCCATGAAGATGAAATTGATCAGATCGGCTGGACTACTCTTACTCCGCAGGAGATTGCTATGTGGATCGATTGCAGAGCGCGCATTGTATTCCCACTGTCCTTTTTGGTTTTTAATATATTTTTCTGGACTTTTGTATATTGTATTTAGTCTGGTCGCCACTTTATCTGCACTTTTAAGAATGTTGTGAATTTAAAATTTTATTTAGTGTCTATTTGTGTAATTTAAATGATTGTAAACAATTTTTATTGTAAAAATTAAGCTGCACTTTTAAAAATGGAGTGATTTTTGCGAAATTAAATGTTCATAAGTTCAATGTATACCCTTTATATAATTGAATTGTAAAGTGAATAAATATTTTAGTTAAAACAATGTTTTTCAGTTGAATTTCAAAACGCCCGCCGTCTCACCTTCGTTCTGCCAGTGCTGTAAAGTTCTAGAATAACAGTTGCGCTCTATGCACTTGACATACCGAGCAAAACATGTTGTGAAAACGAGATAGCACATTCATTACAAACCGTTCGTTAGAAGAGCACAGCTCCTTAGTTTTCGACGAGTGACTGGCAGCGAGTAGCTCATATTCACTTTTTCCACTTGCACACACACAAACATGCAAACAAAACATCAGCGACGACTCGTGAGTAAATGAAAAAAATAAAAGCAGGAGACCGACGACCAAGTTGTGTGCAGTTTTTTTTTTCACCTACACAAAAAACAAAAAAGAAATTAAGAAACAAAAACAAACGACTCACACAAGTGCAAACATAAACAACGGTAACTGAGGTAGAACCAACAACAACGACCACTGTTGCAATGTTATACGGATGTGAGAAACCCTGCTTGAGCGTGTGTGTTTAATCGGTCGGTCAAATATAAATATTTAAAGTAAATGTGATTTGTTTTATCAAATCACTATTTAACTGCTCGTTCTTATAATCACTAAGCAAAAGTAAAATAAATTAACAAAGAGGACTACAAATTGTCCCAATCGTACTATTGTTTTCGTTGTATGCGAAGACGCTGCGCGAGTGTTTAGTTAATTTTGTATATTTTTGTATGCATGTATGTACATACATATGTACGTGTGCATGTACATACGTATATATTTTTATTAATAAACGTAAAGGACAGTTGTGCGTGTAAATAACTGTAACCGGTGAAAAGCGCGAACAAGAACATAACATAGCTAGGTACTTGTCTTTCCTTTCAATGTTTTGGCTTATCCATAACATCGCCGTCGACGTCGATTGCAGTCAACAAGAACAAGAGCAGCGGAAGCAGTTACAACAACAACAAGGGCACTGCGCACGTTGTCCTGCAAACGTCGCCAATCTGGAGCAGGAGCAGCGTCATGGACACAATCTGTAGGCTGTGCTTTCAGACAGCAACGGTGAGTTAATAATTGTAGCACCCGATTAGCATGAAATGCGCGCCGCCCGCAAAGCGCATCAGCGAGTAGCTGTTGTTGTTGTCGTTGGAGCGCGTAACGCAACAAGCGAGTGAAAAACGAAAGAAAATTCGTGTGTATTTTGTTATTTCTATTGATTTTTGTCTGTGTGTGTGTCAGCGTGTGTGTGCATCGTTTAGGTGGGTGGGAGAGGTGGGTTTGACCATCGCCAGCCTTTGCGTTCCATTCTAAGCGGGAGCAACAACAATTGAATTTGTGATTTTCCTTGCGATGTCGCCGGCTGCTGTAGCTATTGGGTGGGGGTTGAAAAGCGCGCGCATATCAAGCACCTTTCCCCTCCTTTCAAAAGCCCAACTCAATTCCTACATAAACATCATATGTATGTATATGTGTGTATATACGTGTATGTATAAACTTATGTACGTACATATCTATATACAATTGATTGTATCTGTATGTATGTATCCCTGACTATTGGATGTCGTTTTGCTTTTGTCTTTTTTTTTTTGCTTCTGTCCGCTAACATTTATTTTTAGCCAACTCAGCCAGCCAGCCAAGTTGTTCAAGCCGCCAACTTGAAAAATATTATTTTTACATTTCGTTTGTTTTCTGTCGTTTGCTTTTCACTTTGACTCCTTTTCAATGCGCTCGTACAATGAATTCAACAAACAAAAAAAAAAATGAAAAAATAATAATAAAATACATGAGAGACAAAAAAAAAATATCACAACTGCTTGTGAAAACAAAATGACAAGAATTGCGCCAAAGCGGCAGCAGAGCACGCTGCACAGGTGCGTAGCTTACAAAATTTCCAGGGGGGGTATTGTGACTTAAATAATAAGTAAATAAGCCTCTATGTTTTTAAAAATATAATTTGCGATTAATTTTATAAGGCTCCAATTGTATATAGCTAAAAAAAAACACACTAAACAAATACAAAAGCTAAAGTCTCGTGAAATACTGTGAAAAAAGCTTTACAAAAATTAACTTACACTCTCGCTCCTACAGTCCCTAAGAGCGGACGGACAGACAAAACTTAATTGACTCGCCTCATCATGCAATTCCTCGATTTTGTAAACTCCATAAAACATAGCATTGTGCTGAGGAAAATTATATTCCAATAAAAGGCATTATATTTCATGAGGAGCTTCGGTAGACTGCTGTTATTGAAAGCCTTAACAACGAAAAAGTGCAGGCACAAAAGGCTTTCATTTATTATTTTTGTGTAAGCCCCTTGCAAATAGTGATCGACTGCGTCACTGTGCCTTGGCAGCCAAAACAAAACAAAAACTGAAAAAATAACAACGCTGTTGAAAATACGAAAAAGAAAAAAACATGAAATGAAAACAACAACAAGCTGCGCTAGCTGTGAGTGGCCGTAGCTTAGTTGTTTTTGTTGCTGCCATCTCATTTCTGCGGTGGGGAGGGAGTTGAAATTGTAACTGTATGCGTTGATGGCAAACGCTCCTTGTGTATTTTCTTCTTCTTTTTGTAGTTACTTTTCGAAGCTTATTACGTTCGATTTTGTTATTATATTTTTTACAACTTCTTGCCGAGCTTGAAGCATTTAGTTTAACTTTATTAACGTATATACATACATATGTATCCACTACCTATTCACAAAACTATTTTTTCTCAATTACAGTTATTCCAAGTGCCGGGCTACAGCATACCAACGTGTGTTCGCTGCTCCGAGCAGTTGACAAACAATTCAAATTTCCATCAAACGATTCGTGCAGACGGCAGCACCAGCAGCGGCGCCGGTAGCGGTAGTGCAACCGCTGCGGTGACAGCGGCAGCCGTTGCGGCGGCCGCAGCCTCAGCGACGTCAGCCAACAGTAACGCAGTGGCTCAGCTGACTAACGGAAACGCAGCCGCCGTGCTGCAACTGCAACAGCAACAACAACTGCAATCATCAAGCTCTTCCGAGAATCTACAATCGCAGGACGATTCTGAAGATGTAAGTAAACTGTAATTTATGGCACTCTCTATTGTAGAATTCTTATTGGCTCAAATTGAAGTAAGAATATAAATACGTAGATTCATATGTATGTATGTACATACATATGTACATCGTATGCAAAATGTAAATAGATATGGCAAATATTTAATCATGTGCATACATAGATATGTATCTACACTAAGCATTGTAGAAAGTAAGCTAACGGCACAGTTCTTCGTAGTTCATAACTAGGTACATATGTACATATGTATTATGTACGTCTGTATCTGTGTATGCACATCCTCCCATTCACATACTGCCTGTTTGTTTTCGTTTCTTTTTCTTGCGTCGACTGTGCTGCCTAGGCTCACGTTCCTTTTGCTGCTTCTTATTGCACTTTTATGTATGTATGTATGTATGTATGTACATATGTACATATATAGTATATATTTACATCTACATATCTACATATGTATGTATATATGGTAGTGTTGGCCATTTGTTGTTGTTTTTATGTACATATATATGTACATATGTGTTTACTCGTACTGCTATGTATGTATGTATGTATGTGTTGTTGTGTGTATATTCGTGCTGCTGCTCAATATTATTACTGTTCCTTTTTTGCTTATTCTCTCATTCTTATAACTTTCTCACATGCTGCCTGCGAATTCCCAACAACAAGAATAATAATAATAAAAATAACAAGAACCATGCGCAATACCCTGCACCTTTGTATCATTTGTTCACACATACGCCCGTATATTCATACATACATACCTACATAGAAGTGTATACATAGATGTTTGTGTGCTTAAATCCCAGCCTTCAGCCATCGTCCACACCTTCCAATCAACAGAAGCGTCAGCAGAACATTTTTAAGACATACAAAAGCAATTTCAGAAACTCCTTCCAACTGCACTCGCAAAAGACAAGATGACAGTATGTACATTCATACATACATTCGTATATAGTAATATTAACAGTTACAGGGTACATTAATAGTGCACCTGTTTATGGGCAACCCAAACTGGCGCTATTGCGATCGTACCTTAATCGTGTCTTAAATTTATAATGGGTGGCAACTCTTCTAGCTAGTCCTGTTGCAAGGGCATTTAAGATTCGACATGCCCCATGCTTGTTGCTTATTTTCCCTATTTTTCATTAATATCTGCGCCGCTTTTGCGTCGGTTGGCTTTGCTTTCTGTTTTATTTTATTTTTATTTTTTTTTCTTTTTATTATTTTTTCTTTTTTCCGTTCTGTGTTCTCTTTACGACGCCAACGACGACGACTGCGACGTCACCGTCAGCGCCAACAAACGAACGAATTGCTGTAAAAGCATGAAAAAAATTCATTTTCAGTTGGCGCTCGCCTTGGTGTGTGTGTATTTAAAAATCAAGCGCAAGAAAGTGCATAAACTTCAAGTTTAATAAATAAACAACATTTGCAAAATACCATAAAATTGGTATTTCTACACTTACGTCAAATTGTGCCGAATAATTTGCAACAATTTTGGCCATCAGCTTGTTGAGTGCGAGCGTGAGTAGAACTAACAGGCCTATAGTATGTAAATGTGTGTGTTTTGTGTGTTGAATATACATACATATGTACATATGTATGTACATATGTAGGTATGTATGTATGTATGTATGTATGTAGATGCGCTATGAAAGTGAGTTTGTGTGGGTGTGCGCCGCTGTTGTTGTGTATTTCTTGTCACTGGCATGGATAACAACAACATCACTTGTTTTGCTTCCCCCTAAAATTGCCTGTTTCCCTTGATTCATTGTTCGAGCTTATTCTTTCTTGCAGGTGGATTTGATATTCAACGAGGAGGGCTCTTGCCCGCTGTGCAACAAGACCTTCTCGCGCAAATCCTCGCTCATGACGCACATACGCAATCACTCGGCTGAACGCAAGTTCGTATGCACCTATTGCCACAAAGGTGAGTTGCAAGTCTCGCTGAGAAGTACCCTTAACCAAATATATGGATTTGGAATTCCTTTTCAACAACAAATTGGATTATTTTGAAATCCGCAACTGATAACAGTTCTTAGGCCTCATTCAGCACAAATAGAATGCTAGTTTTGAAACAAGCTAAAATTTCTGCTTTGAAAATATCTCAGATTTAAAAGTCAAATTGCGACAATGTTGAATCTTCTTTTTTGAGGAAAACCCCTTAATCTTAATTTTAAATATATGCATACATGTGTATGTATGTATGTGATATTGGTGTTAATAGTTTTCAAAGTAACATTTTGAAATGTTGTGAAACTCGAGAAAACAGATATTTAGATTTTATTCAAATACAAGAGTAAGTACGTTGCTGAATATACAGTTAATAATACGATTAAACAATAAACTATTTGATTGCATTCAACTCAAAATTAATGATAACAAACATTTTTGAATGGCTACTAGGAATGAATGACTGCTATGACTTCGTTTGATCGGAAATAAATAAACTGAGATTGTGATATTTTCTTAATGTATATATAGTCCATATTATTATTTGGCTAAACTAATACTCAATGTTCTTTCAGGCTTCACACAGGCCGCCAATTTGCGCAACCATGAGCGCATACACACAAATGATCGACCATATCAGTGCGTCGACTGTGGCAAGACTTTCACACAGGTATGCTCGTATAGGGGGGCTCCTTAATTCGTTCTTATTGTAATTATTTATTATTGGTATTCCTTGTAGATCACAAATCTGAATAATCATCGTCGTCTTCATACTGGCGAACGTCCGTTTGTGTGCAATGAGCCCGAATGTGGACGCAGCTTTGCACAAGTAAGTTTCCAAAAAAAGGCGCTAATTTAAGTTTGAGTTAAAATTTAAAGTACCTTCTCTAATATTCTCCTTCGTTTTACAGGTTACCAATTTAAACAATCACATGAAGTCACACCACAAGGTACAGCAATATTGCTGCAATGTCTGCTCCAAGAAGTTCACACAGGTAACCTCCCTAAATCAGCACCTGCAAGCCCATGCCGGAGTCACTGGCTACTATTGCCCGCGGTGCCCCGAGAAGAATTTCAAGCTGCAATCGCAACTGCATACGCACATGAAGACGCATGGGTTGGCCTTTCCATACGAGTGTGACAAGTGTGATGAGAAGTTTTTGCAGCAATCACATCTCGACCAGCATCTAAAAATGCACGATGAGTTCAAGTACAAGTGCGACATTTGCCCCAGTTCATTCAACCAGGAGACGTTGCTGAAGAAGCATGTGCAACGGCATGTCGAAGGTCGCTATCTCAGCTGTCCTGTGGCCAACTGTGGTGAATCTTTTGCAGTTCGGCAACACCTCTCCAAGCATCTGCTCACCAACCACTCGCACCACGAGCTGCCGCCTCCGAAGCGTTCAAAGAAAGCCATCTCGCTTCAATCGCCGCAACAGCCGCTGGCCATGATAGGCCAACCGCTATCATTGCAACATACGACGGGGCAGCGTACGTATTTTTTTTCTAAACTGTTCAATCTTTTTAAAAATATGTGTGGAAAAAGTAGATGTTGAATAGTTGTTTTTTAATTTATTTTTTTTCGTAATCAAATATTTTCATAATTCAGATTAATTCGCTCAATGAAAGATGCCAGATTATATAGAATTATTTAAAATTATAATATAAAAATTAAAATATTCTATATATTTAAGAATATATTTTAATTGATGATCATTATGGTTTGTTTTCTTTCTCTTTCTACAGGTGGACGTCCGCCTAAAAATAAGAAAGCCGCTTTGGCAGCCACCACAACCATCAAGATTGAGATCAATGAGCCTCTTCATAATCAACATGTCATCAGCAATGCCAGCGGCTTGTCCATACAGCAACAGATCAACCAGCACATGCAGCAACAGCAGCAGTTGCAGCAGCAACAACAACAGCAACAACATTTGCTACCCATGGGCCAGGCGGTGAAGGCGCGCTTCATACCCACCAAATAGGACCTCTCCACGTTGAGCGTTTAGCCGACTTTTATCTCTCTGTACTCCTTTGTTCGAGCAGTCTAGTTAGATTTTTAATACCAACAGATCTTAAATTTATTACAACAATGCCAACAAACAACAATTAAAAGTTCATATTCCTAAACTGTTATCACGAGAGTCCGGATTGTATGCAAATGAGAGCATATGTTCAATCTTTACTTTATTTATTAGAAACATGGTGGTATAATAAATAAATCACAGTGCAGGCACGAGAACTTAAACTAACAAAGACTCACAATTTTTGACAGTGAAGTACCATTTTGTTCAGGAAGATCATGTCTGAGACATCTGATGAAGTCAATGTAACCATTTATTTTTCAAATCTCACAAACCTTACCCTAAAGAGTACGAATTTTAATAATTACTTGCTGGCTTTGTTTATATTTATTCTCATCAAAAATATGCAACTTTTTAATTGTGTATTCATTAAGTAAGGACAGAAATTAGAAGCATGAAATCCGGACTCTATCAATGAATTTATACAGGCCATGGATAGCTCCGAATTTATTTATTTTTTATGTAAGAACACAGCTTGATATTTTTTTTGGGGTATCTCAACCAGTATGGAATGCTATTAGCAAAATCAAGTTCTATAATTTATCTGTTTAAAAACTTAAAAACGAATAGAAGACTATAAGAAAACAGAACAAAGTCTGTAAGAAGTACGACTTAAAAAGAAATCTCGATACCTTGGAGAAAAGTAAACCCGAGGCTTTTTCAAGCAAAAAAGAATCTTGCATTTAGACAACAACTTGAGTTGAAACATCAGATAGTGTCCCTTAAGATGAAACTGAATATTAACTATAATAATGATTTTTATTCATACTTTTAAAACTGTTCGAGCTCCATTGCCTGTGTTAATTCATATTGCGACTGTTTTTCCCCAACTAATCAACAACATATATATTATTTTATGATGCGCCGTAGCAGGGGACATTCCACTATGGGCCGCGCTGTAGAAGCATCGTTTGAAACATGGAACCTTGTTCACATGTATCGGGTTGGCGGTGTAAATAGTTGGGCTGCTGGTTCGGTTTTTGGTATCGCATGATGCTGCAACTATTTCCCCAAAAATATTAAAAATTGTACAAATACAGCCTGGTACATCGCTCTGCAAGCTCAGAAAGTGGTTGGCCACAATAATAATGTCTTATATGCCTTTATACGCACTCCCATGCCTAAACCTTAACCAAACCATAGACAAAACCAAATAGCTCTCAACCAACAATAGTGCACATACACCTACATAGTCTATACATATACATAAAATAATAGAGACAACAATGTACGTAGTTACACAAAACATTGATTAAAGTTTGAACATAACCGCTGACATTCAGACAAATCGAAGAAGGACAGACTATAGGAGAGAGCTAGCACGTAATAAAGAGCGCATAAATTATGAGCATACGAGTAATAATTGTAACTTAAATCGAATTAATTTAAAAGCAAGAAATACTTACAACTAAAGGTAATTATAAACGAATTCATTGAATTTTGGTATTTAATTTAAGCCTTAGTTTAAGTGTTTTTCAATTTTTTTTTAAATAAAACTAAAGCAAGTCTTTGAAAAGTCAACTCTTGTCTCTTTTATATAGTTATGTAATCCTCCTATTTTATTAATTAAACAACAACGTTGATCGGATACTTCCGGTTCCCTAAAAAGGACCACACTCTTAATGAAAAGATCGAATTTACTTTTGGGATTGGTAAGATCGTAAAGCAAGTGATCAGCCCCTAGTTATAATAAGTATATAATGATCTATATCCATGTCAAAAGTTAATAGTTTAATATGTAATATTTAGGAAATAATTAACATACAAATGTCTAGACGAACTTTTTACATTCACACTTCATCAATACAATACAATTTTATATATAAAAAAAAAAAAACAAGCTGAACTAGTTGCCTTATTGGCTGTCGCCACTCGGCTGTGGACTCCTCATACTGGCCAGCGTTGCGTCTAGCTCAGTTTGTATTTGCTCAAACTGATTAAAAAGATTCATCAACTCGGGCTGGGTCATCTCAAGGTTTATATCCTCGCCAGCTCCCGTCTTTAGCTGCAGCACCGCCAGCGGCGTCTTCTCGCGCTGCTGGCAGTGCGAAGATACCTCCACGTTTATCTTCCAGGCTACATCTTCAATCACATTCGATTCATAGCGGTCGCTGGCTAAATTGTTCAATAAGGGTGTAGTCTGGCGCACCCAAAGCCGTAGAATTGCATCGATTTTTGCCTCGTCATGCAGTTGCAGCTTCTCGCGCAACTCGCGCTGTAATTGACTGGGCTTAATAATGAACGTTGAAATGCGCCGCAGAATGTATGAGAATGTTTTGATAAGTAGCAGGAAATCGTTGCGCGGCACACCAACCAAACGTTCCAATTCCTCAAGCGTATACTCAGGCTCACTGCTTGTTAGGCTTGTCTGGTTACTGCTGCCCACGCGTTCCGTTGTCACGACGCTGGTGCCAACCGTCGCATTGGGCACTCCACTTGAGCCACCACCGGTTGCACTGACGCCTCCAGCAGTGCCGCCGGGGGTCATTTGACGATGCACATAAAGAAGAACTGTGGTAAATGTGTCGTAGGGTAGGGCATTGATTATTTTGATGCCCTCGCGGGCCCTAAACGCATAATTAGATAAACTTAGGGTTTGGCGATCGAAATGGAAGAAATTGTCCTGCGCTCACCGATCGGTTATTTTAATCCAGTTAATACTCATAGCCTTTAATTTTTATAAAATGCTTAATTGGGAGATTCCCAGGAAATATGTTTACTCAGCTGGTATTTAAACAAATAAAGGCTGCCACTGCAGTTTTCAGTATCTGGCAAGGCCGCATCAAGTGCAATCGATAACACCAGGCCGATAGGTGGCGATATGTCAGGGCGAAACAAACAATTGTTCAAGTTCGACGGACGGCTATTCGCTATTTATTGAATCGCGGCTTAAATGCAGTTTTTTGTATACTTTGACGACAGCTAATTATAAACATTGTAGCAGTAGTAATAGTTAATTAATTTTAGAATTTAGTTCAGTGTTTGTGAAAGAAAGTGCGCGCGTATAATATTAATACAATTTATGTTATTTATCTGGCCTGATATATACATACTACATACATACATGCATATGTACACATATACAACTTGAAATCCACCACTCCATTCCATTCATTGGGACGGACGCAAAAGTAAGAACGCTGTTTTATTGTTTAAATGATAAGCACACACACTCAAAATAATGTTTGCACTTTCTATATGGCAAAAAAAAAAAAAAAAAAACAAATTCATATACATATTGAACGAGCGACTTTGAGTTAGCTATTTAAAATAGAGTTAACGTTGACTTGTGGAAACAAGTGTACCTACCTAAGCAATAATAATTTGGGTCTCTGTTTCTGCCAATGAGCGGGCGGGAGCATGCAGAGTCAAAAAGATTTTGCGGCTTGTTGGCTACACGTTACGCTTCAAACTATGTCAGGCATTGCTGGCTCTGTCGGCCAAGCCACAATTGGCTTTTGGCTTTACATACGTACGCTGTTGGTGCCTAGCTACCCAATCCACCCAGTTAATCGGCAGACAAACATACAACCAACATATGTATGTACATGCTTAGATACAGCCAGCAGCACTTTCATACATACTTGCATACATAGAAACATTTAGCATATACATATAAGTACGCATGTATAATTCAAAGTTCTTCCCGCTTGTAAAAATCGATAATGTGCAGGGCGCACTGGTTGTTTATTTTATGCTTCGTCTGCAATTTGCAGCCCTTTCTCCTCGTTGTGCACCCTTGGTCATATACTTACAAACATATACGGGCATCATGCCCTCACACAGATACACACTTATGCATGCATGCATATACATATGTATGAGCATATACACAAGCATTGAAATTTAAAAAGTACATATAAAACCGTTTTATTTACTTTAAAAAGACGCGCCCAAGACGTATTTTAATGAGTTGGTTTTAGATAAATTATAGCTTCTTTAACCCGCAAAATATTCTTCACTTATTGCAAACTCATTCAATCATAAAGTATATACATACATACATATATGTATACATATACATACGTACATAGAAAACTACAAATTGATGCCATTTCCATTGGTTGAAGAAAATATTGGTATTGGGGTTTACTTTTGTTTAACAAAAAAGAAACGTTTAATCCAATTAACAAAAAACAAAATGTTCCGTCAAAAAGGCGCACAAATGCTCTGCTGCTGAGTCTCATCTATAAAATATATATCTATATATATATATATATATATATATATATATATATATATATATATATATATATATATATATATATCAAATATATTATTATAAAATATATTATTATTATTAGTAGCAATTCCAACCATTATTATTATTATTTTACATTTGCTTTTTTTTATTTAATCCTAATCATTGAAAATGTATCACAGTTTGTTCAACTATTAGGTTTAATTACAGTATTTATTTATCAATATTTTGTTTTTGTTTTTTGTTGTATTATTTTTAACAAAAAGATATTTTTAAGTTCTTTCATATTGTAAGTCCTTTTTTCATTTAAGGCCAAATTAGCACACAGATTTTCAGTAATTTTTAGTCTAGAAAGTAAATAAATATATGCTCAAATCGAATATGTACTTCTGCACCGAAAACAGCTCAAAAAATTCTTCATTTCAGTGTCATTTCTACAGAAATAGCTCTCATGAAGTTAAGTTATCGTTCAAGTTTCAGAAATTGCAAAATTGTAAACTGTCAGTACTCCATTGTATTCCATAGACTGCTTAAAGGTGTTCTTTTATATTCGTACTTATAATCCTGACCACCCAACTGCGCTTGGCTTATGTAAGATGTTGGAAAAATACATAAAATCTAATATAACTTTAATTAAATTGCTTCTATATGGGAAAATTTGACGGCATACATATTATGGTTCCCTATATGAGTGTCTCTAAAGTGCTAGTTGCTGCCAAGCTGATCATTTTAATGTTATGCCGTGATAAATTAAAGCCGTAGCGTGCAGCGGTTGGTGGGCCCTCATTGTCAGCTTCGGACCACTGCGTTTCCCCTCACCTCCTCCCGCCCAGACTCGTGGAATGCAGTGTCAGCGATTCAAGCCAAAGCTATGCACCAGCTGCTTCAGTCTGTGTGCTGGCACGTTTGGGTCAAGACGTTCGGGTGCCCACACGAACTCAAATAGTTGAATCTGGGAACGTTAAAGAACAATTAATTCATTCATGAGCTGCCCACCACCTCAGTTTCAAAAATTGCAAACTCTTAACAATCTTTCATTTAGTAATGAATAGCATGAATCTTTCACCAGCAATTGCCGCCGCATTACCTTCAATGGAGCAACAGCCAAAGCGATCTGCGTATAACATTGAGCGTCCCACCTTAAACTTAACGGGTACCGAAGCTGCCACAGAAGCTAGTGGAGCAACTGGAGCACGCATCATGCCCGGCTCCGGATCCGGTGCGGGCTCGACGCTATCGCCGGGCTCGACAACACCTATAGGAGCGTCAGGAAACGTGAGTTTTTTACCAGAAATGCCGCAGTGGAAAAAGGATTTAATACAACGTCGCAAGACAAATGTGGCACGCACCGTTGGGGCCACATCGCCGAACAGTGCAGCTGCAACAAATGCCGCATTGACACTTGCATCTCCGGATGGAATGGCGGCAATGACTTTAAACGCAACGACAGGTGAGTGCGCCAATTTGAAATTCGTCAATCGATGCTTATTGATTGGAAACAATCGATACTTGGCATAGATTTTAAAAGTGCAAGTTAGTTGGTTGTGGGGGCTATCGGATACTTATCGATACATAGCGATTTCATAAATGCATAAATGCGAACGACTACTGAAATTCAAGTGTTTTGGCCGCCAGTTTTTGTGGTCGTGGCTGCGCTTCTCCTTATCATTTAACTAACTATCTGAGCTAACTGACGTATATATAGTTCACATTTCAGCACGGTCATAGACAATTTCAATTTCCACTTATTTTGTTATCTGCTTTGTCAGAATTGACAACGTTGGAATTGAATTGAATTGGTAAAAAAAATATTGCACATAAAGAGTGTTTTTTGTTGTTGTTGCTTTTTATTATTGTTGTTTTTTAAATATAATCGTGTAATTGTGCTCTTATATATTGATATTCTTTTCGAACTGCAGATTCAATTGTGACTGAAGAAGCCGCTACCAAAGTCTTAGCAACCGCAACAATAACTAGTCAAGAAGAACATAAACAAAAATATCTTAAAAGAAATGTGAACCAAACGGCGTTTAAAGCAACATCAACAACTACTACAGCAATAGCACCTGAAGAAAAGTCTGAGAAATGTTTTATTGTTGGAGGTCATCACACGATTCTAACACCAACAGCAGTCAACGTTGAAGCACCAGCCTCGGTCTCTTCGGCAGAACCAGAAACAGCAACAGAAACGGCAGCGCCAGCAATGTTATCAACAACAACAAGCACAAAAACTGGCAATACACCAATACCAAAGCAACGATCAAGTTTATTTAACGCAACAACAACACAAGCAGCAGTGGTAACAAATACAAGAAGTCAATCAACTAGCAAAGAGCCGGAGAATCTAAATTTGACTGCGAGAGAGTGCGGTGAGCGCATGGAACCCGTGGGAGAGCAGCAGCGCCCCATTGAAACTGGAATGGTGAATAGCCGCGCTCGTGGTGAATTTGGTAAATCAACCAGAGAGCTTACGACGGCGACAACTAGAGCATTAACAACCGGCAGCAGTGCCAACGACGACGACAGTGCCGGTGGAGGCAGTGGCAGCGCAGACGCGAATCAAACGGTAACAACGTCGTCGTCAGCAAATCAGTTGCAAACGCAATGCAAAGTTGTTCAGAGAAGTAAGTTTATTAAAAATAAGCAACAATTGGAACTGGCCGTCAGTGGAATTGGCAGTGGCATAAAAATGCCAGCTTCGCCCCCAAAAGTAGCGGTAAAAACTACAATGGCTGCCATGAAAGAAATGAAAAAGTCTACAAAACAAAATGGCGAAAATAATCGCCATCAAAATCATCACCAGCACCAACAACACCAGCATGGGACCCTAAATAACGGTGCCCAAAACGAGGTGGTTGACACCGGTGAGGATCTTAGTTACGGGCCCGGCATTGTCTCCAAGCTGCGCAGTCGCTATTTAAGCCTCGCATTGCGTGAATCTGTGCGGCAAGAGCACAATCAAAATCTGCGTCGCTCCATAAGTCTCAACACGCTCCACGACCGAGAAGATAATGATGAAGAGGAGCATGAACAGGAACAGATAATCGAACGACAACAGCGGCCACCCCCAATTGGTGTCAAGCCAACAATTGTTGGTAGCTATATAAAGAGCCCTCATGTGGCCCAGCGACAGGTGAGTGGTGGTAGTAGCAATGGCAATACCACTACCTCAGCCCCCGCGCCGCTCCGATATGTCAATATATCTCAGTCGGCAGCAGAAAGTCAAACACAACAACAACAGCAGCAGCAACAACAACAATCAAATGGCTCAACACGCTCGCGGCACTTCAAACGCGGCAACGAGGTCATGAAGCGTGCGCGTTCCGTTGAGGCGCTACTCTGTGAGAAGTCGCCCTGGAACACACAACGTGCCAGCTATAATGCGCCACCCGTAAGCGTTTCATCTGGGAACCATAACAACAACAACAGCAGCAGTACCAGCTCCTGTGTAACCATTGAGGATAAGATACACAATGCCCGGGAACGGCTGCATAGCGGCACTGATGCTGCGCCACCCAAGCGTCTGACCTCAATTATTGATGACACCGAAAGGCCGCCACCGGATTTGGTTAAGCAGACGCTTAAAATGTTTGAGGCCACTGCAAATCGAAGGCCACGACCAGCTCAGCGAAAAAATGGAGTGGGCGGTGTGGCTAGCAAAGTGGCCAACTACAAGTCTATTATCAAGGAGCAAAAGCCTCTCTCTATTCCATCAGCTCTGACACCCAAACCTCGATCCGATTGTAGTAATTTGAGGGAGCGAGAGACGGGAACAGAGACAGCATATTCGCCCATGACTATGATTACCCAAACACTTAACCATATGCAACTGGATGATTCGCCGAGTGATTCAAGTGGACGGACCCAGAAAAATCAACAGACTGAGGCGACTGTTTTGCCTACGGCTGGTAATAGTGGCGGCGTCGGCGGCACTAATCAGCAAAGATTAATGAGCAGGTCCCCCATGCCCAAATATACACATGACTTTGAACTGGCCAGTGGCGCTTACGTATCGACGCCGAAATCTCGATCCGATTGTACTAATTTGAGAGAACGAGAGACGGGAACAGAAACAGCATATTCTCCTATGTCTATGCTTACCCAAACGCTTCACCATATGCGACTTGATGATTCGCCAAGTGATTCAAGTGGACGGGGCCAGAAAAATCAACAGACTGAGTCGACCGTTCTGCCTGTGGGTGGTAGTAGTGGCGTCGGCGGCGCTAATCAGCGATTAGTCACCAACGAGAACCAAAACGAAGGCTCGCACGAACGCAACAACGACAACTGCTCACACGACGACGGCGACAAAAACGACAACGATGGTGATAATACCGATGACGATCAGCGCCAGCACAATGATGATGCGACCGCGGGGCGGACTGAGGCTCATTCTGACGCCTATGCAAACAACAACGATGGTGACGGCGACGACGACGACAACGACGACGACGCTTATAGTGGCGGTCTTTTGGGCGCGGCAGGGCCAAGTCAGAGCTCTACAAACGATAAGCAGCCCCAGTCCGCACTAATGTGTGAAACGCACGCCAGCACAGAAGCAGAAACAACAGCAGCAGCAGTAGCAGCAGGAGGATTAGGAGGAGGTATCGCCATTGCCGCCAATCGCCAATTTGTTAGTGCCAACAATAGCGACAGTTCAACCAAGTTGAGCAGCAGAATACTGTCCGCGCAAACGGATCACGAACCTGCCAAACTATTTAACATTACGCGTCCGCTCTATAGCAGTGACTCTGGCGGCACCGGAAGCAGCGGCTCACCCTCAACACTAACCAGCCGGGAGATTGAAAAGAATCGTATCAATGAAATGAAGTCGACGGCACTGAACGCAGATGCAGCATCGCATAGCGGCGCCACCAGCAGCAGCAACAGTAGTCTAACTAGTCTCGATACCGTGATAAACACCAAGCCACATCCCCATACCACCACATTGAGCGGCACAACGCAGGATAATAGCGAAACAGATGCCTCTGCCTCGCCTATTTGGGCATGGCGCAAACGGCGCCAACCAACAAGCTCAAGCGGTATTGGTGGCAGTGCCGGCAGCTGCAATACCGAGCAAACCTCAATGGTATTCAATTTTTCAAAAAGCACCAAGGAGGTGCCGGACTACATTGAAAGCGAAGTTGTGATCTACAGGCGTAAGCGGGAGCTGCCCAAGGTGAGTGTGTTTATTGCCATTGTGTTGCCTAATCTGTCTACAAATATTAGAGATGTGTTCGCCGGTACTTTTGAGCTAGATCAGAGAACCCGGATCCAATCAGGCATTGCATGAGTTCCCATTTTACTTTTGACATTTTGTTCACTTCCAAATGTGCGGGTGTCAAGTACCCGAAACCTCTAAAAACCAGGGATCTTCAGTTCATATCCACTTGTATATGGCATTTGTGACTTTTTTTAATAAAATCATGTACTGACCATTTCTGGCACGTCAACGCATTTCATGTTTTCGATTCTAAATTATTTCACTAAATACTTTAAAAAAAGTCAACTCCAACATCGAAAAAATTGATTTATTTAAAATTGCAATCATTTGATTCCACTTACCGATTGTTCAGATATTAGAAGTGGGAGCTGGGAAATTCAATTTTTCGATTTATATATGTTTCACACTTAAACTGGAACAATGCTAGTATTTCGGTTTTCCAACTTTATGTGTCGGGGTAAAATAAAGTCCAAGTCTAGTTCTTAAAGAACCCATCTTTAGTAATATATTCAAGTACATACATACATACTTACTTAGATATGGCTTGTTCTTATCAGTTTGAATAGTGTTTTTGATATTTCACAGAATGCGTCTATGCGTGTGTCCATGAATAGTATTAATCATGCTCACATATTTTTATATGGCTTTATTATTTGTTGATAATGTTTGCTTTGTAAGCCAAACAGTGGCAAGCAACTTCAATTTAATCACATGAACATTTGCGTACCTACCTTATAACGCACATTTCTATCTACATATGTATGTACATATTATATACTTGAATAAACGAACAATACAAAACAAAGACAACTATATACAAAGAAAGTAACGGTATAGGAAGAGGGTAAAAGCAAGCAAGATACTGATTTTTGCTTGCGCATCTGGCTTCGTTCCGAGTGCAGTTTGCATTCCCATTGTGCTGCCCTATAGCTCCAGCACATCCTGCTTCGATAAGTGACTAAATAAAATGCAAAAAAAAAAAAAACATTTCCAATTGGATTTCCATGAAATTATCTCCTATTCCTAAAGTCACATACATATCCGTACACTTGGATAGGAACAGTTTCATTTGGATCGATGAAGGTATTAGGTATTTAGTTAATTTGTAAAAACCAGAAAACATTTACAAATGTATATTAATGCTTCTTACTTTTACGTATTTGTTGCAAACGTTGCTTACTAAATAGACATTTGTAATGCAACACTTAAATAGGGGCAAAAACTTTATCATTATATATGTTACAAACTAATTTCACGTTCTATTCTAATACTAATATTGGATTTATTAATAATATGTGTAGACCTAATGAGATTTCACTCCAGGTCCTTTTTATGGTAACTGTTTTCAGACTCACACTTTACGTTCGGATAGGATAAACTCCAACAACCGGCATGGTTTTTTTATTTTTTTATTTTGCATTATATTCAAATCAAACTCTATTTGCCAATATTTTGCACATTTCTTCAGAAGCGAGTGATTGATCTTAATCAAAATATATGTATGTTTTTTTTACATATGTACATATGTACTACATATTAATGTGAATATAATCTCGTTTTAGATTTATTTCAATTTTTTATTTCGTAAAATTTCTTAATTGTTATTAAATCTCTCCTTCCCCTTTTTTATTTGGAAAACTTGAGTCATGTCTTCTTTATAATTACTTTTCACGCGTTTAATTAATACTCGTCTTGAATTGATCTCATATTTTTGATTCAATGAAATTGTATTTATTAAATGAACTGTCGGAAGTGCTATTAAAATTGCTGTAGACACATTTGTTGTTTAGACCGATAGTCAGACAAACGTGGATAGACATGCATACTATATAATCTTATATTCACAAATATATGTACATATACATATGTATGCAGTATCAAGATCAATTCCTGTGCTTTGTTTAAGTAATTTTGTCACTGATATTTTTATTTTGCTTCTACATACATACATATGTATGTATGTATGTATGTATGTACATATAAACAAAAGAATAAAACATCAACATCGAACAGAAAACAACAATAACTTTTGAGCAAACCAGTTTCCACAACTATTTTTCCAGTATATGTATGTTTATACGTACGTATGTATCTCTATATATGTATACATATATCTATACATAAGTATATGTATGTATGTATGTAGATATTTTTTTATCATTTATTCTTTCCTTCCTGCTGTGGTGGGGCCTGGGCAGCTGTCGAAGCAGCAGCATAGCAACTCCCCTTCTAGCTGCAAGCCGAGGCTCAGAGTTGAGCTGCGAAAGCGTCGATGATATGTAGGATAGGTATAGCGGGTTTTGGGACGGGCTGGCAGGGCACAGCTGTTTTGTGCAGCCATATTGTTGAGCCGTACAACAACAAAGCGTAAGTCAGCGTCTTCGTCATCGTCAACATCTTCGTTGGCTGCATTGCGTCCCCTTTCTCGCTGTCTCACTCTCCCTCTCTCATTCTCTGGCAATCTCAAGTTCCCAAGCTGAGATACGTAAACATATACATACATACGAGTATATCTATATGTATGGGTATGAGTATACAAAATATACCCGTTCGTTGTTCTTGCTGCCTTGTCGCTGAACTCGAACTCATTCACATTTTATTCACAATTCCTCTTTGATGTCCATATTCTCTCTAGTTGGCTTTTGCTTTTATCTCTCGCTGTCGACGCATTATTATCTTTGGCCGAATATTAGGGTCTGACATGACCGCATTTACTTGTCATGGCAGCCAGACCAGAAGTTGAAAGTGTGCTAAGAGCACACCGATGATTTAAGGCCACATGCTGCATACATACATATGTACATATTTGGTAAACTCAATCATTGTTATATAGTATATATGTATGTACATACATATGTATGTGCGAGTGTGCTCATGTGTCTGTAATGATGCATTGATTATATGAATGTGTAAGAATGTTTTCTTTACTCTCTCTCTCTTTCTTTATTTATTGCAGCCAAATGAGCCGGGCTTTGTTCTGCTCGGAGATCTGTCGGTGGAAACGTCCACCGATTCGGATTATGATGAATATTCCATGTGTCCACCATCACCGTGTGATGTGGAATTCGAGAATGCAAATATTGTGATTGATGGCAAGTCCAGCATACGTCAGAAAGCCAAAGAATCATCGGTGAGTAGTCATCAATACGAAAAACAAGCCTACATACATATGTATGTATGGTTTTTCATTGGAAAAACAATTAAACTGCACCCGAGATCTGTAACGACCACATTTGTTTAATTGACATGTGGGTAATACATACATATACATAGATACATAGTATATAGCATGACTAATACCAATTCCCAATGCGCGAAATACATACATATGTACCTATACTAAAGTACCTCAAAGATAGTGGCGTAGCATTTTTATTTTGCGGTTCTTTTTCAGAAAAGGATAAGATAAGACTTGATAGCACTGTTTTGAGTAGGGACGGGGGTTTATACTACAAAGCATGTGCAGTGTACTATATTGTACAATTGTTTGGAGCCAGTATAGAAAATAGAAAAAAAAATTTATAATAGGGCACGATGTGTGTGCACGTTTCAAACAATGGAAAGACATTCAGACGTTTGTTTACAACCGAATTCCTCTAAAAAAAATCCATAGAGTAATATTTAGAAGTCAGTTGTTTATTTTTAAAAACGAATACTGTGTTAACTTACAAAGAGATTGATTATTGAAATTAAAACGATTGATGAAATCTCATTTTAAATTATTAGGAGTACCTATGTATATCAATTTATTTTTCATTTATATTAAATAAATTTAGCAATCGTTTAAAAGTATGTGTCGATATACTACAGACGCTTAAAAAATGCTTAAATCAAAATATTTATTATTATGTATTTTTTCAACCGATTTGGAAAACAACTGAAGGCGAAACTTTCAAGCAGATCAAACATAACTAAATTTATATACGCACAAGTACATATATAGTAACTCGAAAGGACAGGTCAGAAAGCAGAATCCCCTTTTCACACTTTTTTTACTTTTAAAAAAGTACACACCTCAGCTTTTCTACATTTCTACTGACAAAGGTTTCATTGACTTTCGCAATATGTAGACAGAAGTACCAATTTTGTTTGACAATTCTAAGTATGTATGTACATGTATGCAAACTGAGTACTAGACTTTATCCTAATATATAGTATGTACTATTTCTTATTTTATTTATTTTTATGGTAAAATAAAAACTAAATTAAAGTGTGGAAGGAAATGTGTCTATAATTAAATTTGATTTCAAGACTCCTGAAATAAGGTTTTATATTGGAATAGGAGTCGCTCCGCGATCGTTTGTAACATGATTTAGTATTGATCTTTTTTATATAATATATAGTACGTAAAAGGGCGCATAGATTGTGCGAAACTTGCCAGCTTATCAATTTACTGAGTCCGTCATTAATCAGAAAGTATTACTTTTGTCGTATATGTCTATATGTATGTACATGTATGTCTTTAACGACTTTTCCGGGTGCGTTTCATCAGTGTGGCAGATAATAAATTTATATTAATTTATTTACATTTTGGTAACCAACGTTTTTTGTATTCGTCTGCAGTTCCGCGTACAGTTTAGCGATACATTAACATCAACGTTTGAATATCCCTCCGAGTCATCGCTGGTAATCGATGACCCACCGTATGCTGATCCATATGGCAATATGAAGAATCATCACCAACAGTTGCATCAGCATAAGTTGCAGCTGTTGGAGGAACAGCAGCAGCAGCAACAGCAGCAGCAGCCGTTCCATCATCATGTGACCGTTGATGAAATAATTGAGCTTCCAACTTCGACAGCCATGCATAATAAAACGCCACCTGGCAGTAGTACATTGGGGAATTTACCGTTAGGTAAGTTATAGACCATGTTGGCATGACTGAAAAGCTTGCCTTTTCTCTCTTTATCTCTACTGTTTTCATTTTTTACTCTCTGTGTTTCTCTGTCTGCTGTGTAACTCTTTCTCTATTTGTTTTCTCTATCTTTTCTCGCTCAAATATATCGAGAAAAAAATACGCCTATGTGCTCTTGAGTTCTTGTATTATTTATGGGCTATAAAATTATTGTTTGCATTTAACACTTTAGTGCATTGTTTTTCATTTTCATGCCAAGTCTTTTGTTATCTAGCCTTGGCCATGGGGCAACATTAATACACACACATACACCTTAAAATTACATACATACATATGTACTTACCTACACACACACTACATACATACATACATACATACAATACATTCAGTACATATGTATGTACACATATAATATTCATTCAGCATGTGCATATAAATACATACAAACATACATACATACATACTCGTATGTACATCACATTAAATTCCATTGCATTGCCATTGCCTATTGTTTAGCGCATCACCAGTTTCCCAGCTGAACTCTTACCGTTACAACCGAGACGTTCCCCCTATTACGAATCGTTTAAAAGCGAAACCAAGAGAAAACTCAATAGTCGATTGTGCTCGACTATCGGACACCCTGTACCCAAAACGGGAAACCTTTAAATTAGCAAATTAATTTTCTTTTGTTATTGTTGTGACAGTTTAGTTTGTTAGTTTTGGTTCGAAATCGTAGTTTTTACGAGTTGTAGCAGAATAATAATGATAAACGGCCGATTTGGCAGAAATACTTCCGGAATAGTGACTTTCGACAGCCTCTATTGGCATTGGCATTAGATACACGTATTCACGAACTCTATTTATGACAACTCACTAAGATAGTTCAGAAAGGGTTGTCCTAGAGCAATGAACCTCTGTCTGCTAAGTGGCAGCGACAGAGAAGGTGCTCCTCCTTCATCTCTGCAGCTTCTGCAGAAATAATTAAAGGAATGCCACCAAATCTGGCCTCCTTTTCAGTTTTATGAGCTAGGATGGTCTATTGCCGTCAGTCAGCCTTGCTCGAACACATAAGAACAAAAAACCAGCTCCATTCGGTGATTCGGCAAGTCCTTAAGGACAATTTTTGGAGACTCAAAAAAAGTGAATCGTTCAATCGATCGCCTTGAAAGGATAATATTAACTTAGATTTAAATGTTAAAAAAAGTACCTTAGCCCCCTGGGTACAGGGTACGACAAAATATATGTTCGTAGAAAAAATAAATTGTTTTTAATGTGCAGCGATATTGTCTAACATGTCTCTGCACTTCACAGATATTGATATAGATACTGAAACCGAAACCGTAAGCGTAAGCGTAATCGAAACCGTAACCGTAAAAGTCGTCACGAATGCGCTAGCGTTGCCGCTGCCATTGCCCATGGCCACAGTTCAGCCAACGTGCCGCAAAAAGCACAACGCAAATGTTTCGCATAGCCAACAGTCAGCTGTCATTGTTCCACCTGTACCCGCTCCTCCTCTACCCCTGCCACAACCGCCACCCACACCTCAAGCTCCAGCTCCAGTGGCCGGCAGCGTTGTCTTCACTCAAGCGGCTGCTATGGCTACTAACGGCGACAACGATGGTGCCAGTACCAATACCGGTAAAGGTAATGGTATTGGTGATGGTGATCGTGATCGTGTGGGTAAGGGTAAGGGGGGCAGCGGTTGCTTCTGCTTGTGGCAAGCGTTGTTGCCACTGGGCAAGCAGATCTTGCCCATGCGTCGCAGACCGGCCGTGTTGCGTAAACCCCAATATGCCTGCTTCCTGCAACATGATGCAGTGCAGCACCAACAGACACGCAGTGCTTCCTTTTCATATGGCAGGCAGCATCAACATCAGCCGCAGCAGCAGCAGAGTAAATATGACTCTACATCTAGAACTTTATCTAGCCAGCAACATTTTAGCAGCAAGCGTCGCCCAAGTTTGCCCAATCAAGTAAGCGATGCGCCTGCCACCTCATCTGCTTCCGCCTGTACCTCTGCCTATCCAGCACCTGTGCCCAGCTTGAGGGCTAAAAGGTTCTCATCATCAACGTCGCTAGTGCTGCCCAATGCCAGCACCGCCTTGTTACAGTCGCGCATACCCGGAAACACGCTCTACTATGTCTGACCTTTGCAGCAGCGAACTGCAGCGCCAACAACAACTCCAGAAACTCCAGCAACTGCCACACCATGCCGCACCAAGTGCCTCTGCTTGCTGCCCAATTTCCGCTCGGGACAACTGCACCCAGAACTTGAACTTCTTCTTAGCTTCTGCACCACCACTGCATACGAAATGTAGGCATAAACGTTTTCGAAACAACAACCAAAAATCAATCATAATCTCAATCAATCCATAATCTTTCCAATAGGCTAAAGTTCTCTCTGTAACATGCTAAGTGGTTGTATTTTGTGGTGGCTGATTTTAAACTATATGCGGTCGTTTGGCACCATTTAACTTATGCACCACCATACCCATGACCCGCCCAACCACCTTAAATTTGTAGCCTCGGTACTAAGCAATCGGAAGCAAAGTGCTTCTTTGATCTTGTGATGGGAGACTCTAATGGAGCACTAAAACTCTAGCACACACACACAGGCACACAAACACGCAAACAAACACACAGACAATTAACAATTCTATCTTAGAACTTAACTGAAAAGAAATTTACGCTTGAAATCCATATTTGTTTTAAATATCATATTAATTCCGGGGAAGCAGCCAACTGTTGCTTTCAATGAGTTAGTTCGACAAAGTCGACTGTGAGATCCACTGCACCAATATCCAGGGTTTCTAATTGAATTTTCAAAATCTTTAGAAACAAACTACTTTGTAGTTTTTCATAGTTAGGCATTTAAATGGGTTAGTTGTCGATCATATTACTTGAAAGCACTATGTGACAAGGGTGTAGGCAGCTTTTACCAAGGGGGGGAGGGGCAAAAAATTGAAATTTTGATTAAATAATGAACCCCCCCCTGTCTACGCCCTTGCTATGTGATCATATTAAAAATCAAATATAAATAGGAGTGGAAATAATATTGGTTATAAGAAGCCTGCCAAAAATGTTTCCTTGGGACTAAAACGTAAATGGCCTGTCCTTCTCCGATGTGTTTTTTTCAATCCAAAATCTGGTAATAATATATACCATGCCTATAGGTACATGATTTCCCAATATCTCACTCTGTAAATAAGTCAACCTTTAGTATGTACTATGTCTATGTATTGTGTATTTTGTATTGTGTCTATGTGCATTCTAAGCTTGTATGTTAATGTGTATGTATGTACCATGGAATTGATCTAATGGTGCAAATTTTCATTTCACTTGAGTTACTCTTATTTTTCTTTTTTGTTTTCTACTAATTTCTATTCCAGATATTATTTAAATGTGTAACAAATATATAAGCAATGCCTTGTCAAATAATGTCTATATATATCCATATATATATATATATAAATATATAAACAAAGCATACAATTTATATAATATAAATAAAGGCAAAGGCAATCGTCCAACTGATACTGACACTGATGATCATGAAAATTGAACAACAAGAACAACAAATAATAATATGCCCATATGCCACACCTCTAACCAAAATGCACTGCTGCTCAAAAATTGCTACCTCTCTACTCTACTCGTAGCAACCAGGCCAAAACTAATAAAAACTAATCGCCAAATCATTATACTTATTAAGGTAACTAACCCCCAAATAGACAAGAGCCTTATTTTAACAAATGCATGATCACACACACACACACTCAAACATTCAAATATCTCCAATTACCAGCCCTCCATACACACTCCACACTTCCGCAAACACACCGGAACACACGCATCCAAATCCTTGAAATCATATTCATCGATCGCTCCCACAATTTCCATTTTAAGTTTATTCCCCTAATACACACGCACACACACACACATACTTATGCATATATATAAATATACATATATATATACATATGTATGATCGATAATTTTCAATTGGTGAATTGAATGCTGCAAAATTCTAGAACTAATCCATGGCAATGAACTCCTTACGATTGTGATTACTAAACTAAAAATTCTGTACATTTGCAGGCTCACCAGCACTTGGCTTTTATACACCCATGAAAGGCTCCCGCAATCTATTCCAACTGGGCGTAACACGCTATAGCCCAACTGATAGCAGCACTTCCACCCCAGCGATAAATGGAAACGGGACCAGCAACAGCAACAACGCATTTAATGGCAATGGAAGTATAGTGGGAATTACGGACGGTCTTATCAATGATACTACCGATCGCAAGAATGCTGCTGATGATGATGATGAAGCGGCGAATGTTGATTATCTTTCAGCTGCCAGTGGTGTTAGCATTGTTTATAGCGAGGGCACGCAAAAGACCGATTTGTTGTATTAATTATATATATACTTAGTATATAGAAAGCGGCAGGCTGGCTAGAAAACAGATATTAGTGACGAGCCTATAGCTTTCTAACTTAAAATGTGTATTTGTAAATTAGATATATAACAAAAAGATACTTGTTTCTGAAAATTTTTTTGTTTTTTTTTTTCTTTAGTATTAAATCATATTTTAAATCCATCTACTTCATTTATAGTATTTTTAGTGTAAATGTATATTCGGTTGTAAATTTAAAATAAATATTAAAAAAAAAAAATTGTGAAATGCCGAGGCCTGCGCTAAAGCCATACATATAAATATTAATGTAAGCTCCCAAAAATCAGTATCAAACTCCCATTCACAACATGTGAATAATAATATGTATTACTTACTCATAATCATGAATTAAACAATTTTATTGTGAGCAAATGCACACGTTTATTACATATTTATTTATTTAAATGGCGGTTTCAATTCGTATTACGATAGTTTTGATTGATTTGATTTTTTTCGATGGTAATATAGCGCACGCCTTGACAAATATTTATTGTATCTTTTTATTATATATCTGATCCTACGCTCAGTATATTTATATAAGTGTATACAACTAGTGCGTATTTAATATTTTTTACAAATGTATTTCATGAAGAAAAAACAAATAAACGAATTATGTGAATAGAAATTAGATGCAACTTTTTCGAAAACTCAAAAATCTGGCGAAAATTATACAAACAAAATAGTTCATAATTTTCTCTTGACCGTTACGCCGAAATCAATTCGTTTTGAGTCCATGTATGTAAATATGACAGCGAGTAACTGTGAATTATCGCCTCACTCGATGCCGATAGCTGTCACAGTTACCATTCGATAATTTCGGATGAATATATTTATCGATAACTCTTGTATTTGTGGTAGCATAGATGTTTCGGTAGTATTGTGTCCAAAATACAGGGGTTTTTAAGCCAAAATTATCTGCAATAATACAAGTCTGAGCTATGCCAGTGCTGCCAATATTTGCAAATACCCTGGCGCGCGCGTGTGTATGTGCCGTGTAAATTTTTATTTAAAATGTATTACTTTTAACCTTAGTTGACATTGAAATGTACCCGCTAGGCAAGTGCGTGTGTGCTAGAAAAGGAGGACTCTGAGAGCTGTCTTGCTTGGTATCGGAATTGAAACTCAAACATACGGTTTAGCGTAAATGATAGCTGCTGAATAACAAGAAAAATACAAACTCGAACTAACGAAACGACGTACAGCAGGTCACCCAAACACCAGCATCGAGAAACAAGCACACACTTACATACATCACCAACAGCAGCGATAACACGCCAACTAGCAGGTCCGCCGCAGTCGCACGCTGCAGATGTAAATGTGCATAAACGACCAAAACAAAAACACTGCATAGCATAATTAACAAAAAAAAAAAAAGAAGAGAGAGGGGGAAAACGCATCTTATTATTATAAATAATGCGATTGCTGCATATAATTTCATATAAAACGCGTGTTGTGTAATCATGTATAAGAATCTGAAAAATATAGTGAAAAAATCTAATTCTATTACATTTAATTTTTTTTATTTAAATCGATTTGTTGTAGTTGGCATACGCTATTAATTAAATCAGCAGCAACAGCCGCCGCAGCAGCAACAAAACGAAAACGAAGCAGCAACAGCTGAGAGTGCGCGTGTGTGGGAAGAGAGAGAGAGAGAGAGAGAAAGCACACACACTCACTTAAAAAGAAAATAAAAAAAAAATTAAATCGATACCCATCGTCAGACCCAACACCAGTACCCGTTGTCAGTGCGAACGCCAACGCTAACAGCACAGTCACATAGCCACCCGCCTAGCCGCCCCCAACTGCACCATACCGGCCGTCTCGGCACAATTTGGTAATTAAAAGGAAACTCAACATCATCGGACAGTTCAGCAGGCACAAACAATCGAACACAAATTTTTCGTGCATCAGTTGTCGTTTCTTGTTGGTTGGTCGTTGTCGTGCTATTTGTCGCGTTCCCATATTATAAAAATAGCCAATCGTACCGCTACGCTCTGAAGCAACACAGCAACAGATCTCTACCGGCCCGCCCGCCTTAAAGCACAGCTGTGCATTTGTTGCCGCCAAGAAGTAGCAACAATATCGAACATCATTCAGAAATCCTGTTGCTGGAGGTGCCACTGAGCACACTTTCAAAATTTCACTAGATCCAATGGCTAAGGACGAAGAGGATGATCTGCTACCCGATAAGGATGCCGCCAAGGGCTTCTATGCCAAATACGAGCCCAAGGAAATATTGGGCAGGTAAGCCGAACATCTTAGCTAAGTTCAAAAATCAAGCAAGTTATACAAATCTAAGCGGGGGTCTCTTTATTTTTGAAAGAAAATGAAGCATATAATTGACTGTTCGTTCTTATCAATAGAGTAAGTTGCTCAAATTTAAAGTAAAAAAAGACGAAAGTATTCTTATGCCTAAAACGGGAGTTTAATTTATCTAATTCATCAGTCAAGGAATAATATATATTTAGGAGTATAGTTAAAACTATTAAGATGCCAAGGAATATTTTTAGCCATAGCTGGCGGGACATAAAGTTGATTAAGCCACTGAAATAAACAAATCTACTTAAAAACTAACTTTATTAGAAAAAGGCGATTAGAGAAACACAAATTTAATTTTAATACTATAGATTATGAATATAAATATATCATTTTAATGTTATGTAGAAATTTCAATAAATATATGGATTATAATGGATATTAAGGACAATAGGTGTGTTTCTTTTTTTTAGAGTTGTCCCAGATATCAAGGAATAAAGCATTTTATTAGAGTACGTATAATTTAGTTGATAGCAGCTCCAAAGAAATTAGAATTAAACTAAGTTGGATGAAATCCTGGATTGGTGGATTGAAATGAATCTGTCAAAATTGTATTCAAATAATTAACATTAAGACATATAATTTACATAAAAAGAATAGACGTTAGTACTTTAGAATCATATTAGAATATCATATAGCTCTTTAGAGCACTTTAACAAACCAAGAGCAGTAAACATGTTACTAGAAAATATGGTACTAGATAAATATTTGTAACCAAACGTCCTTTCTTCATTTTAAAATTAAGTTTTCAAACTGGGCTTATGACAAATTTTGCGAAATTTTTTTTATAATTTCCAATAGTTTTAGCCAAAGCCGTTCAAATAGCAAAGTGCAGCGCAAATTTTGGAGCAGCTTAGCTTTCAAGTTGTGGTAGCACCAAAGTCAACGCTTCTTGTTGGTAATTTGCATAGTTTGCAGAATTGAATACTTTGTTTTTCAATAAGCAACCACAAATACATGTACATATATGTACATACAAGTATATCGTATTTACGAGCAATCTTCACAGGTTGCTAAATTGTCATATGACTCAAGACAGAGGCGTTCAATTGCTGCTAGTGGCACAAAAAAGAAGACCAATTCATTAGCTGCCTTTTATAAATATTGTTGACGGTTTTATTTTTATTATTATTATTTTATATTTATTTGCTTTTTGTTTTATGTGACCCATGTAGCACAATTTCTGATCACAAATCGACATTTAAGCAGCTGCTCATTCCGGCTGGTTTACAACCGTCTTGCCTTTTGTGTGGCGATTTTTTTGTGCAGCCCCGTTTTTCCGTTATAAATTTAATCAATTAGTGTGTTCGAGATTTTATCAGATACAACCAAACTTAATTTGTAACTTTTCTGCCTTCGCTCCAAAGTATACCTTGTGGTGTAATTCAGCAGACAGACACACAGTCATACGATGAATGGCAAGCAACCACTTGGTAAGGGTTTAGGGATCCACTTGAAGTTGATGCGCATACCCATACAGGCTCTTGAGTAACCTTGGGCTGAACTTGAAGTGCATGCGGCTGTTACAAAAGAAAACGCAAGATAAATACGGAATTAAAAAGAATTAGTGGCCATATAGGTGTAAGTAAATGCTGGGAGGGCCCTGATAAGCTCCACGTAATGTTGATGAGTGGATGGAATTTGTAAATTAAATACACAGCCCATGACCAAACAAAGTGTTACTAACTACGTCTTAGCCAAGCTGTATCTAATAGATGTAACTGTTATCTTTCATGTACAGAGGCATCAGCTCCACGGTGCGTCGTTGCATTGAGAAGGAGACGGGCAAGGAGTTTGCGGCAAAAATAATCGATTTGGGTGCCACAACAGAATCCGGCGAAACGAATCCATATCATATGCTGGAAGCAACCAGACAAGAAATCTCAATATTGCGCCAAGTGATGGGACATCCATACATAAGTAAGCTAAATAGTACATTGGATATATTAATAGTATACACACAATACTTTAAATTAAATAACATTAGATATAAGAAGAGAGAAAGTTAGTCGGTCAGTCGGATAAATGAAGTATGGCGTATTTCATAATTTCAAAAACAGGTCTGCAAATCTTAAATATAAACTCTAAACTATAGTGTTAGCAGGCAAGAAAACAAGACCTCTATGGTCTTGAGTCTTCGCTATAAGGTACAAAGCTAAAGTGAAGTTTATCCTTATTATATCGTTGGACTACATAGCTATTTAGAAAGGTATAACTAATACTTTTTATATTAGATTGTTATATATTAGCAGCTATTGTTGAAACTTAATACAATTTCGAACAAAAAAAACCAGATGAAAGTGCTCATTATTATTTTCTGCCAACACATTTTCAGATCGATTGTATCAATCCCTACAATGTCTAAGTTATTACGCCATATATTTAAAACTTTAACTAACTATCGTTAAACATATTGCTTAAGCAAAGAATGATTTTTACCTTAACTGTACTGTAAATACCTGTACTAAGGCAATATATGCAACTAAGTTAAATGGTTGAGATAGACGGACGTAAATAGTTGTATTGATTTTGAAGATTTATGTATAATAATATAATACTTATATGTATTGATTCTGAGACCTTTATAACAAATATGTAGGATATGCAGACTTACTCTAAAACTAGCTTTTATTGCCATTCCATCGAATATATGTATAACATTTCTGTTCATTTCCATAACTGAACCCGAATTAACTTTGCTTGAATTTGAGAACTCAAAGCCAATTCGGGTTTGCAAATCGTATCACTTATGTGTCTAATGCGTGTATAAGATCTTGCTTAAGCTGTGGTCAGACATACAAATAATTTGCCGAATTTGTTGCAGAACGCTATATTTTAGCATTACATTCATGACATGCCTGGGTAATGCAATCATTTTTGTAAGCAGATGATTTGCCTGTTACTCATATTTTTGGTAATTTCGAAGGACATTGTATCTAATACAATTATGTGATCTTTTACAGTTGACCTGCAGGACGTGTTTGAATCAGATGCATTTGTATTTCTCGTATTCGAATTGTGCCCTAAAGGCGAACTCTTTGACTATCTGACGTCGGTGGTGACGCTGTCTGAGAAGAAGACGCGCACAATAATGCGGCAAATATTCGAGGGGGTGGAGTATATACACTCCAAACATATTGTGCATCGTGATCTGAAGCCAGAGAATATATTGCTTGATGAGAATCACAATGTGAAGATCACGGACTTTGGTTTCGCACGACAGCTGCAGGAGGGCGAAAAACTTACAGGTACGCACATTTTCGTATGAAATCAATGCAACAAACAAAATATATACAAGTATGGATATTTAACTTATCAATATCAATAGATTTATGCGGTACGCCTGGCTACTTGGCTCCAGAGACGCTCAAATGCAATATGTTCGAGGGATCGCCGGGCTATTCACAGGAAGTTGACATGTGTGTATCTTACCTACATATATTTGCCAAAATATTTAATTCTGTGGATAACATTCTAATTCTCTATCTCTTTCTAAACCATGCAGTTGGGCGTGCGGCGTCATTATGTTTACGCTACTGGTTGGATGCCCTCCATTTTGGCATCGGAAACAAATGGTTATGCTGCGCAACATTATGGAGGGCAAATATAGCTTCACCTCGCCCGAATGGGCAGATATTTCAGGTGAGTGGATGAGTGTGTGACTCCTTAGTATGAATTATGCATTCCTATATGATGGGTTGTGTTTTGAAATTATGAATTACAGAGGATCCCAAAGATCTAATACGCAAATGTCTAGTCGTTGATCCTGCGCAACGTATAACAGTCAAGGAAGTATTAAGACATCCATTCTTTAATCAAATGGTAAGTGATGCCTGTCAAGGTCCTTTATTGCGCCTAGTTAGCTACCAACTGGTTGGCACGTTCGCTGTACATAAACGTTTCTATATAGCATAAGAATATTTTAAGTACCACCTATGATGTTATATTTTTCTCGCTCTAGTTAAGTCGACTCTTTTAAGTGCACTTTCTCACAAACTTTGTTTTGTTTTTTTTTTTAAAATCATATCTTCCTACCTTGTAAGTCATGTTGCCTTAAAAGCTTCTCTGAAGATTTTCGTACACGCACTCACAAGCAGCATCCCAAGAACCACTTCTATATAGCACTCATCCGCAGATACAAAACCATGCGAATCGTACGCAACATGCAGATAAATGAACAGCAATTGTTCCACAAAAAAAAGAGAGAGTATGTAGATATTTAAGAAGATTTTCTCTTTCCCAAATTTGCAAGATTGAAGGAAGCTAACTTAATGTTTGGACGATTCTGAGAGCGTTAGTTTCCCCAGAAAGACTTACATACATATTTCTAAGCAATAATCTAAGTATGTACAAATGTTACTTTGTATTATAACTCTGCTTATAATTAGGACGCTAGTGTAGACTAGGAAGGCAGACAACTTAATTAGGGATGACTTACCGCTAACAAAAACAACAAATACACTGAGTAACCTGGAAGCTACTAACAACCCCCATCAATTAGTTAATTGTATCTTAAGTTTTCCTTAATCTCTAAGTAGCACTCTTCGATTTAAATGTTAGGTATATTTTTATAATTTGTCTTAAGTTATGTCAGGTTTATTTATTTATTTGTTTATTTTTTTTTTTAATCTTCTGCTTTTATCAATTTTGTTTAATTTAAAATTATACATTATAAAACTTTTCTCTTTTTTCTTTTTACATTTTTGAAAAAAAAAAATCGAAAATAAATCATACGTTTATTACGTTTATAAAACACACAAACACATACACGAAAAAAAATTGAAAACAACAATAACAAATGACATGAAAATATGAAAAATATGACAAATTTAAAATCGAACGGTACGAAAATAGTTGTTCGAGCAAAATATCGATGGCCTCAAGCGCAGCCTGTCGACCAAGTCCAGGAGAATGAGTCGCATCACTGAAATAGCACTGGTAACGAAACGCGTTTCTGGACTAATCATGTTTTTCTATTACTACTACCAATACTACCAATACCATCGCAACAACAACAACAGCAGCAACAACAACAACAACAATAATAATAAAAACAACTTCAAATCTAATAATAATAATGATAATCACAATTTGTTGCATTATTATGTTGCCATTACATGTTGCATTCGATAACTGTTTGTTGATTCTACCTCTATATACATACTATATACATACTTGTACGTGTATGTACATAGACTCCTCTCGTATGCCTTGTATGCCTAATACTTACTATACTGCGTCCATCTCATCAGTGCGAAAGATGCGGCAGTCGCATCATTTTTCCACCCACAATCGAGTTGTTGTTGCTGCACATGTTTTGAAATTTTTTGAATGATTTACATACTTGTTTGATCTTGCCACGCATAATACTTATCTCTATATACACACATCTATACGTATGTATGTATGCATTAATTATTTATTTGTAACGCCTATTATTCCACTAGTATGTATGATCTGTATGTACTCCGTAGTCGTCCTTGTTGTTTTATTGAGCGTACAAATTATTTGTGTTCGTTTTTCAAATAAAACTCAAACCCAAATCCCTCGTCAGTGCCTGTCAGTATGTCTGCCTGCAGTTAACTAAACAACGAGTAAACATACTCGTACATACACACACACACACACATACATACATACAAATATATCTAATTTGCATTCAAATCCAACTTGTGCTAAATCTGCGTGTGTATGTATGGCTGTGTGCATGAGAACCTACTATCGCTGAAGCTGATACTTATACTATGATTATCATGCCAATAATGATATCTGAAATCCAAAAAAATGAATATACTCGTATAGTAGAACACAAGAAACAACGGTTGTGCATGTGTGCGTTAACTTTTTGCGTTTCCTGTATACCAAAAGGTGCCTTAAATAGTCCAGATTTAAAGTCTATACACATAAGTACTAGGTATTTCAAATACGTGCAGCTTAAATACATACAAGTAGATACTGCCACTGTAAGACCTGACGAACTCAGCCTTATTTCACAGTTTTAAGTTAAGTTACGTATCGTTTTATAGCAAGCAAAATAATGCAGGGTGACAAAATATGGAATATATTTTAAGATTTCCAACCAAATACAAAGTAATTCAACAAATTCTTAACAAATTGTTGAAGAAACATTGTTCGCAATTGGCCAGTAAAGAAATACCAAAGCTTATAACCTTATTCCTGAACTTTGTTTGTTTTTATTCGTTTCTGTTTCTCTTGGCCTTTAAAGGAACAAGTTACTTCAAAACAATATATTTGTGCACTCGCCCTTTTAAGGGAACGTCTAAAATCTCTAAAGCAAAATGCAGAAAATGAATCTATTTCATTTCCTGTAGTTTCAAGTGAAACCCAAATCTACAATAGAGCTGCTATTTATACTGTCTGGGGGGTGAAAAAACCTATATTAGGGGAGTGCAAATGTATGTTACAGATAGACTTTCACGAGCTTATTTTAGCTTTCGCATTTCAACCTTTCCCTGCTACAGTATTTTTTCACTAGTGTCCAAGGTTACATTAATCATAATAAAATGTTAAACACTTTACTTTTATATACTACCGTTCTATTTATCAAACTCGATCAATAGTAAGAGTAAGAGTTATAAGCGAATCATCTCTCTAGTTTGCTCAGTAATTGGTAACTCATAGAGCAGTTTCAGGATTCTGTTTTGAAAGAATTGCTTCGCAATAACATTTGTGCACAGGATTAATATTTCTTCAGTCTCAAAGCTATGATTGACAATATTAATTTGCTTTTTGCTTCATAAAAGTTTCATGATTTGTAATGTTTTCAAGTTTATTCAAAACAAATCCAACACACATACTATACCATCTGTATATTATAGCTTTTAAAACGTTGATCGATCTAAAATGGTCATATTTGAGAAGAATATCGACAGATTGATGAGAGTTTTTTCTTCCCCCTTTTCCGGCCCAAATATTATCATTAATTGCTGTTATATTGATTTTGTCACCGTGTTTATTTTGCTCTTAACATTAATTTAATAGAAAGATTTAGAGTAAGGACATCATTTTGAAACGTCGCGCTCTAACTACTTAATTTTCATGATTATTATTGTTATTATTATTTTTCCCCCACAACCGCCTCGCCCTGCCCCGCCCCGCCCCAAAACATCCCTCCCGCTCACCTCCATGATATACATCGACTGCCCATTTGCGAAACATTCGTATCATGCTAAGGTGCTAATGAGCGAGCTATCGATGGCGCCCTATAGATACCTCAGTTGTGCCGCTGGGCAGCATGTGCCGGGCATGCAAGCAGGCTCTAGTCGAAATCCGCTGGCGGCTTTTCATTGTAACAATAACAACAACAACTATAACAACAGCAGTCACAACAAGAGCGGCAACAGCAACCACACCAACAACAACAATTTTAGTCAGAATCCTTGTGACTCGCAATCATATATGATGTACTACAGTGCCCCGCAAAGCTCATACTCATCGAATCGCTTGCGCGACATCACCGCCCAGCCCCATGACCCCCATCAGCATCTGCAGCATCTGCAGCATCAGCAGCAACACCTTGCCACGCCGCCAACGGCAACAACAACAATCGATACATCAACAACAATGCGCAGCAGTGTTGATGTTTATGCCAGCAGTGGTGGTGTCGGTGGTGATGGTAGTGGTGGCGTTGTCGGCGGCGGCGGCGGCGGCGTTGGTGCCTCCTACAAGACAATACGAGCCACCGTGTATTATCAGCAGCAACAACAGCCCCAGGGGCAGCAGCAGCAGCAAATTGGCGATCAGCTGACGCTGGAAAATTATGAAAATGCTGCAAAGAAACTTTTGTATGCACCAGATCAGGCAGGTTTTCATTTTACTTTTGTTTTGTTTTCACGTATCGACTTGCTTTAGACATTACCTTATTTATTAAATTATAATTTAATTTAATTTTAATCGATTTCCTTTTCATATTTTAGAGCTTTTGCGTTTATTTACAACATTAGTTTATTATTGTATCGCACTTGCAAACATCAATCAAGACACCAAAAAAAATCACTCTCACCACACCCAACACTCCACGCCCATCCATTAGAATACTTATGTATATCTGAGCACATATGTAATATTGACAACCGCTAATCGATCAAAACTACAATTTAGACACGGTCCCATTCCGTTCCGAACTACTAGCAACATGCGAGAAAAGTTGAGAAACAAATTATGAAATGACTGATGTTTTTTATTGATAACTGATCTCATACACAGTTCCGGCCCCATACGATGTTTTCGCTGATAAACCACGAATAATACTAAACTCATAGATAACTTATAATATAAACGGGGAGAAATTAAATATGAAAAATTCACTCTTAAGAATCAATCGCTGTTCCAGTAATTAAATATCACAAATCTAGTCAACCTTATAAGTTGAAGTATATCAAAAAACATAGAACTTGGGTTACTATTTCTGCTCAAGGAACCTGCTGACAAGCTAAGTTTTTTAAATGTTCGAGAAACGATGCTCTCTAATATATACCTGACAGATTTTGGGCAACTATTTCTGCTCTAGTCTCTATAGACAATATCTGCAGTCTGTTAAATGTTCGAGAATCGATTCTCTCCAACATACTTGTATATCCGACCTTTTTATAGTTATAGTGGCTAAGCAGACCTGAAAAATAATCTAAAAAAAGAAACTGTAGGTAATATTTCACATGTAATATCTCCTAAGTATAATTCGGAACGATCTGGTTTGATGGTCTAACTTGTGGCAAACAATTTTTTGCACCAAGCTATAAAGCACACACATTCGTATTATTATATTTGTAGTATGAGTGTTGAATTGGCTTTCCATTTTTTATTAATATACCTATTACAATAAATATACATATAATTTGTTAGCTTATTCTACTATACATAGTTTATGCAATAAAAGTAATACAGTTTGTATTTTTACGCACCTCTATAACGTATGATTTGGTACTCTAATTTGGTGTAGCTGGACCACACTCGTATATACTCTCGTATCTGTACCCAATGATGAATTGTATGTAGTTGTAGTTATATGCTTCTGCCGGATATGTATGTACACATATGTAGTGGTATTCGCCCCCTTAACATCTCGCAAATCTAGATACATTTCGTACATCCTACTAAAACGTAAAACGTACCACCCGTACTGTGCAAGCGGTTCATACCTCTGCAATAACAATTCTAAGTTTCGAAGTTAACTTCTAGGTGTACCATTCCATGTATATATGTATTTACGAATGTAGTATGTATGTGTGTAGTATGTATGGTATATTATCATTTCAATGTCCTCTATATCTCGTACAAGTATATGTATGTCTACCTGTTTACTCTATCTATAATCGTACACTTGCAATGTGAAAGAGGCGCCGATCGCTGTTAAATGTGCATGAGTTAACTATCAATATAATTATTTAAATCGCTATTACTATTATAATTGCTATACTATATGTAATATATATATTTGTATCTATTGATAAATGTCCTATTCGCCCAATTGATTCACTGACGGATTCTCATTTCTCTTATGTATGATTTTATACACGTTTTGTTTTGTGTGTCATGTTCTCTATATTGTCAGAGTCTCAACGCCCTTATAAGATGTGTGTCTATAAGTCGGTGTTGTGGAGACTCCATTGTGAGTAAAACCTGAGAAAAATTACCAAGTATGCATAGTTATATACACATATATATATATGTTTGATTTCAACAAAAACGATAAATAAAATAAAAACGTACCTTTTTACACAAATTTAAGCTGGTATTAATCAAAAAACAAAAAACCAAAAAAAACCGCATAAACATTTCGATCCTAAGCTCTCGTTCTTGTTCCAATTTCTTTCCGCTTCACTCACACCCACGCGCACCCAGAGATATAGCCTGCCTACTAAGTCTGAGCTGAGAGCAAGGTGTGTTGCTCGCTATCTCCCAAAATACATACATACTTGTACACACATATGCGAGAGAGATCTCTTTATTCTGAAACTAATACTTGTACGAACGAACACTAATCCGAACCATTTGGTTTCCTTTCTCTTCGTTTGACTAATGTGATTGTATTATTGTTATTCTTGTTATTATTATTATTATTATTGCTACATATTAACCATGCAACTCTTTGGCACTTACACGTTTCTTACACATTGAACCAACATTAACACATTATGTATGCCTTCATATAATCTAAAGATAATCTCAATGTTTATTAATTTCTCTCCCTCTCTTTACTCCAATCTCTGTGCTGCTGCGCTCCTAAATCAAACAGCTGAGAAAACAGAGTCGCTTCAATGCGCGCAAAAAGTTCCAATTCGCCATATTGGTGATACGTGCTGTCATCCGGATACGGCGCCTCCGATATACCGCCGAGCCGCTTCACGTTGAGGAGGCGATACGGGATCCGTATCGCGTGAAGGTTCTACGCAAGGTAAGTGTTCCCCGTCCCCCTTTTCATGCTGCGATTATTGGGCATTACAGAGCCACCGATTTCAACAAAATGTAAAGAAATTTAGAAATCAGACCGAATACTCCATCTCTTTATTACGAAAAATAGATTCACCAATTTCCAATTTTCAGTTCAATAAGAACCCTTTTATTTTTATTTTATACTCTTGGTTTGTTTTTTAAAACTCAGAATACAATCAAAGTGTAAATTATAATAAATACAAACAGTAGAAGTAACTTAATACAGTGGTCCTTGGTTGGCGGGATATTTTAAATTAAAAAAAAAAAAACTAGAGTCAGAACATATTTCTATTAAATGAACAGGCAGTTAAGTTTAGATAAATAAGTATCATAGAACGTTGGAGTCGTGCTAACTGTTTAATGCCTTGTACGTATCCTTTTTCCCGTTACAGGAATTCCTTTTAGATTAATTCTAAGTCAGTTTTGTGATATAGTTTGGCAATTTTGATAAAACTGCAGATTATAATGAGGTGCAAAGCATAAAAGTTGTCTAAGATTAATTTTTCCACCAAATAATGAGGCTCTGATTAGTGATAAGACCAAATTCGTATACCAAGTTTGATATATAGCATATACCTTTCGGATACAGAATGAGAATGGCCTAGGCAAAAAACAATCTGGATTTATTTTTGAAATATGTAGTATCTGTAATTATGAAAGTATGGACCTATATTAGTTTAATCAGGTTTTTTTGTACGGCTTGTGGAATTTAATCGGAACACAAAGCACTATACTCCGTTTACTGGATATATTGGAAACCCCTGTTTGTTTCCAGATATTTTCTAACCAATCTTTATGTTTCCATATGCTATTTGCTTACGGATAATTGCTCATCAGTCTTTCTTTGATATACGAATAATGTGTAAGCTAAATCTCCCATCATCTATTATTAAACAGGTACGAAAGAGATCAATTACAGAGTTATCGCACAGAGTTTTGCGTCTATCGATTAATATATGTTTCTTCTGAAAATGAAAATGTATATGCTTATAGGTTCACTGGAGTATATCGTGTCAAGTATATATATAGCTCTGATAGATAAATTGGCTATAACATAGTCTGGGGCGCACCAAAGATATCTTTAAAGTATTTAAATGAATTTTATTAGAGGTTTCTAGTCCATTCTGTATGATCAATAAATTCGACTAACTGATTAATTCTCTCTCTCTTTCTCTCTCTCACGCTTACAGGTTATCGATGGCTGTGCCTTCCGTGTCTACGGCCACTGGGTTAAGAAGGGCGAGGGCCAGAATCGCGCCGCTCTATTCGAAAATACTCCGCGCACGGAGCTTCATGCGCTTTACATAAACAATCTCAGTCGATAGTGACGGGTCGAAAGAGTCGGGGGAATCGAGAATCGAAGAGCAATAAATGACTGTAAACTGTAAAACGGCGAAACGAAATGTAAAAGTTACTAAGAGGAATACCAAACAGCAATCGCTAAGGAAAGAGAGAACAACAATTTAGTGCAATTGTTTTCTTCTTCACTTTTTTTTTTTAAATCAAGAGATATCATTTAAGCATATATGCATACATATATACATACATATATATATATATATATATTTATATATATATATATATATATATCTAAACATATGTATCTGCTGCCCACTCATTGTTTTAAATCTCTACTTCTTTTCATCTTATTTTCATAATTTTTTATTTTTTTTTGTATTTGTTTCCTGTATCCTTTTGTTTACGTATTAATTTTTATTTGTGTATTGTGGACATTTCAAAAATTGTAGGCTCATTTATTAGTGTAGTTCATATATAATTGCATCATAAATAGGCTCAGCTCTTACATAACATATGTATTATTATTAGTAGAGCTAAGCGACCGATTCGTTGGCCAGCTCCCAAATATAACAAACTCCTGTGCATATAACAATAAGAATAGGAGAGAATTATTAAGCAATTATTTAATAACAAAACACCGAACCCGACACCAACATCAACACCAACAACAGCACCAACACAAACAAATGCGCACAAAACAAATTGTAACGATCCTTGCACATACATAGGTATGCATATATGTGTATATACAACAAGTGTGTAAGTAATACATACCATACGTACGTACATATGTACATACATACATATAGTATGTACATATAGTATGTTTGCACGCATATGGATACGATTTATTTATTTGTATTTTTCTGTTAATGATTTTATTAAATTATTTAATTTAATTGCTAAGCGTTTACTCTTTAATTGTTATATTGTAGTATAAAAATAAATAAATAAACCGACAAAAAAAACACAAAAAAAACAAAGAAAAACAAACAAGCACATTAATTTAAAACGAAACTGTGTCAAAATAACAAACAGTAAGTAAGGGAGGCCTTCGACCCGGACCTCGACCTCGCCCCATCATAGCATTCGAATCTCTGGCGTTATCTTCTAAATGTGTTTGGTACAATCGTAGCTGCGCTCACAGCACTCCGGATAGGCACGATTGCTGTTGGCAAAGTCCCGTTGCTTGCAGCCCCGGGGCGGGGCAACGGCCGCACAGGTCCTGAACTCCACACGTCCGCCATCCATGCAGGTAACGCCAGCGCAGGGATGGTTGGGCGCCTTGCCGGTCTGGCCCGGCGACATAATTGTGTTGGAGTCCAAAACGCACTTGCCAGGATATGCTGGGCAGCGAAAGGAAGGAGATGTAAGAGGATTAGGTTTATTTTTTCTGAAAACTTCTTAAAAGCAAATTACAAGTTCTTAGAGAGAACATGGGATATATCCTTTTTGGGATGGCATGTCATGTGGCTAAATATTTGCAGTATTTCGATTACCAGAAATATTGAATGAGGCCGAAAACTGATCTTAAGAACATTGACAGAATTTTCGTAAGGCTAAAGGAAGAGACGTTAAGGCTTTCGTAGTTCAATCGAAAAACTTTTGGAAGCTTAAGCTTAAGCAAAATCCTTGATGCGGATTAAACGTGAAATTAAATTTGAAAGAGTAAAGAGACCGTCTTTTGTTTACATGAAGAAGCCTAATATCTTCAGTATTTCGTTAAGCAGAAATAATGAATGAGGTTGAAGACTGATCTTAAGAACATCGACGGAATTTTCTTTAGCCTTACAAAAATTGAAATGTTAAGGCTTCAAAATGCAAAAAATGCTTGATTCAGATTAAAGGGATTCAGAAGCAAATAATTTAAATTTGAAAAATCGAAGACACTATATTTTGCTTACAAGAAATATTGAATGAGGTCGACGACTGATCATTGAACTGCTTCTGAGCATTGTCAGAGTTTTGTTCAGACTACACTTCCCATTAGCGTTATTAAATGGGGTTCGGGATAGACCAAATATAAAAGATATTTAGCTTACTAGAAAAACCTTGAAAAGTCAATAAATTATACGTTACAATAAAAAAGTCTAAATATGAACTGTTGTATGATATTTTGCTATTCAGAAAATGTGCCGATTTCTTGAACTCTAATCAATAGACTCCTGATAATAACACATCCGTACTAAGAGTGTCGTAGAAAAGGAGAGAAGGGGAGCCCCGGACAGATTCCTGGAAGATGGAAACCATGCTTGAAAAAAATCTGTCCAGGGCAGATTCCTGGTAGATTGAAACCATACTTGGAATCCCCCTTCTGACAATAACACATCCGTACTAAGAGTGTCGTAGAAAAGGATAGAGAGGGAGCCCCGGACAGATTCCTGGAAGATGGAAACCATGCTTGAAAAAAATCTGTCCAGGGCAGATTCCTGGTAGATTGAAACCATACTTGGAATCCCCCTTCTGACAATAGCACATCCGTACTAAGAGTGTCGTAGAAAAGGATAGAGAGGGAGTCCCGTACAGATTCCTGGAAGATGGAAACCATACTTGCAATCCCCCTCAGAAAGTAAAGAATGCGCTTTAAGGGCAACAGCCGGCAGAAGGAAAGCTCCTGATTCCAGTTCACCACTTACTTGGATTGCTGAAGTCGGCGCGGGCAATAGCCGCCTGGACACTCTGGTTAGCCAGCAGAGCAAAAGCGGCACAGATGAGGAGGGCGACGAGGGCGTGGCGCGCCATAGCGAGAAACTGCGAAGCTGGTGTGGAAATGGGAATGCGTTTAACGGAATTAGCTGCTTCTTCTCCGGTTATCCTGTGTGTGTGTCCTGAGCCGACGCGCGCTGTGCTGGAGCTGTGTACTGTTTTGCAGAGTAATCTCAAGTGCTGTCGCTTGTTCCCAAACGAAATGTTTTATATACGGCGCAGGCGAATGTTTGGCTTTGTTATCAACAGCAGTCGCAACAACAATTGCAATAATAACAGCAACAACAACAACAACGACAACAGAACCAAGTTAAGCTTAAGCCCGTGCGTCGGCTTATCGAGTGTTGGTGGCAACGTCACCGAAACCGAAACCGAAGCCATCGACTTGACCTTGCCCATGCCTGGTTCCATGCCCAGTTTGTCATTGCCTGTTTGGTTACTTTTTGTTCTTATTGTTGTTGTTGTTGTTGGGCGCAACTTCCCTGCAGTTCATTGAGTATTTAATTACATATATGTACATATGTATATAAAAAATAAAAATGCGCAAGCATATGTACATATGTATATAAATACAAGTATGTTGTTTTATAAATATGAGTGTTTAATTATACATAAAAAATTAAAATATCTTTGTAAATACATATGTATATAAATATGTTGTTTTATAAATATGAGTGTTTAATTATACATAAAAAATGAAAATATCTTTGTAAATACATATGTATGTATGTATATAAATGTGTTTTTAATATGTCCACAAAAATACATACATATGTGCCAGTAATATATATATGTGCATACATACTTGTATGTATGTATTCGGCGCTAGTCACGCTTATCACGTTTCTGATTTTTGGATTGGCGCCTGCTTTAATTAGTTCGTCGATACTGTTTATTATTATTTTGTTTGTTTTTGGGGAATTTTTCTTGCCCAGCTCCGAATTCCAACAAATTCCTGTTTATGCCACGAAATTCCTGTGCTCTAGAGTGCTTGACTCGGCATTTCACACACAAATCATTTCGCACTTTCACCGCAACACCAAAATAATGACTCCGTAGCTGTTTCTGTTGCTGTTGCCGGCTGGAGTGTCGGCGTCCAGTTCTGGTGCTTGACCTTTGCAATCAAACGACCTGCAGTCCGGTAGGACACGGACGTCATTGACACTGGAACAAGGTTCGATCCATATATTATATCTCTGAATTTTTATTGCATTAGCTCATACCGTACTTGAATTGTGCGTAATATGGATTTGCATTTCCTTACAATGGGTTTCTGAATACACTTGATACATGATCACAATTAACCAGGTTAGTTCAATAGCAGGAGCAATCTTGTTCCATGTCAGCTATATCTCTGTATTATATACTTAGCATACGATATATGTATGTATGTCATATGTATATTATTGTTGGTTTGTTATAAGGTTAGTGTTACCAACAAATTTGTTTATTTATTTTATTTAATAAATCAACAAATAGTGCTATGATTTATATTATATTGTAATATTATAAATTAAAATAGAGATATGTAATTATATTACGTCAATTTTAAACTTAAAAGATATTAAAGGGTAAGAAAAAACTCTACAATAACGTCTATTAATGCCGCCGACACGTTGGGGGAATTTTATTTGCCATTTGGCCAGCTATTCCCCGATTCACAGCCAAATGTGGTCAGAGACATTATAGATTCTAACAAACTAAAAAAATATTAAGCAGAGGAGGAAAATTAGTTCTACTTAACAGCTTATTAAGCATAAAGAGAAATACTGAAGAAAATGTTGTTTAAAAAAAGTTATTCTGCATACGCGGAATTCTGTTTCTACTTGTATCTTCGAAAATATATTGCAACTACTTATATACAAGTACATATAAAGTTACAAGCCCTTATCTAAAAGAGCGTGTGAAAAAGTGTTTCAGATATAATATTAGAGCTCTGAGCCACTTTATTTAATAAATTAAAGTTTTTCCTTTAGAAATAAAGACCATTTACACCGATAATTAATGCGATTGGCAGTTGCCAAACAAAACAACATTCTGACCAAATTTTGCCGTAGGTAGTCGTTGAACTTGTTGCGTGGCATCTGATATTTTCTGCAGAAATTTTCAAGAAAATAGTACAAGCTACTTATGATAATGACAGCTCGCGTAGCATAACTGCATGATGACTAATAGATTTAAAACGAGTTGAAATTTCCTTCCAAAAGGGTTTTTAAAAAAAAAATTGATCGAGTAGCTTTGAGAATAATTGAATCATAATTGATCCATGACTGCATCGGATTTCCTACTTACCTGGCGCTGTAAAACACCGTTCATCGCTGGTTTTTTCGAAAAATTTTCCATTGCTCAGATGCTGGCCGACCGTTGAGCAAGGTCGAGTAATTTTCCACTGCAGACTAGCATAGAAAGCCTATGATATTTATAACTTACTGATGCGGGCATCAGAGCCCAATATACGCTAAAAACACCCCTATAAACTAACTCCAAATTTCAAAACTAATTAATAATATATAAAAATAGACAAAAAAAAACAGATAGAGTTGAAAATGTTCCGGATTCAGGCATCCCCAGAGTTTAACATACATTTTATTTCTATATTAAATTTGTAGTACATACTACATATATCTACGTCCAGACACTTTCTATGAGAATTCAAAAATAGTTTTTGTTATGCATCTTTAAATCTGATCAACAGTTGCATTAATATGCGATTGAAAAATCCAAATGATACACATAATCTATGGAATAATGAAATCGATAACACTTCTTAATTGAATTGGTTAAGTCCGGTAATTCTCAACAACATCTCAATACAATTAGCCAAGTATTAGGTGCCCTAAAGGAGGATGAAGTAATCAAGAACTTAGATTTGAAAATCTGAACAGCTTAAAACCGTTGCAAACGCCTTTATATAAATGATTTTTAAACGAACATACTATAAAACGAAATTGGAATTGAATAAACAGTTTTAAGCATTTCCGAATTGCTAATGAGTGTTAGATATTTCTTTTTATGATACGTTAGCCCAAAGTATTAATATCGCCTATATAACCCTCTAAGGATTAAAACTATTAACGTATGAACAAATTTGTGGACTCAACTGCGAAAGCCAATGTTAAGGACGTGGTATAAGATCTGTTTGTCGTGGTTGACGATCGGTCTTTTGCTGGGCAACAAATCAAAACAGTGATATACATTTACTTAAAATAGGAGCTTTCTATCGTTAATTTTGACCATAAGATAATAAACAAAGTTGATGAAGACATTTTTTTTAAAACTTTACTATTTATTCTTCTCTATTTCTTTCTGGAAATTGTACATATAAATACTTTTATATATATATAGTTCATTTCGTTTTGCCTATATTACAGATAAATGTTCTTGCGCTTGTCAGAGCTACACGTGCATGTTGTCTACAATTTACTTACTTACATATGTATATGTTATTTTCTTTGTCAACATAATATCTTCGGCTTTTGACTTAAAAATATAAAATTTATGTTTACAAAATGCATTCAAATTATACAGAAACAATCGAAATTACATACATACATAGATATAGAATAGAGAATAGATAGGAACGCGCAATAAATTATTAAACGAGATTCCGCGTATGGATACACACACATACATATGTATGTAGTATATCGAAATACCGTATTTATAGATATGATTCATTATTGTTCACGGCGTTTCACATGCGCATGGAATGCGAACAGAGATTCAAGCCAGGAGATTCAGAATGAGATGACAATTGAAATCAACATTGATTTAAGAATTTACATATAAACGCATTGTACACAGCTACGAGTATGTATACGCTACTACATATACATAATACATCCACATACATACATCAAGAGGTTCATATGTACGTACACACCCAACACATGTATGCATTGTTCGAGCTACAGACTAAAGCTAACTCGTCCCCCATTCGATAATGTATTTCGGTTCGTCTGTATATTATGTGTTTCGGATCGTTTTGTGTTCCTAGGTTTTTAAGTGAATTTGTACGCAACTACACGCCTGCATATAGCGGCAACTTGGCGGTATCTAATTTGTCCTCCACCTTAAACGATGGAAATAGCCCGCCCTGATTGGTGCGGGTATTCTTTCCCTTGGAGTTGCCATCCCAATGGTTGCCAGCAACCGAAACCAAATCGCCCACCTTCAGCTGCAGGTCCTCATGAGATCGCGGCTTGTGCGCAATCACAGCACGTCGGTTGTGCGGATTTTGGCCTCCATAATAGTAAATGTCGTCCAGCGATTTAAAACGATGAGAGGCATCCGGATACATGGTTTGCATTATCTCGTAAGCAACACGGCACACCTGCGACGAGAATGTGCAGACTAGATGGTCGGACAGCGAGAGCAAATGTATGTCCAATATAATGCCATTGAGGGCGGTGTCCGTATAGCGCGTGGAAACGGCAGCCATGCGCGCAACCTCGGGGTCGCCAACAATGTGATATTGTGGATACTTCTTGCGAGCCTCGTCGATGACCCGCGCATCGTCAGAGGCAAGGAAAATGCGGCGCACTACCGTCGTACCATTTACCTCCAGCGTCCGATAATAATCCTCTACATGCGTCATATACTCCTCGATACTATGAAAGGCGGCCTCAGTGCCAACCTTGTCTGTACGACGCACATGCACGCTGCAATAATTTCACGTTATTTAAGTCCAGCAGATTGAATTATATAGCACTTACCCTACAATTGGTCGCTCCCACCCCAGATTTCTCATACCCGAGACGAGAAAATCGCGAGTAGGTGCTTGTGGTCGAAGCAGATATTTGAGAAATTGGCCAACCCACCAGACAATGGGATCGCCATGCAAACGTTTTAAGCGTGGCGCCAGATCCTCAGGCACGGCCAGTGGCAAATAGGGTGGTCTTGGCATCAATGAGTCGATTATAGGAAGCACAAGCACTTGCGTATTTGGCTTGCCGGGCCAATTATTGGCAGCCCCGTTACCAGCATCATTGCAGGTGGAGGACACTGGCAGAAACACCTCTTCCCAGCCGCCTTTGTGATAGCGCCAGCCGCGCGATTTTAATATCAGTGTGCGCTCTGTAGCATACGCCACAATAAAGCAATAGACCACATGGTGCAATTGGCAGCCGTAACCACAGCCCTAAAAAAAAATTAAACAAAGTTCAATACACAGTTCTTAAATAGAACAAAGACCAGAACTCTTTTGTTAAAATTCTAGTTTAGTTTGGATATCCTAAGTAGTACTAAGATTAGTTTCTAGAGTGTTTCTCTCTATATGGAATAATAGGAAGGATTTTGACATAAAAACTCACCTTATTTAGTTTGCATACCAGCTTGCGCGCATTCTGACAATCGCTAGGGTGCTGTAAATGATGCAGTCGACGCTGCACTAAATCACTGAGATCCTTGGACTCCTTTTGGCGCCAGGCCTCATATCCATCGACGGTGCGCAACCGCTCCATATCACTGAGCAAAGAACGCTTGTGCTCAGCTCCCTGCAGCAGCACCTGGCTAATCGTTTCAGCCAGATCGCTGTTGGCATCGTTGCTGACTATCTTGCGTATTTTTCCCAGCTCGCTGCTAAAATAGTTCCATATCTCGGCAATATTCGACTGGATACGTCGCCTAGTGAACTCATATTCTAAGGTGGGTTCTGCAATGCTTTCCGTATTGATATGTGCACCTCCAACAGCAGCGGCGGCATCGCCATTGCCACTATTAAACTTGGAGGGATCCAAGTTATTATTGCCATTGGCGGAGGCATCATTGGCTATTTCGGCAGCTTTAAAAAGTGCATCCTCGGCAGCTGCATCGACGATCACCAGTCGAGGATTTTGTACATCGTGCTCCAGTCTTTGTGCCAGCTTTTGTGCGCTTTGTTTGTCCAGTTGTTCGCTTCAAAGAAATCAAGCAATCAAATGAAATGAAGTTAGGCCATGCATGTAATATTTTTAAAAACTGCCTGTTTTTGCTTCCATATCACCTCAACCCTCCACTGACAAAACGAGCAGGGGCGCGTTTTTGCCAGCTTATAGCTTACGATCTGTAATCTACCGGCGAGATGCGCAAACGTACATACATACATGTAATTAGCGTTCAAGTGCTACGCAATCTGCATATGAATGGACGCTGACACACCCACACCAATAGGCGGCTGCCTAAGCGGCTTATGGTAGCTGCGGTTCTCTACTACATATGTATGTACATAAATATACATATATGCATAAAGAACACACATAGATATGCATACATACATAGATATGTATGTATATTTACCTCATCAGCTCATCAATGAGCAGCTTGAGCTCCTCGTTGCGTTGCTTTGTGTGCTCGAGCAGCTGCAGAGCCTGATTGATGCGACGCGCATTTATGTCATTCTCCACCGCGGCCGATTGACCTTGCGTGTTAGTTAATTTGAGGACAAACACATAGACCAGCACCACCCAGGCAAGCACAAAAAGAATTAAAGCGCGCGCCCAGGAGTTTGCGGATGTGCCAAACAGCTGCCGCACCAGCAACATTTGATAAGCTTGCCCCTATAATTTGGTTTCCAATTAACTTGCAGGCGCAGCTTATTTTGTATTCCCCTCTCCTGTGCTGCGCGTCGACGTCGTCGTATAAACAAAATGCGATTGCTTGTTGCCCGGTCTCTTACATTATTATGCAGAACTTTTTGTGCTTAGATTTGGACCTAGCAAAGAGCTTCTCAATTATTTCCGTACTTCATAGTTAAAACAAAACATGAAAATTAAACAAAAACTGATTAAGATGATGATTTTAATTCACAATGATTATTCTAATTCACAACTGCTATACGTGTATTTTTGCCCTATTGCCACTAGGTCCGTGTAAAGCTGCCACGTAGTTGAAAACCAATTTGTTGTTACAAAATGAATGGGTAGCACTTTTCTTCATATGTAGTATATGGTCGCAAAAATATCGATGGTTCGTTCGACCAACATAACGGACTTTTAACTGCTGCCCTTATTGAAAGAGTACTACCCATATTAAAATACGCCCCTACTATATTTTTAAACGCTGAAAATATACACATATTTTTTAAATATCGCAATTGGCCAATCAAAATTCTTTGAAAAATATTTATTAAATTAAAATGTATATTCATTGAAAAATAGCTCTCCATTTTTTTTTACCAAAGAGGTGGTCCGCTTACATATTACCAATTGGAAATAATGAAAAGCTATATAAAAATGCATGGAGTATGGAAATATATGCGGGTTGAATTCATCCAACTGATATTGATTTGTAATTGGCTAAACTATGACAAATCTACATTAGTTGGCCGTACAATTTTAAAAACTGGAAAATTAAGCCCAATAGCCAAAGATAGTGCTGAAACTTAATACTTCAATACGCTTGAAAATATTTTGATTTTGTAATTGAAGTTGCTTACATTTTTCTAGCAAGTAAGACGGTGGTCCTATTTTCAAAATTCAAATTAGTTTTGCATGTACATATTTATATAGTTATAAAAAGTGACCGTATTTGCTGCAAAACTTGTGAGAAGCATCTGTAAAAACGTGTTCGTTAAAACCCTGAGCAGAAATACCATTAATATTTTCATTTGAAATAAAATGGTAAACAAAAAAGACAGCGGTTCACAATTTTCGAAATGCAACTATGTTTTGACATAGATTTATAACCATTATGGCGTATGAGTCCCTCCAATTTGAAAGGATTCGGTTGATGATTATTTTAAAAATCGTTAGTTGCTGAAAGTTCTTCCAGAGTGAAATTACGATGGTTTTGCCCTAAATGTTTGAAGCTATTTTCGCATGAGTACGCCCCTTATACTCTGTATGATTTGAGATCGATTGCTAAAATTGTAGCATCACGTCATATGCAGTTATGTGTACATAAGGGTCGATCAAAAACGACAGTACAAGCTGCTGCGTCACAAGGATCCATATGCATTCAAATGGCAGATTCCTTCTAGGTCAGTGTGATATATAGTATATGTATGCGGGTATACTCTTAATATTTCACAATTTATTTGGACTTATTACTACTGATAAAAATTAATATAATTTTGAGATGGTGTGTTCTATGCTACAGCAGCATCGGACGGTGCACCACAAAGTAGCGGGAGCTGCTGGGCTCCTCCAGTGCCTGGCGCTACTTCATCGTGCCCATGGATCGCTAGATTAATCCACAATGCAAATAAAATTTAGTTGTAAATGAAATTAAAAATTATTTTCGTATAAATTATAAAATTCAGTATGTATATGTATAGTTTTTAAAAAAAAATTGTACAATTATAAATTATATTATTACAATTACGACCACAAAAATTTCTTAGTGTTGAAATGAGTTTTTTTCTTTATCTTTTTTGTTACTTTTTATCGTGTGTGTGCGAGGGTGTGTGTGTTTGTGGGTGAATGTGTGAGAGAGCGCGTGTACAGTATGCAAATATGCAATATATGCCTGGGAGGATGTGTATGCGACAAGTTTTGATTTATTGTTAAATTTAAATACTTATATAAATTACTTTTTATTATAATTATTGTTTTTCATCCTTTTTGTTTTTTGTTTTCTTCTCTTTTTTTGTTTTTGTTTGTTTTTTGTATGTAGTGGGCAACTGCGGCATTTGTAAATTTAATATTTAAATGTTCTTTTGACTGTGTAAAAATATCGATTTTTTCTGATTTTGTTTTTGTTGTTTTGTATCCATTCTTTATTTACGAGTAGTTACTATTTCGCTTTCTCAACTTGGCGTGCCTTGTGATGCATCGCTCTGCAAATGGGACTCATCATCATCTTCCACAGATGATGACAGACATGTGTGTTAGCTATATCCGCACTATGTCTTATGCTATTGAAATGGTTCTTTCCGTTACGGTTTCACGGTTTATGTTGCTACTGTTGCTCTTTCTCCTGGTTCTCTATCCGCATTGTTTTTTATTTCGCTGCTCGGCTCCGCGCTTCTTCTCGTTTATTGATATATAAATATATATATGTATATATATTCATATATGTATGTATAATTAGTTGCTTAATAGTAAAATTTCTTGAATGTTGCTGTGGTAAAGTGTAGGTAATGTTGCTTGCTCTGTGTCGACTCAACTCAACTGCACTACATACATATGTCTTTCCACCAGATACGACGTTGACAACGACTACTCCTCCTCAGTCGCTGCGCAGCTTCTTTAACTCCGGCGACTTGCCACTGTCTGTATCGACACCGGCATTTGCATTGACCTCCAAGTCGCAGTGCAGTACCGTACGCTTCTGACCGATCGATGGCACCACTGTCAGCGATGTCCCATCAGATCCGACGAGGCTCTTGTGTACCACATTGGCGCTCGCCGCTGCCGATGCAGACGCATTTGCGTTTGTGGCGCGCATATTACGGCTACTGCTGCTGTTGCTCTCATCAGCCTCTAGCTCATCGTCCTCTTCATCATCGAGGTCATCGTCATCATCAACATCGTCGTCATCATCGTCATCATCCTCCTCAACCACCTGACCGACAACTCCCACATTAATACGCACACCACAATGCCCACTATTCGGGCCATTATCACTCCCGGCCAAGGGTATCACTCCATTCCCATTGCCATTTGGCTGCTGTGGAGCTACTGAGCCGGGAGTAAGCTGCTCTCCAGCGCTCTGACCATTGTTGTTGGTTTGCCTGTTGTTATTATGCATTATAGGCTGTGCATCGCCTCCAGTCGCCAAATGATTGTTGGCCTTTAGTGGCGGCGCCTCGAGATTACTTTCGGAGTCTGAGGCGAGAGGTGTGCCCCCAATAGGCTCACCATCCTCTGTCGATGTAGTAGCTGTTGTCTGTGTGGTATTATCATCGATGATCGGCTCCTGAGATGTGGAATCGTTGGACACAAAGTTTGAGTCGCCATCTTGCAATGCACCCACGGCAGTGGTATTATTCTTAGCGACCAGCTGCGTGCTACGTTCGCCGGAATTTAGTGGTGTCAATGTGGTCGGATTGGTATTCTCGTTCTCGGTCTCCGACTCTGTTGCAGTATTGCGTCCACCTGCTGACAATTCCAATGCTTTAATATAAAATAATATATAATTAAACAAAATGAGATGTATATTTACCTGCGCCCAAGCTTTCATCGTCCAAGTCAACAGCAACGCCATCATTGGTATCTTCACCATTATTGTTCAGGCTGCCATTTGTGTTGATGACGCCAGGCGGGGGCATATCGTCAAGGAGCTCGGGACTCAAATCATTTGCCACGTAGTGGGCCCAGAGTGCTAGTTCGACACGATGAGGCGACCAATGCGGCGTCTCACCGCCGACCTCTGCATTCAGACGTTCCACAGTTGACTGTATGTGCTGCACAAAATTGAGGTACTCCTTGGTCGTATAGTCAATGCCCTCGATCTCCGGTATGGCCATCAGACACTCATCGGCCATGAATGGCGCCGAATGAGGGGCGGCAGCTGCCAGCAGGGCCGATGCCATTGTTGTGCCAACACCCTTGAGGTTTGATAAAGCTGTGATTGCCTGCTCCAGATTCGGCAGCTTGCGAAAGGCCTTCTTTGTTTCCTGCACAACAGCTCGTGGTGTATTCACTTTGACCAAATAGGACAATTGTGGATAGAATTTGCCACGCGATTGTTTCCACTTCATGGTCTGTACCAACTCATCATACACCATATGCGCATCCTTCCCTCGAGCCTTTATCAAACCTGGCAGCTCGTTCTGGTACCATGCATCCAATCTTATTAGCTCCTGTGGCTTCTTGCTGCGCTTTTCAGCCTTCAGCTTCAGCACTTCCGGATAAAGTTTGAAGCAGTACTCGAATTGTGAGGTGCTGCCATTCTCAAAGAATGAAGCCGTGGCCTTGCCGTTCGACATTTTTGTTCTGGTTAGCTTTTTTGTTGGTCTTCTGATGATCCGATCGGGCAGCTGCTGGTGTTACCAGCAACAACAACAAAACGCAACGCAACACAATAACAACAAGATGAGGAGTATAACACAATCGCTATATGATTAAGTGGTAGCTGCCAAAGCTTGAGGCTACTCCACCTCAGTCGATGATGCTGCTGTTGTTGTTGTTGTTTTTACTTATATCTGCGTTATTTTCGCAGTTTTTTAAATTTATCCGATTGTATCCTGATGATGCTGCTCTTTTGATATATATGTATATATAAAAATACATATATATTGATGTATAGCCTATCTATATGCCCTGCCTTCTGCTCCAAATGGTTTTTGTGCCTTTTGTAGCGCTTGCTTTGCGCCTGCTGCTACTTCAGCCGCTTCTTCTTCTTCTTGTGTGTGTCAACGCACCACTATTTATTGTTGTTGTTGTCGATGGTGGTGTTGTTTTTGGTTTTGTCGCCGGCGTTGTTGGGGCACACATTATAGCATGAAAATAAAGAGAGAAGAGCAGAACGCATACATTGAATAATTAGTTGAACATAATTGCAACATTTTAATAGTTGTTGTTGTACTTTTCTCTTAATTTTTTATTTTAAATTTCTTAAATATAATAATCACATTTGTAATTTCAGCACAAATCGAATTTTTACTTTCGGAAACGAACAGTCGGGTTCTATTGGTCGTGTCGTTCCAACGTCGATGTCGTCGTCGGTCTTTCGCACGCACGAACACACTGTCACACAGTACAAACACTCTCGCAAGCTACACACATGCACAATAGAGTAACGTTTCACGCACACTATAAAGCAAAAAATTTCTTTTCATATATTTTGAAAAAAAAAAAGATGAAAAAATAATGTGAAATAAAAAAACGAACGCGAAATAAAAACCGAAGCGATACGAGTACGGAATCTACTTTTTTAAATATCTTTTTCGTTATTTTTCTTTTTTTTGCACAACAGCTTATGAGCAACCATAACCATATCATTCAAGGAAACAAGCGTTCCATGCCCAGACAACTAATGCAATAGCCCCATTGCTGCTGTTTGCTGCGCTGCCACTGCCTTTGCGCCGTTGACTCCTTCAATACGCTAACCACACACGCTTACGCGCTTACCTTTGCCTTCTTTGCCTATTCGCTTCGCTTATTTCTCGTTGGCCGTGGTGTGTTTTATTGGACAACGACGACGACAACGGCACACAGAGCGCAGCGCTTTAGAGATTGGGATTTGAAATTTTTATTTTTATTCATTCGATGATGATTTCGGTATAGAACTTGTACGCGTCAACTTCTCAGCTCATATCGCTTGCGTCCGCCGCTTGCATGAATTTAGTTTAGTTGCCGCCTGTCTTTCGTTCCGTCCACAGCGAGGCAGTCAGCCAAACACACAACCAACCAGAGCGAGCAAGTATGTAGCTACAGTAGTCGCTGTCTCTGCCTGCGCCGCTGTAGTTGTTGACAGTGGCGTCGCTAGCGATGGGGTCGACCCCGTCTCAATTCCAATTAAACACTAAAAAATATGGTAGCCAGAGAAAGGATCCGGATCCAGGTGACAAACGAGTAAAATTGTTCGCGTAGTAGTAGGCGAAATAATAATAAATTGTATCTTCGTCGTCGCCAGATCCGTTTAGTTCTAGAGCTGCCGTGACTCTGCGCTTCGTACCCCTCACAATTTTGCCTTCGTTCTCGTACGGCTGTGTACCGCGTTCGTTTTATCGCCGTTTCCACTTTCAAACCTTCATTCGTATTCAATGCTGGTCGTTGCTGCTGCTGCTTTAGCTGCTCGAGCAGTGGCGTCTATGGGGGTGCACGACGTGACGGACATCAGGACAAATGAACACGATATTTCAAAATATGTACATACATACATATGTATGTATGTATGTACATATGCATTTTGTGCATTCACTAAATTTTAAGGCAATACTGAATTGAAAAGCTGAACCAATAATCATGTTTGTATACTAATGTACCGGCATTAATACCCTGTTTTTGTAACAACCAAAGGATGACGTAGGCCACACAATGTATATTCATACATACATATATGAACATATATACATTCTTGACCATAATGACTAGCGAAATCGTTATACATACATACATACATATGTACATAGAGAAATGTTTTTTTCGATCCCCTTTTCCTCTGTAAATAAAATAAATAAGCTGTATTATAATGCATTTTTTTAAATTTCGAACTCAAAAATTGCCTTCCCATGCTCTGCCAGCACCTGTTGTCATAATTTTATTGCCTACTGCAAAGATACACATATGTATGTATGTACATGCGCTTTCTAATGTCGATAGGCATATAAACGTTCGTTATATATTACAAAATTTACAAAAATGTTGGATTGAAGGCGTTATGAAATGTTTATTTAAATATATAATTTTAATATCGAATTATTGAACCGGATAAAAGGTATTTAAGACTCCAGCACGAGCGAGTGTGAAATTCATTTTTATTTGCAATCCCTCTCAAAGTGCACGCCACTGTGCAGTTTATCGGTCCGCCTGTGTGCCACTCTGTACGTTGTTGTATCGTTCGTATTCGTGCGCTCGCCATCTGCGCCTTTGTTTCGGTTTTTATCTCCGTTTTCGCTTTAGCCTCATGATTCGTTGTTGCCTTTTTTACTTACCCTATTCGAGTTGTCGTCGTCGTCGGCGGCGACGCGTATAGCAGCTGCAATTTAGCTGTTGACTGTTTCTGCTTTTCCTTCGGTCATTTTTTTTACCCTATGTCATACATACACAACACTTACAAATACGCGTACGTGTGTATATGTATGCACGTACGTTGTTTCTATAGAGTTGCTAACCGTGTGTATCTGTCATATTGTAAAGACGAGCGTGAGCTGTGAGCGTGAATTAATTACCTTGAGTCGCTTGAATGAACTTTATCACGAAATTCAAAATACTTTAAATACAGATGCTTTAAAAGGAAACCCTAAAGTCAGTAGAAAGCTTAACAATAGTGGATTATTCTATTTGCATTAAATTAAATATCTTGTATGTATTTCAACATTTGTTATCATTTAACATTAAAATGCTGTACAGTAAATATATTATTATCATTATATTATTAAAACAAAAGGTTGTTGGTCTGCTACCTGTGTACGTAGTACCTAACAATGATAAAAGTAATATAGTAATAAAGTAATCAAATTTATTAAATTAGCTATGCTCATATCATAACTGAGCCCTTGAATTGGGAAGTGAATATTACGAAACAATTTGATCACGAACCCATCTCCAGTACATATCATATTGCTAATGGAAGCAGCGCTGCCAGATCGTCTCAGGTTTCTTAAATTACAAGTACTTTAAACTTTTAATTACCCCCATTAAACTTACAACATATACAAAACGAACGACCCAACTGTTTATGTATCGACATATGTATGTATGTATGTAGATAAGAAGTTTTCGAAAATATTTACCAAGAGTATCGAAGAGACGGCGATTAATTCGAAGAGACGGCGATTATTCCATTTAGCACGATTCAAAATAAGACAAAGCAAATATGTACATACATATGTATGTAAATAAAAATGCACACAGCTAGAACCCATTCTTATATGGGTCATTATGCACATTATACATACATATATGTGACTTAATAAAATAAACATAATTCCTTGTTTTTTCCACTGATTTTAAAACGTTTTATTTTTGCATATGATTAATGTCTTTTTTACACGGTTTTTTCTGGAACCAATCTACCGTATAAAAACACAATTTGGTATATACCCCCTATTGTTAAGATTGGGGTTTTTTTCGATTAGTTCTTCACAGCTACTCCCTAAAGTAATAATATCACCGCCCGATGGCGCCACTATCACCAGCGAAGTCTACTATCATGTAGTATATCCTCGTGGACGGACTGTTTAGTCAAATCGGACTTTTAGTTTTGTTTTGATTGCGTGGGAGAACGGCCGTGTTCATGGATTTTAGAAAAATGGGAAAAACAATAATATCCATCGCTGATTCGTATTTTGGAGGGGAAATCGCGCAGCGAAATCAAATAGTGCTTGGATGCTGTGCACAGTGACACTTCTTCGATGTCGACCGTCAAAAATTCACCGTGATCGCACCTCGGGTTTCGATGAGTCACGCCCAGCAGCCCGGAAGATGGCTACCACGGAGGATAGCGTGACAAATGTCTACGTTCTTGTATTGGCTGACCGTTTCCATTCCGCATTCCATTTGGCTCGGTGCAAGTTCTTTTTGTTTCCAAACTTGAAAAAGTCACCCGCCGGGCAGAAAATATTGCCGCTATGAAGGCCCCCTCCGAAAATTTATTTTTCAGATAGGTTAAAGAAGTTGGGCCAAGTGTATCTAACTATGTTGAGAAATAAATCCTTGCTTTTCCAAAATGTTCATGTATTTTTTACTTATTTAAGAACCTGAAACCATCGTTATGTAATTTATTTCCTAAAAGATAGAGATAAATAACAGTTTGATATAAAAAGAATATTTTTCAAAGTCTTTGAGTATTACACGAACATATAAATATGTATCTTCAATATTTTGCACAATCTATTTAGACACTTAACTTTATAAATACAGTTACTTATGAACTATGCATAAATATAACATTCAAACTTTAGTTCCAACTTATATCCAAGATGCTGCACATTGCCCAGATTGCGTTGGTCTTCGTCTTCTCCAGGTCTGAAATACTCCTTTTACGCGTTGGTTGTAATTTATAGATCCTTAATTTATGCCAACCACAGATCCTGTTAATATTTTCATATTCAAACTAATAGAAGGCTGTTTGGTATTGATCTTTCCACGCACTTTTGTATACTCTATACACATTTTATTTATATTCTGATGGCTGGATTTTTCTCGAGAACATTTTACATATATGATGAAAGATTCCCTCAATGAAAATTTCCTTACAAATAATTACTATTTAGATAGGACCCATTCAGATCACCCAGCAATGGAGCTTCTCTACTCTTTTACGGATGAGTTTGTCGCTTAATCTGAATATTTGAGTGCCGACTCGTATTTTATAATCTCTTTATGTACCAGTGGGGTACTTTTCTTTTGGTACATTATGCTATAATAACCGCTACTGATCGCGGTTTATATGGCGCAGTTCGCGCATCGTTATCTGCGAAAAATGTAATTGATATTAGAATATGATTCGCAGTTTTACAGGGTCTGCAAATATCAAATCACATACATTTACAGAACGGACTCACTGTTAGATACTTTTTGTCATTTACATCAAAATCAGGAAGAAAAGTTGCTCACGTTATTTACCTTAAAAACAGGTAGTCATTCTTTTGAAATAAAGTTATTTACGTTCAATTTCGATCGATGTAGTAAATATTTAAATATGAATGCAGTAACAAAGTCGTAGAGAATGAGATATATATGATTAACGACAATACGAATTGTATATCGTATTGCAGCTGGATATGGGTCAAATTGTAGTTAGCGAATATATATAGCATGTTATCACAATAATAGTGTGGAAAACCAATTAGTTACGGGCTTATTTAAAAGGGGAACTTCGAGTTGGTGGTGGAGTGAAATCAAAGCGCTCGTGCTCAGAAAATTCATAGCCATTCAATCAAGAGTGATTTTCGATCTGTTAGACATAAATGCGAATACGAGCAGTAGGTTGATATCAATTCATATCTATATCTTCCAATCGTACAGGCTGCGAGTACGGTATGACAGACTTCTTGTTCACATCTCGGGAAAGCGCCTTTCGCATATCTGCGGACGACACATAAAAATAAACGGTCACCTAAACAATAGTAAGCTAGCACATACCATACGCATCCTCGTCCTGATCACCTGAGTAGTACTCGAGAATCGTGCGATAAACGATATAGCCTAAGTTGGTGTACATGTTGATGGCTACTTTGTTGCTCTTTCGAACAAACAGATCCACAAAATAAGCCCGTTTTCTGAATTGAATCAGGGGCAAGGATCAATTAATTGTGTGTCAAATGTTAAAATAAACAATATAAAGACTACTTCTCGGAAATATCCTCCAAAAAGTGCATCAGCAATGCGGCAAGACCCAAACGCCTGTAGTCCGGTGACACCGTCAGCGCCGTCACATGTCCATGCCAGTTATCCAAATGACCTTCCACCTTGCCCATAACTGCAGAAATACATGGGTTTCATGGATACATATACATATGTATTTATATATGCATTAAGCTATTTTTAAATATTGGAACACGTTGTTGCACTTACTGTAGCCCATTATTTGTCCATTTGGCGATTCTGCCAATTGAAAATACTCTGGCCAGCGTGCCAGGTACTGCGTATAGAAAGAAAGGCCATATGTTTCCGTCAACGGATCAAAGTTTCTAAATGTACAACAGTTTAGCGTCACAAAATAAAATACCACATTTTATGGGGATGTTAGAAAGAGGGAACTTACACATTGTTGAACTTGAAGAGGTCGTCACAGGTAAATGGACGTAGCGTGGTCATTTTTAAAGGAGCTTGGTATAGTTACCGGCTAAATCTTCAGAAATTAAAAATTCTTTCAGTCAGCTGTAGCTAGAGATGTGTCTCCGTGGAAATTTTCGCAAATGTTTTATGCAACAAAAATTCAACAGCAAATTAGAATTAGGTGAAGAGTACAAACTACTCGATTTGTTATCGTTATCGATGTGCAACCACATGCACGCGAAATCAGGGCGGCACGAAAGTATGCTAAAGCAATGCCATTCCTGCGGGCGCATGCAGTGCGGGTGGGCTTCCACCCAAAAAAGTAAGTAAGTTTTAGTGCCCTCTTCGCATATACATACATACAAATGTATACTCAAGTATAACATTCCCTCGATTTGTCTTTTTAGTGAACGATCGTTAGCAGCTTGAGTGGCAACAGACAACAAACGTGCAACAGTTGCCAGTTTGAAAGGCAATAAGAACCGTAGCAATGGCGACTGCCATAGGCGGTCAGGCACACGGCAAGAAACAGGACTCTGGAATATTAACGCGCGAAGATTTCGATGGTGGACCTGTTAGTATTGACGAGATCGAGACAGGCCTGTTTCTGGGTAAGCATTTATGTGAATGTGGAATGCAATATTTGGAAAAATGTGCGCTTTTTCGTGTAGGCAATTTAACAGCAGCTACGCATATGGAGACCTTAAAGTCGTTCAAAATTACGCACATACTGACCTTGGACTCGGTGCCATTGCCACAGCATATAGTGGAGGCAAGCTTTTTGACCACAAAATACGTGCAAAGTAAGTGTGGATTGTCTGCTCAATAATTAACGTTCATTTACCAAATCCTTTGATATTTTTAGTTGCAGACATGCCACGCGAGGATATACTGCAACATTTGGAATCCTGCGTCGATTTTATAAGCACTGCACTTGCCCAAAAAGGAAACGTCCTGGTGCATTGGTATGCGATAAAGTCATTATTTTGTTAATTATTTTTTAATAGTTCACGCTTTGTTTTGCAGTTATTTCGGCGTCAGTCGCAGTTCGTCGGCCGTCATAGCATTCATAATGAAGAGCCACAATCTAGACTATCTGCCTGCCTATGAATTGGTCAAGTCCAAGCGTCGATTTGTGCAACCCAATGCTGGCTTCATTATGCAACTGAAACTTTTTCGGCGTATGGGGTGCAAAATAGAGCCAAGCTTTCAAAAGTACAAGCTACATCGCCTGCGTCTGGCTGGCGAGCAAATGCGCAAGGCAAAGATTCTGCCTCAGAGCTTCCACAGTGTCATACGTCCGGACCCTGACATTACGCGTGAGAATCCTGAGCCTATTGTATTTCGTTGTCGCAAATGCCGACGTGTGTTGGCCACCAAGTCCCATGTCCTGGAACATCGTCCTCGTGACAGGCCTCCCACAATGGCGGCCCATTCACATCTCGATGCGACGGAAGCATTGGTTAATCAGGCAGCAAGTGCAACGGCGCCGGATAATATTACGGGTCCACGTATTCTAGAGCAACTAGCCGCTAGTATACGACAGGTCTCGCTGGGCTCACCAAACCGTGAGGGCGATATTAACAATTGTCGTAGTATATTGTTTGTGGAGCCCATTGCCTGGATGCCGCGCATTATGCTGAACACACAGGGCCGCCTTCACTGTCCAAAATGTGAACAAAAACTTGGCAATTTTAGCTGGATAAATTGTGAGATTCATACCCCCAAATTATTGCCTTGCACTCAACTAATTATATTCCCTCATGTATTCATACAGCTTGCCAATGTCCATGTGGTGAAACCATGACGCCTGCATTCTACTTAATACCTTCAAAGGTGGAGCTTTCAAAGGCCGTACAAAATGTGCAAACAACGGTCTAGATGAGCCAAGCTTTAACATAATCACATTGGGTTTCCAAGTCGCTAACACGCATTTGTAGTTGTGCCATTTAAAGACAAAAATATCAACAGTTGTGTTTTGTTGAAAATGAAGGAATTGTATTCAAACACATGTGACACGCCCGCGTTTTAATATTAAATATTTATAGTTAGCTAACGAAATTTTCAACTTGTGAAAGGTCAAAATTTGCTGATCCGTTAAATTATTTTAATGGAAATTTCCGCTTTGTGCTGTTCCATACGCATTTGCATTGCTTTTTGCGTGCTGTATTAAATTATATATTTACATGTGTATGTCGTACATACATACCTTTTGGACAAGTATTTTGCATAAATATTACAGATAATCATAGTACTTGTAATGATTATTGAAGAAACAAAAATTGAATAAAATAACCAACCAAATCCAGTCAGTTAAATATTAAAGATAAAATATTTTCTGTGACAATATTACAAATTTAAAATAATAATTATGCTATAAATGTTGTAAGTCGTTTGCATAAGTGTTATAAAAATTATTAACTAATAACAATACCTTAACGTATGTGTAATATGTGCAGTGCACGCTTGATATAAGAAATTCTCCACATGAGCAAGCGTTTTCTTTTTGTCTACAAATTTGCAAATAAACATTTGAACGTGCGCAGCTTACTAAGAGAAATGGACACAATGTAGCAGAAATTTACAAAGATATACTGTCTCATTTAAAGTGTATGCAACATGCAATGGAAAATATTTGAGATTCCAAAACTTAAATTAACTTGTGATGGGACAAAACGATTCGAATGAACGCCCACTATAACATATTTTATTTAACTGTTTGGAAACAATCGTTATAAAAAACAATAATAATACAAAAAAAAAGGTATTAAACTTTAGAAATTCGAACCAAATGTTTAATCTCAGCTATAATAGTAAAATTTCCTAAGATTTTTTTTTTTATCAAGATTGTTCACCTTCTTTTTGTATAAAAATGTATTTACTCTCCGTCTCTCCTCCTTCAAGTGTTCAATTCGGGTCGATCCATTGTTGCGTGCCCTGTACATATACATGTGTATATACATACATATATAGAAACTTATTATTGATGTGCTTCAAACATTGGGTGTACATTTACACAAATATACATAAAAACATTAAATTAAAAAGAAAAATTTATTGAATCGATTATTTTCAATTGGGAAATGCAAATTTTGGGAAAACACTGATTGGATTATGTTGAGTTTGTGTCGCAGCCGCTGTCTTCATATCGCGAGGCGCCATTGTCGCCACCTATGCAAGTGCAACCAGCGAGGAGGAGGAGCGATGAGTGGACGTTCCTGCAGGGAGGACCTTCCCACGAATTCTCGTGTGCTAGCCGCATTCGACTTTGATATGACCATTATAAATCAGGACTCGGATTCAGTGGTCAGTCAATTGCTGCCTCGGGAGCAGTTCAATGCCGATCTGTTGGGTCTGGTCCAGCGGTGTGGCTGGGTTGTCTTTATACGTGAGGTGCTTTTGCTCTTGCATGAGCGTGGAATAAAATCCTTAGATATTGGAAATGTGGTGCGACGGATTCCTGCTGTTCCGGGCATGTTGCGACTGTTGCGCAAGCTGGCAAGGCAACCCTCACTGGACATGTTCATCATAAGCGACGCCAATTGCTTCTTTATCGAGGAGTGGCTTTTAGCGCATGGTGTGCGCCATTTGTTTTCCGGAATCATCTCGAATCCGGCCACCGTTGAGGCACAGGGTGAGGTGATGGTCTGGCCCTATGAAGAGCAGACGCATTGTCAGCATTGTCCCCGAAACCTCTGCAAGGGCTCCGCACTGCACGAGTTGTTGAGTAGCGAATGTTATGAGCGGGCCATCTATGTGGGGGACAGCTGCAACGATTTGTGCGCCATAATGAGATTACGGCCCATGGACCTAGCCTGCATACGCCTAGGACTGGAACTGCATAGCAAGTTAAAGACACATATGAATGCCATTAAGTCCAGTGTGTTGCTATTTCGTGATGGACACGATCTGTGCGAGCTTCTCTTCCCCGCTAATTCCCGCACCATACAATTTCAACCCCAAAATCATTACATTCACAGTTAATTTGTATTGTAAGGCAAAATTATTAATGCTGCTGTTTTATTCGACGACTTACATATGCTTAAAGAAAATATTATATCATAATATAGGTTTAATTTGTGTATATATATCTCTTAATAGACTTGGGCATAAAATTCCATGGAAAAATCAATTCTAGTGCCCTCGCTGTTTTGTTTTTTTTTTAAGTAGAATTTTTTCTGCGGCTAAAAACTAATAACTATTTCACATAGTTTGTGGTTTGTTGTTTTGTTTTTCCTTGTGTTTTGTTGTGCTTAATGCATAGTTGTTGTTGCTGTTATTGCTGCCTATATATTCGTGATGGTTAGCATAAATTACAGTTATAATACAATCGTACTTAGATTAAAGGTTATTAATTACAGTAAATAGGTTTAAACACGATTTTTTTTATAAACTAATGGAGCAACAGCTCAGCAAAAAAAATAAACTAACTTCTATTTCATACATACATATACATACAATTTGACAGAGTGGTGTAAGAAATTAGAATCAATTTAAACATATATTATATATACATATACAAATATGTATATATACATAAATGTATATAGTACATAGATTAGCTAAGACACACAAACATATTAATTAAGATAATCTTATACATATGTATGTATGCATGGGCTTTGCAAAACACAAACGATGCACTGAAAAAAAAATTAAGTGCATGTGAGTGAGTGAGAAAAAGAGCATGTGAGCCTTATGAGAGTGAGTGAGATAACCGGCATGTGAAAGTACGAGTGTTGGTGTGCGTGAGAGCAAGCTAGCATAGGACACTAGTAAATTAGTATAACAGTTTAACTTCGTCCGCTTGCCACACAAACGCACACACAGAACTACAATACAATGATTATAATAAAAGTAATGTTTATAATAAAAAAGCATAATCAAAAGTTAAGCAAAGTAGTGCCTTGCTGTTTAAATTTAACTAAAATGCATGATGTGATTCAACTAGAAACAAACGAAATTATTACAAATAATATATGTTGTAAATATGTATAGTATATGTATACATAACTATATATACATACATATACATGTGCTTTTCATGATTAGCGCGTAACTTAAATGCTAAAGTAAACAAAGTACAATTTTTTTGTTTTGAACATTATATGTTGCTGTTGATGCGACTATATAATGTGTCTTAGATTTTGTTGTTGTTGATGCCATATACATACTGTAAAGCAAATCAATCAGCATAGTTTCTACAGAACTATATATGTTTATACATTTCAAAAAAAAAAACACAAAATAACGCACAATTCAAATTTAAGTAACATATTTGTTTGCATATAAAAGTTATATTTTATATGTTTGTGTATTTAAAACACACGCGCCCCACTCAATTCTAAACTTGGGCGCAAACATAAAAATTAAATGAATTAAATTACAATATTACATGATAGTTTAAAAAAAATATATTTTATATATGTATATTTGTATGCGTGTAATTAGTTTGGCAGGGCGCCCAGGGTGGTTGTAATTTTTTATTATTAGTTTCTATATATTTTTTTAATACTAATACTAGAGTTGCAGTTTGCCGCGCAGCCAGCTGTGGCGGGTGTTCCTTACATGTACATACATATGTCTCTGTATATGTCTGTGTGTGTTTTTGTCGGGCTGTAAGTGTATGGGTGTGTGTTAGCGCCTTCACTATTATAAGTCCGTTAGAGTGCGGCGCTTGGCACAATAACGTATAACCCCCACTCAGGCAACAACAGGGGGCGGTGCTATGCCTATTGTTGTTGCTGTGGCTGTTGGTGTTGCTGTTGTTGCGGGCGTTGCTGCTGGGGTTACAGTTGTGGAAGCTGCTCCTGTTGCAGCCGATTCTTCAGTATTCGCTTTGTTTATGCTGCACTGCATCACTGCTACATCGGCCGTTTTGTGTTGCTCCTGCATTCGGTGCAGGGTCTTATTGGACGCAGATAAACTGCCGGCTGGTATGGCTGATGTGGAGTTAATATTGGTGGTGGTGGTAGTGGTGCTGCTGTTGTTGTTGTTGCCGCTGCCGCTGCTACTACAACTACTGCTGATGCTTATGCTGGTGGTAGATTCGTTTGTGGGTGGTGGCGCCATCAACACTGCAGTGTTAGGGACTTTAGGACTAACAGCACTACTTCCAGACCCTGCACCGCCCGCTCCAGCACTGTTGCTTCCGCTGCTAGTACTATTGTTGTTGTTGTTATTGTTGCTGCTGTGGTTGCTACCAGCTGTGCTGCTAGCCTGTCCACCTCGCCTGGCTGGCTTGGAGCGCGCACATGGCACACAGAGCATAGCGCAGTGCTCCCGCAGCTTGGTAATATGATCAATGCGGTACTCGTTGATCCATTTCACCTTTTTGTGCTTGACAGGTTTCACTTTTTCGCTGCTGTTGCTGGTGGGTGAGGAGCTCATTTGTGTTTGTGGCAGTCCCTCTGGCTTGTTGGCGCCACAGCGCATGCAAATGCAACATCTTTCGCAGCTCCACCGACCTAGAAAATGTTGAAGGAATGAACGTGTTAAATCAATTTATTTCATTTCTACTAAAATAATAATAATTTATTATGTTTTTCCCCAACTTTCCCTTAGCTAATAAAATTGTCCATGTAAGTTTCATATTATTCATAGAGTCTAAAAGCCTATACATATATGATATCCCCAAATGAAGAGCATAGGGGAAGTGTATCCCCGAATTGACAAATTTTATTGAAACATGTTTTACAAAAGCTCTCTTTTCAGCAAGTTTTTTTTTTATTTACTTTCTACTGTTACCTTATGTACAAAATTGTTGAACCCGAAGCCCTTTAAATCGATTAGTCAGTTAACTTACCATCCGGCACAGTTTTGATGCCCAGGCAGTAAATGTGATATCCCCGATCGCATTGTTCGCAGTATAGCATTTTGCTGGTCTCCTGCTTCCGCTTGCACTTGATGCAGCATTTGCACTCGGCACATTGCCAATTATAATTGCGTACTCGTCCGACCATCCGATATGGCATGTCTATGCAGCTAGGATGCACTGAAAATAAAATATAAGAAAAACGATTATGACACATGAATACAATAAATTGTTTTTGTAGTGAAATTAGGATGTCTGATCCAGCTATAGTATATCCCTAGAAAGTTGGCCAAATACCAGGTATGGTTAGAAAGGTAGAAGATATTTCGGAAGATAGCGTGAAAGTATCCACGATGGGGGAATTCGCGAAGATAGACATGAAGTCTGATGATTGAATAGCACTACGTTTTATGCCCTGTTGACCTTCAGTATAATCGAAAAGCTCTACATTTTCCAATGAAGCTATCTTTTAGTCATGGAGAAGTAGGCCTGCTGGATTCTAAACACTGATGCTTACCATTGCGTCGACAGGTATAACACTGTATGAAGAACTCGGGCCTGTCCTTGGCATTGCGATGCTGCGTTCGTAGACATACACCACAGTTGGACAGGCGGGCATCGGGCTCATCCTCACTGTCTGAACTGGACGATGAGGATGTAGATGAGTCGCTAACATCGTCACTGTCCTATATTTACCAAAAAATAAAGCACACATAGAAATGAATTAGTGTTGATGGTGTTAAAATTTGTTTAGCGTTTTCTATTATCTTACCGAGTCACTGCTGCTGCTACTGCCACTGCCATCGCTGCAAGATGATGGGCAGGAGCTAATGGTGCGCGATTTCTGATCATCCCCGCTATCCAGCGCAATCAGTGTTGGGCGTAGATGCCTCGCTCGTCTGCTTCGTCGTACAGGCGTCGGCACATGTTTGCCTGAGACTCGCGGCGTCAGTTCGCTGCAGATGCCAACAATATTCTGTGTTTGCTGCTCTGTTTCCGATTGTCGTTCGTCAGCAGATGCGATTTCCTCAGGGCTGGCAGTGCCATTCGAGGGCTGTTGTTGCTGCTGTTTCAGTCTTGTCTGCAGCTCCAGTGGTTTGTCTAGCGCCGTGTTTAGGGGATAGGTTCTGCGAATATTCAAAATAGTAAGTAACAGCCATGAGACGATTTTGTGAAGTTGCACTCACCTCAATTCCTGTGGCGTAAATTTGCGATACCAAGACGCAAATTGTCCTGGCACCAGCTTAAGGGGATACGCATAGGCCACACCGCGGAATGCTGCTTCATAATCAAGCGGTTGCGGCAGTGTATGAGGTTCAGACATATTCTCGGCTTGCGCTGCAGAGCGGATCGCACTGGTAACGGAGATATCCAGCAGCATGGACGTGGGTGCAGTGCGCGGCAGTGGTGTGTTCATGGTAAATGTTTGCAGATCCAGACAAGCTGTTCGCTCCTCTTTGCGACTACAAAAAATAGATATCGATGTTTTTTAACATAATCATAACATGTCCAATAAATAAAGTCGATCTCAAGACTTTTTAGAACGATTGAAATCAAAATGAAGACGTTTTTAGGGAGTTCAATAGCCCGCACTATCTTTTCAAGGCTTTTCTTAATCAAAAGGCTAAGTTATAGTCATAGAAAAAGACTCTCATTGAAACTGTAATGGTTCGGGTTCTTTTATATAAATTTAGCAAGTATTCAAACAGCTTGCATTGATTAACGTTACTTACGTCTTATTAAAATAAACATTCCATTTGCTGGCAGAGAGCATGGCACGATCGCGTGCCTGTAGTCCTCGTCCAGCACCCACAGTGAGGCCGAGCGCCTTCTGCTTAGCTTCGATTTCGCGCAAATGCTTTCGTCGTAGGTACTCCCTGTACTCCTCGTATTTGTCATAGAAGTCGACATGCATAATATCCAGTATATCTAATGCCCATACAGCCGTAATGCCGAGATCGCACATTTTCTCTGAGACTAGACCCTTCTCCTGCAGCCAATTGCGTTCCTCCATATCGATGGCACGGCGTGGCAGATCGGGATATTTCCGCTTGAAGCTCGTTATTCCCAAATAGAGTGCCACTTGTTCCTGTATCATGAACGTATCACGATTCTTGGACGGACAACAGCCTTTGGGCGGTGGCCAATCGTATTCGGCAATGGTGGATGCATTGAATTCGGTGCTAAAAATGCACACAAAGGACATTTAAATTAAATAATGCCTTTATATAAGAACTGGATGATTACTTACTCTTCGGCCACACAAATCTCCATCTTCTTTTTCTTTGGACGTTTTAGCGCAGAGGCAATAATCGCATCGGTAGAGTGGCCATGATTGGAATCCAGCATACTAATATTGCTTACAATCGAAGATTGTGATTCTTCATTGTTTAGAAAATCGGGTTGCCTTCTGCAATGCAGAGAAGGATATGCTATGAAAATGCTTTGACAAGTAGATCTGGATGCAACTTACATTTGCGGAGTAAGCGGCGGCTCCATACCCAAAAGCGACTGACTGCTGTTATTCAGATCGGCACTCATACGCGTGTCCTCCTCGAATACCTGTGGTGACTGAAAACAAAAGAAACAAATGACACATATTCATTGTACATACTCAAATACAGAGGTTGCGTATTTGGGTTCGATTGGATTTAGCCACAGACAGAAGGGAGCCAGGAAGTTAGCGCTCATTATAATCAATGTATGGATTTACTATATGACATATATATATATATATATATATATATATATATATATATATATATATATATATATATATATATATATATATATATATATATCTATATATATATATATATATATATATATATATATATATATATATATACATATATATATGTATGTATGTACACGCCAATTAATTGATCATTTATACTTTTTTCTTAAAGCGTACACAAAACACATCGCAAATTGTAGCAACGGCGGCAACAACGTGAAGAGACGCTCCACTAAGGCAGCGCGATGGCGGCATGTTGGCACACAAGCAAAGACGGAGGTAGAGGCTCTGCCCCATAGCTGTGTGCAAGCGAACGCGTGCTGCCCGCAACTAAGCTCCAAGTGAAGCGGCGAGGCAGTGGAGGTGAGAGGTGGGCATGCACTGCTGCCCAGCTGAAGCAAGGCAACATCGTTGCCAGCTTACAGAAAAACAAGAATACTGGTGTTTGTGTGGGGAACATGAACAACTACAAACAAACGAAGCATTAAAAGAGCGCGCACACACCAAGTGGATGAGAGCATCTCTCTCTCAGCTCACTTGGCGGCGGTGTCGGCGACAGCAGAAGCAGCAGCAGGTGTGGTGAAGTAGCTTTTGTAGTACGTTTGTCCATCGGTGATGAAAAGTGCATGCACAAACACAAACAAACACAAATCAACATATTTGAGCTAAACAAAATTTCAGCTGATTAAAATCACAGGTAGAAACTGCGCTGTCGTTGTCGCTGCTGCTGCTAGTTCTGCTGCTGCCACCGTCACCGTCACTGTCTCAGTTGTACGTAATTGTATGCATTTTGTAGTTGGCAATGAATGCAGGAGGCCTTTGATTTTAATTACGACACCGTTTCGATCAGTATGCATGTGTGAGTACACATGCAGTTTGCATGAATGAGTGTGCGAGCAACATTTTACGTAATAAGTAATAAAACATAAACACAACAAACTGCAGATGAACTCATACGAAAAGCTCTGGGATATGCTCAAAACTTAAAACACACACTGACACAGACAGACGCACATGTCGCATTGTGCATGAATCATACAACAAGCACTGCGCAAGGTCCTACCAATTGCTTTCGTTATGTCTCCTTCATTAATAATTTGAAATATGCATAACAATCCATTTTTAGAGCATAATGAGCATAGCTTGGACTAGAGAAAAAAACAACAACTAAGTTTGGTAAAAATAAAAATGGACAATATAAATAAAATCAAAATTTAACTTCGGAACTACTACGGCTTTTTAACAAAATGCTGGTATAATTTATGGCAATGACATTTATTAACGCTACATATTTTCCCTCTCTCATTTTTCTGTTAACAAACAATTCTGTTAGTCTAGTAATTCCTGAATAAACATAACACACATTTTCTACGTAACACACTTATCAACTCTTAAATTTCGATATAATTTTGTAACATTTTATTTATCTGATTATTGTTTTTTAATTTGAATTGATTTTAGCAATGTATTGCTTCTCTAATTAACCTCTAACTATTGAGAAGGAACTCAAATAATAAAAAGCTTAGCAATTGTATTTACACTTGAAAAAAAGGATGCTGACATTTTTTACAAGTTTAACTGGCTCTCTGACTATTACTCACCGGACTAAAGAGACCCTTTAGACGTTCCGGATCCGGCGTGTGCTTCAGTCCACCAACACATCGTGGCCGGCTCATGGCAATGGCTTTTGCCACAGCGCTAGCACCGGGACTCATGCGGGGAGCACGTGGGATGGCTGGGTTAAGACCACGCGATGAACTGCTGCGCATACCGCCTCCCCGCGAACCACGACCACGCCCACGACCACGTACAGGCGTGCCGAACAATCCCGGCCCAACCGATATCGTGGACTCATCTAAAAAAAATAGTGTTATAAAGATTATTATTTCATATCATAAATTTCCGTATCTTTGTGTATTTTCAAAACTATTAGGTTTGTTTTAAAAATGTATGATCCTTATCTGATGTCAATATTTAAGCGATGATCTATTAATTGTGGTTTTTATATTTATAAGGAGTTAGGTGTTGGGCATAGTTTTATGAGCGATAGTTAAAGACTAATAAAGTGTATCTGGAAATTTTTAAAGGCCAATGAAATACCATTACATGGTCCAGCCTTAAGATTGAGATACATTTTTGATATTTGTATTTCGTTATTAAAATCTTACCGCCCGAGTTTTCCAGCGCGCTCAAATTATCCTCATCCTGGGAGTCGTGCTGACTACCTCCACTCATGCTCGGGGTGCGTGGCGACCGCAACTGCTGTGTGGCCATAATGGATGAGAAATCGTTGGGCTGAAATATGACATCTGGCAGCGGATCTGATGAGGAGAGTATGGTGGTGGGTGGCAGCATGGAGGCAGACATGGTGCTGCCGGCGGAGCCACCACTGCCGCTCACATGTGTGCCGGCGACAGTGGCGGCCAGCGTGGAGGTTGCTGCAGTCAGGGAGCTGCCGTTGCTGGTGGACGAGGATGAGGAGCACATGGTTAGATCGATTTGTCCATGCAGTGCATAACCCATGTTGTTGTTAGTCTCGGCATCGATGACAGGCTGGTTGCTATTGCTACTATTGCTGATGTTGTGGCCGCTGCCAAACTGGCTGAGCGGCAACACTGATGAAAACGTCTGCTCCTCCAGCATTGTGGTGGGACCACTCGCTGCCTTGCTCTGGCGCTTGCGTGAACGTTTGGCGCCTGGGGTAGCCGCATTGAGTGCGTTTGGCGTATTTGTGCGCCGTGTGGTGCGCAGCTGGCGGTGATCACGGCGTGGAGTAATCACAGAGGCATCATCCACATGAGTGACATCGGGCAGGACATCGCTTGTTGCATTCGGCGGCTGCTCGGCGCTGACCATATCGATGGCCAACCGCTTGCGCAGCAGCTGTACTCGGCGCGAATTCACGGCACTGCTCGAACCATCCTCTATGGCTATGGGGTGGTCCGGCGTCTCCTTGCTGTCAACAGCCGCAATTGCCAATGGATTCCGTTTGGGTCGTCCGCGTCGCTTCATCATTGGTGGTTTATTCATTGCAGTAGACGCTATCACCGCCGCTGTCACATCATTGATGTACTCCGTGGGGGTTATTAGCGCTCCGTTGCTGTTGGCGTTCTTGCAATCAAAGACGTTTGCACCGCTCGCTTTCTCCTGCTCTAGCCCCGTCATATCCTGCGCTGTTGCGAAGAGCGCGTCCTCCAGCTCGGTGTTGAGTATACGCTCATGCTTTTGCTTTCGCGAGCGATGCGCTACTGCAGCCGCGGCTGCCACAGTGTTCAGTTGCTGCTTAAGCTGCTGATCCGTATCACTTCTTGATCCCAGCTCGTGACAGTTCTGTTTGTATTGATCATTCTCATCATTGTCAAGGCGCCGGTGTTTGGTGGTTAAGGTCTGCAATTGGGAGATTGCAGAAGAATTTAATAGTGTCAATAGGAATGGAGACATTTCTAAATATTAAGATGGTCTTAGTTTTTTATACCCTGTGTCCTAAACTCCTACCCATTTTTGTGAAATACCCTCACCAATTACTGTATTTATGCAAAATATTCCGAAAGTGGTAGAAACGCCAATTCTTCTAGAACCAAAAGGGAGTCCAAACAAAATAGCTTAAGGCGTCTAACGTTGTATCAAATGTGAGGAAAAGAGTTGATTGTTTGTGCGATATGTTCAATTTAATTTGACGTCCACTTCTTGAAAAGATTCAGCTAATGGCTCCGCAGATGAATTGGTTGGCTCAATAAATGGTGATACTTACGTTTATGGGAGATTCGTTTGCATCTGCCTCCGTTGGCTGTTTCTCGAGTACTTGGCGCTTTAAATGATTGATTGTTCCGCTACCGGAATCCATGGACACGTTGTTGTTGGTAAGCCGACTGTCTCCCGCCGCCATCATTTGATTGTCATGGCTGTGATTTACATGGTTGTTTAGCTGCTGCTGCTGCTGATGTTGCGGCTGTTCCGCAGCCCCAAAGTCTCTCTGCGTGTACGGACTGCCTTCCGGTGTGTCCAGAATCTCAATCGAATCAATTATGGGTGGGGTTGGTTGCTGTGGTGGCGTTGCTGATGCAGTTCCTGCAGCGCTGGGTGCATGGGCATTGTTACTGCTACTGTTGCCACCACCATTAGCCAACAGCCGCTCGGTGAGCTGCGGATATTTGGAAGCGGCCGCATTGTTTAGCACGTTCTTGGTAATGTTGAAATTCTTTGGCGGCGCTGTCAGCTGGCTAAGCAATATGTTCGATGTGGGAGAGGCAGGTTTGCTATTGTCGGCTATTGTTGACTGAAGCTGCTCCAGAAAGCGATGCGACGTCTCGGTTACACATTTTCTTATTTGCGGTGCTATTTGTCCAAAGCTATGGTGTGCTGGCGAGGATCCAGGAGATGGTGATGTCAGGTCCACCATTTCCACAATGCTGTGCTCGGCTACAGTCACAATTCCATTGCTGGCCAGCGGCAAATTGTGAAACATTTTGGGATCATGCTCTTTGGAGAGAGCATCATCTATGTCCATGTCATCCGAATTGCGCCGCGGTTCATCGGCATTCTCAGGCACAGCATCGGCGTAGTTGTCGTTGAAGCCACAGAACTCCTGGCTGCTATTCGATTCCCCACCATTAATAACGGCGAGCTGGCAATCTGCAACCGGACGCTTGGGCGTAGCTGCTCGATCCTCAAGCACTGCGCGCACCTTGTGCTTGGGTGAGCACAGATTCTTGATGGTCAACTTGGGCACATGCGGCTGCTGGTCCACTGGCCCAGTCTTGATGGTAAGCTTCGGTATGCGCTCACCTATTACTCCGTGTTCCTCATCCGGCAGCGAATTTCTGTGAACCTCCAGATTGTTCGAGGTGTTCATCGTCTTGATTGTCAGCTTTGGCACCACATTTTCTGACATCGTTGTTGTCGTCATAGTCGTCGTTGCATGTACTTCGTTGCTCTCTGGCTGCCTGGATATGGTAAGCTTGAGACCGCGATCTGGTGAGCCGGCGGCTGCACTGCCCGTATGACGCACAACTTTAGCCAAGCCAGGAGATTGTGGCGCATTACTAGATGCGATTCCACCGCCGACGCTTATGGTCAGCTTTGGAATGGCAGCAACAGAGGCGGCGGTAACAGACTTCGGCTTTTCATCATCGATTTCAATGGACTTGGTCTTGATGGTCAGCTTGGGTATGCTCTGCGCATTGCTGGTATCGTGCGTCATAATAACCGTGTGCTCGTGGCCAGTTTTAATGGTTAGCTTTGGTATCTTATTGCTGGTGGCCTCCAACTGTTCCTGCTGTTCCTGAGGTTGAGTCGGCTCGTCGCTGCTTCTGGAACAGCTGCTGCCCGCCAGTGTGGTCTTGATCATTAGCTTGGGTACCGTATTATTTCCGCTGCTGCTGGTCAGGATTTCTTGCACAGTAGCATTTTTGGGAGGCAGTGGCTTGATGGTCAACTTGGGAATAGTTTCCGCAGCTGTGGGCTCCACATTTGTGGACGAAGATGAGCAGGAAGCAGACGAGGATGCAGAGGCGGGCGATAAGCTGGATATCATCGATTCACTATTACCATCCAGATTTGTTTTAATGGTTAGCTTTGGTAGGGACGCCGTTGTCGCCGTACCTACAGCCATCGAGCTATTGCAATTAATTGCTTCACTGTTGTTCACCTCGGGCATTTTGATGATCAGCTTGGGCACCACACTTGTCACCACACTAGTCACGCCGCCGCGTTCCTCGTTTGCGGCGCGTATCGTTAGCTTTGGCACAATATGCGGCGTATCGCTGGCCATGGACAGCACCTCGTCCTCGGCACAGGAGGAGGAGCATGATGAGGCATCAGAGGCGGCATCATTTGGCTTCTTCACAATTGGTCTTATGGTGATTTTCGGCACCGGGCCATGATGATTACCGCCGATAGTCGACGACGACGATGATGAGGAAGTAGAGGAGGTGGACGATGATGAGCATGAGGATGTGGTTGTCGTTGCCGTTGAGCTGGGTAAGTGTATGCGCAGCGGCTCAACGCGACGCTCATCGCTGCTCATGGACTGAGATTCGTTGGTCGTCGCATGCTGCTTAGGCAGCTTCAATATAATTTTGTGCCCACCCCCACTGTCTGTGGTGTGTACATCCTCCTGTTGGGAGCTGTTGCTGCTGCTGCTGCTACTACTGGCCCCACTGCCATTCACACTGCCACTGTTCGTCGTTGTAGTATCAATTGCGGTGGCGGCCATTGCTCTAGGCTCGCCTCCAGCAGATATTGTAGGCGCCGCTGCTGCTGCTGCTCCTCCCGCTCCTATCGCACTATTAAGTGTTTCCTCTTGGCGCAACAGCTGTTGCGTCTCATCGTCGCGCATGCGCTGCGGCGGCGATGATGTGGTGCTCGTTATTCGCGCTGGTGGTGATGCAGGGGCCCCAAAGCCACCAGTGCTTGAATTCGCTGTTGTGCTTGGCAGCTGATGATAGACGCGTGCCTGTTCTTGTCCAGCTTGCGATTGTGGCAGTTGTGCTGATGAGGCATTCAATGGCTGTTCTATTATTTCTACTCCCTGCTGTTGTCGGTGATGATGTGACTCTGAATGTGACTGTGGCTGATGACGATGATGGTGTATCGGCTGCTGCTGTGCCGGTGAAGACGTGGAGCTAACACGCTGCTCTTCCTCACGCTGGTTGGCTGCGGATGATGCCTTGGACGACAGGGTGGTCGTGATTATGTTTAGGCTGTTATTGCTTTCGGTTACTGAAGACGATGTCGCTGCTGCCACCTGTTGTCGTAAATCATTCATTGCTGTGTTTAACTGCTCCTGTTGCGGCAACCAGCTTCTTCCTTGTCCCTGACCCTTTTCTTGACACGTGACGCTTACAGTTGCAACTTCAACGTGTGGTGTTGCGGGTGCTGCTGCCCGTGCTTAGCCTCCTCCTTATTATTGCTGGCTGCAATTAAGATCAAATAGGTTAGTACTTATTATGATCTATTGTAAAACCGTTAGTTCATCAAACAACTAAGAAATTCAACGACTTTAACAATCAAGTGGATCTGCAATTCGTGTGACATTGAAAACGATTGCCATAAATTTCCTCAAAAGAGAAGAGACCATCGTTAATTAATAAAAAAAAAAACTTTTTTCTCCTGAATTTTACAACCTAATATTAATTGTAGATGCGGTCCACACATTCTTTACAACTGGTTTTGGCACAGTATTTTTAACTACTTCCAATGGAGTTCCAATGCTTTCAAAAATAAGGCATTTCATATTTATTTTATTTCCACCTACTGATCCGCTTCGTCACTATACAGAAAATAGTTATTTGTTCGTAACAACAAATACTTTTGTTTATAAACGCATGGTTAATAGCAGATAGTTTAAATATGAATTAGTGATCTGATCTAAACCAATTTTGTTGTTTGACAGGGTGTAGCAGCAACTGGACAGAATATTTTATTCAGTCTGATGATACATATCTCCAAAATAAAAGCGATTTAAGTCTAATCAACTATCGACAGCTGATGGCTTCGGGCCACTTTTAGGGTTCGACAACATATAGCAATTAGCCGTGTTAGTGAGAAGACTACCAGCATAATAGATAGGACTGTCTTGTTGAAAGCATTTTTCTACATATCTCATGGATTCTGCAATGCAATTGAAATTTATGAAGGTACGACGTCAGGTATGTTAATAGAATAATACTTTTATTTATAATCATTTTTGTGCGCTTAAAACTGTAGGCAATAAGAAAATTTTGCAGCACATGATGGATTCGATGTATGATGGATCTTTTCTATAACTAGTTGTGTAAACAAAAAAAAAAAACTCGACACATTAAGAACCCCTTAGACAAATCTCTCACACATATTTAAATACTCAGTGTTAAAATTTCATTATTTCCCTTCAACAATAACTTTGAGAATCATAAAAAATCCGCAAACAATTCTCGGCTCTACATTGTAAAATCAAATTCGACGATACTTTGAAATCCACATACCATTTGGAAACATTCACATTTAAAAATGCCACTCCTTTTTTCCATATTTCTTGCTCCTTTTTGGTTGCTAATGGGCGACAAACTCACTCTATTGCAGATCAACCCAGGACCTGTTCGTATTCCAGGCACCTATACGATGATAGAAGGCAGCTGCGCTTGGCGCATTAGCAACATTGAGAAGTTTGTGTTGCTTGTGATGGCTTCTTGGATAGTGATGCGTGTAGTCCGTCACGATTTGCTGCTGCAGGAAAAGACAGAGGAGAAGGTCAAACAAAAGCCCAAAACCAGTCCAAGCAATAACAGCAGTACCATCAGTAGTAGCAGTCAATGGTGTAGGTGCTCCCAAAGGAGAAGCTTCCACACAAATAACGCCATATGTAAATCCACAAACAAAAACAGATTGAGTCAAGAAAAAACGTGGCGCAACACTGCAACCAGGTGCTATGGCAAAAAAACGACGCTCTGTAAAAAAGCCCCTGATAATCCCAGTCATGAGGGGAGTGTACGACGTGCGCATCGCGCGAGTGCTGGTCATGAGCCAATTAATTTAAGCATCAGGAAGATCGACCACTTGGTTAGCCCCGAAAATGAAGACGCGACAGTTACCAGAGATATTAGCATGGAAACAGACATTGAACTGGAACCTTCAACGGATTCCTCTGATGAATTGTTGCTGGTAAATGCGGGAAAGGTCAAGCTTCATGATATGAACAACCATTATCTGGCTTCAACGAATGACACAATGACGCAAGAGTATGTCTCAGCTGTGGATGTAAGCATGATGGGTAACGACATATTTGAACAGCCTATGTCCTCCAGTCGACAACGTTACGACAGTTTTTACAACTATCCTCAGCGCGTTAGCGATAGATCCTGCGACCAAGTCGATTAACAACATTTTAAAAGAAGCGAAGACAACGTATTTATATGTATATACCACAAACACTCGAATATACACATATATAAGTATGTGTGTATGTTGGTGTGTGCTGATGAGCGAACTAAAGTGCAAGCCACAGTTGAAAGGAGAACGACCTTAACATGGCGTTCATAAATAAAGAAGCTCCACAGCCAACCAAGAACAAAACAAAAAGACCAAAACAACAACAGCAACAAACACAACACTTACAAACTAACAAATTATGTATTCTCCCTCATCCCATTCAACAAACAACAACAACCAAAATTTATTGTAATTTCATTGAACAAGAGCAATTTCCCCCTCCCCCTTCCGGCATTTGTCTTAAATTTGTGCGTTATTAAGCTAAGTAGTAAATTGATCCAGTAAATAAAGCAAGATAGATTTGTTCTATAAATCGATATCAATCACACTTGAATAATGCAACTTGAGGAACGTTATTGCTGTTCTTACAGCTGCAGCGCTGGAACGTCAATCAACACAGCGCGTTTGTTTATACAATTTAACAACGCCCAGAAAACTTTGGAACTTCTTTTCCAAATTCCAATGCAGCACATTTAATTTACAAATGCAAACAAATCATATATGCATATATTTATTTGTACCAGAATGCTACATACATATGTGCATATGTATATGGCACATACATACATACATTATATACATATATATATAAATACATACAAATGTATGTATGAAAAAACCAGTGAGTATTAGAAAAACTGAAATGGAAATGCCGCGCAAACACCAACACACACCACCATCGTAAAAGCCGCCGCTGCTATCGCCGTCGTTAAATAAAACGCACAGGCAGAGAACATGCGCGCACAGCTGTCGGAGCAAAATGCGAGAAAAGCAAAAACCGCGCCACATTGGTATTGAAATGGTGATGTTTAGGCGCGGTAGGTATGTTGGCAACACTGCGCGGCCCATGTTGAGTTCAATACACGAATGATGGAACTCACCACAGCACACACTAATACTAGCACAAAAGACAATCGCTCGCCCGTGCCGCGAATGTGTTGCATGGAGAAATTATATTTAAGGAAATATGCATATGCCCCCTACCACTGTGAGGCGTTTTGGTTACAACAAATGGGCATTTGTTCTAACAACAAATCACAATGCCTATGACCCTATGACCAAACAAGACGCCGCAAATTGTACAACGGGAATGGCAACAGCTAAAAACTCACCATGCGGCAAATCGTCAGACAAAAGAAGATGGAGTAGAAGTTGAGCGCCGTCTTTGCCTGCAATTCGCGAGTATAAATGTGTGTGCGTGTTAAAACATGAAACATGTTTTGTTTTTATTTACACACATTGTAAACATTTGATTGCACTATTTTATTTGGTATTTCATATAAAAAACATAGCCGTACGCTTCAGTTAGTACAAATTGCCCGTACACACTGTCACACACATACACAAGCGCAGCACAGCACTCGGTTGTCCCACTTTCCGTGTATTGGTTTCGTACACTTTTCCACGCACTTTTTAACGATTGGACGACGCATAAATTTGTTTTAAAAAAAATAATTGCTTAATGCACAATTAATGCTTACATACGCACTCGTCTAATGCGCGCGTTTAACGTTTTAACAGTTCATTATTAAATATACCTGCTTGCTGTCTGCTTGTTTTTTCTTTTCGCTTGGAATATGAATATAACACTACTCGTCACGAAATGAAAATGAAGTAGGGATGCAACAAAGCATCGATATATCAGCCAATATCGATAGTTAAGCACGATGCAGCAATGTCTCGTGCATGCATCGCGTATTTATTACGGAATATAGAAACATTTCCAGCACTACCCTTATGAAATTTAAGAAAATTTACCGGGATGTCTAATTATGCTGTGATAGTTCATTAAGGATGTGCAATAGGCTTATGAAATGCACACAGCTTTTAAATCCTTTTTTATACCTAAGCACACTATGTCGTAATAACTGTTTTTTTCAGAGATGTGGTTTTCATTTACGGATTTCCAAATTCAAATTACGAATAAATATTATTATAATTACTATAACTTTATTAGAGGGCTATTGTGTTCAAATAACGGATACTGTACTGGTGTGAAAAAGTATTTGCGATTAAATATGAATTTTGTTCCTATATTAACAAATGATTACATGTACGAGTATATTGTTTCGATTTTGAAAACGCACATCTCTACAATGAATAATACTAGGAAAGGTAAGTCGCGATTAATTCTGACTGATTTATCGGACTATTGGATTATTCAAATTGTTTAAATTATATTTTTTAATTGAAAGATAAAATATTGTTAAACCGCCACCTTTATATTTAGAAACTGTTGTTTATGTTACCATACACTCGCAAATACTTACATATGTATGTATATAGATATGTATATAAAAATTGTATTTATTTATATATACGTACATATGTAAATATTAGTATATCTTTAAAGTAAGCTCTCTTTTCGGCAATTTACAGGCAAATACATACCAATAACGAGAGTAGTAAAATGCCAAATTATTTTCATTTTCCCCTCGCTTGCAACGAATGCAACGAAAGCTGTGAGTTGAATGAGAGCGGAAAGGACTCAAGAAAAAAAAAGCACTCAAATGCGAGCCCTGGGCAGCGGTGCCAGACTGCGCAAGAGTTGCCTGCAAGCTTTATGCGCGCCAGGGCTACCACATTCACTCAGGTGCATCTTGCAAGGATAGTTTTCAATACAACAGTTGAGTGGCAACTGCGCAGTTATTGCAACGTAGACGGAAGTAAATACATGTAAATTATTTAATCTGATTTTCAAAAGCTGCAAAGATGACGGCCCAGCAGCAGCGTTGTCGTCTAGCTGCCTTCGATTTTGACCACACAATTGTCGCCCAAAATACGGACACTGTGGTGCGTGACCTTCTTCCCAATGAAGTAACAGGTCCGAGTGCACGCGCCCTCAACGAGCTTGTCGAGAACTGGACGCTGTATATGGCCGAGATCTTTCGATTGCTGCACGAGCAACAAGTTACTGAGGCGCGTATACGAGACACCATACGATGCATACCCGAGGTTCCTGGATTTGTACGACTCCTAAAGAGGCTGAAGAGGCTCAACTTCCACTTGATCATCATAAGCGACTCCAATAGTGTTTTTATCGACGAATGGCTCAAGGCTCACCATCTGACCGATTGTTTCAAGGCCATCTTCACCAATCCCGCTGAATTCGATGAGAAAGGTCAACTGCATGTGCGACCCTATCATCAGCAGACCGAGTGCAAGCTAAGTGCTAGCAATTTGTGCAAGGGACGCGTTCTAGAGCACTTTGTCATCGAGCAGGATTTGCGCCACAATATACGCTACGACCAGGTATTCTACGTGGGCGATGGGCATAATGACATCTGTCCAGTTTTGCGCCAGCGCGCTTGCGATTTTGCTTGCGCTCGCCAAGGATTTGCCATGGAGAAGCATTTGGTGAAGAATCGCAACAAATTCAAGTTGCGGGCCCAGCTGTTGGTCTGGAAGAGCGGATTCGATTTGTTGGAGCAGCTCAACGCTTTGCCGCAACTCCATTGGCTCAACGAGTGCGAGGATGCGATTGGGTTGCGCAAAGCCGCAGAAGATGCTCGTCGTGCTTCAGCGGCAACAGTGGTTCCAGTCAAGGGAGCCAACATAGAGCCAGAGCAGTAAATATTGATAACCACACACATACACTGCACTGGTTCAACTTTCGTGGGAATTGTTGCAGTGCAATTAGACGTTTTTTTTTTATAATTGGAACGAATGGTGGACTTCAGAAGCATTTGTGGTGTCTACATTTCAACATCTATTCCAATGCATTTCTCGAATGTAGTTGATTAGCCCAACATTATATTTATCTGAGGAGTTGCCTGAATGGTTTGTATTTAAAGCATTTGGAGCACCAGATGCTTTTAGTTTTACATATAAATATATATAAATCCTTTTTGATTTAGAACACCCGACGAGGGGTTCTTTTTTAGTAATTTCGGATTTATTGAAAGTAGATTTCAAGTAACTTACGGCTTGGATTGCACCAAGATGTTGAGTCAGCTAAATCAAAAAGATTTATATATCCATACGTTGCTTACAATGCAATGGTAACAACATAAATATTATATACAAATGTCTATTAAAGTATAAACATAAATGTAATAAGTGTGTATTATATCTAAATGTGATCTACATATATTTACATACATATATATCCTATTGTTCGTGGTAGCAGCAGCTGAATAGAATCAATGTGTATGCGCATACATATTTGTAATGTTATTTTTGAAATATGTATATATGTCTGAGTGTATAAATAAATGTACTATATATTTGTCTATCTACCACCTGCAATCAATGCATTTGATTTCATATTTGCCCAGGCCTGGAAGAGTGAGAGAGAAATAGCGAAGAGGTTGGTGTTTCAGCGCTGGGAGGCTGAGAGTAGGAGGAGTGAGATAAAGTGGCCATGAACATGGGATAAATTCCCATGACCTTGATGGGAATTGTTGGAGAAACATGGAACGGGAGGCAGCCGCCTTGGTTTCCCGAACTATGAAAATAAGTGCACATACATACAAACATATGCAGCTAAAGCTTCCAAAATACTTTTGCGTAACTGTCACTGCGCACTAAATTAATTTTTAGTTTTAACTTTTCCAGCATTCAACATCGAGTTAATTACAATTATTCGATGCATCTACATACGTAAATGAATCGTAAAAATATTGTCGAATCTTACAAAGTTAAGTTTAATTAAGATATATGTATATGTGTGTGTTTTTTTTAAACGGAATAAATAGCCCTCAAAATGAAAAGCAATATTAACGAAGCGAGCCAGGTATGTATGTTTAAAATCACCTTAATAATGTCCTTGTGCAGAACATCTTCCTTAATTTCATTCAAAATCAGTTTGGTAAATTATGAAGTTTGAATATTCACAAAGTATTTTGGTTCATCTCAGATGGACAAATAAAGTATCTCAAATTGTTTTGGCTTCACTGTTATTTAATTTTCACTTCTGATTTAAATGCCATTTGTTAAATTTCTGCAGTCTGAAAAACAGTGTTAAAAAAGTTACTCTAATGCCTTTTATTCCATACGGTTAACAAAAGAAGACCTACATTGTTCGAAACAAGTTTTCGAGATATTTAAAGTATTTAAATTTTTCTAGTTTGTTAAACAACTGCTTAAGAATTACTTTTTAATTTGTTTTATTCGGTTGTTCACGATATTCGTTACATTTATATATACTATATCGTTTGTGTTTATTTTTTTAAATCTGTTAACTTCTTAAGTTCGACAACAGAGCATGTTTCTTTTTCCTCATGTTTCTTAATATTAATGGATTGCATACCACATTTATGCCTGGACCATATACAAATTTTGACAAGCTTACCAAACGTATTGCTAAAAATTTACATAGCTGTCTAAATTAGTTTCTCGATTTTCGTACAGTGTAATTCAAGTTTCGCATCCAAAATCGTGAAGGCAGCATCAAGATTACACACATGTGTGGTGTTTTAGCTTTGGCATACGAACAATTCAACAAATCTTAATACTAGTGTTATTCACATGTTATTTTATATGTATAGAAGTGTAGTATAGCACTTATTCATAATGATAATTGCGTGTTCGGCAATGCGGCCTTACATATTAAGTAAAGCTCTATTTATGGTATGCACGTTCCTATTTAAATAATCAGTTTGTTTGTTGTTAGTAATGTTGTGTGTGTTTTGTTTGTTCTGTGCATTTTTAGCAATAGAGCGAGCGATTGGTTCAAGAGAGAACTGTGTTGGGAGTATATTAACGGGGGCGACTTTATGGGCGCGCTTACGAGCCTAATGGGGACATGCCAATCTGGCGTGGATCGGCCTGTTGTTGAGTAGCGCCGATATCTAAATTCTTTATGAGCATCTGCAACCATAACTTCGTAGATTTGTCATCCTGAAGGCACAAAGAAAAGGTGCCATCACGCAACTGATCCGGCAAGCACTGACCAAGAGCTTTGCGAGCACTGCAAATAAAATTGTTAGTTTACAAACTCATGTAACAATAATGGTATATTTTCGTACCGTGTATTATCGGAAAGGCGCAGATAGCAACGCACCACATGCTTTAGTAGGCGAGCATCTGGTTCCTTAGCCAAATGAATAACCATTTTCCCCTGAAAATACGAAATATTTTAAGTTTTTCTTTAATTTGTTTTGCTTTGACTAATTGATTACCAAAGTAATGGCAACATGTGAGAAGCGTTCATAAGTTTGACAAATGTACGATAGTCCGGATTCATCGAGCAATATCTTTTGTATGATAAATGTAGCTACAGTCTTGCTTAAATCGGAGCCACTGTCCATGATGCTCAGGCACAATGGCACAATTTCAGTAGTAAGTAAGAAAGTGATCACCTCCTGCTCATCAGTCTTGAATGAAGACAGAAATTAATTATATGCATAGTTAGCTATTAATGGGACTTACTTTAACCAAAGCGCCAATCACACCCAAGCTGGTCAGGCGTAAGTATTCAAAGGAGCGTGCCTTTGAGGTAGTTGATAGAAATGGGTATAAGTATAACGGTATTTGAGCTTGTAAAAAGGCTGTGCGCGTTTCCGGATGTGAAGCTACGCACTGCAACAGCGCCAATGCATTGCATACGCGATTCGATTGATGAGCCGTCAAGGTAGGAGGCATAATCGACGGATATATGCTGACAATCTCCTGAAGCAAAGCACATGCGGTTCCAAAGCTGTTCCACAGCATGGGCGCCAAATCGGTTTCGCGCTTCTTGCTCAGCTCGAGCAATGCGGTTTCACGGGTGTCCGGATTTGCCAGTTCATTGATCCATTGATAAACCTAAGAGACGTTTAACTATTTATGCAATTTACTCCTTTACAACATTAAAACTAAAATACATACCTTCTCTTGCTCAGTTTGCTGCTGCTGCTGAGGGTTAATGCAGGGGCTAGGTTGTGCACTCATTGCGCTGTAGCTTCTAAGGTGAAAAAACCATCAATGAAATTTTCAAATGGCGCTGGCTCTTTCTGTAGCATTAATATGCAACGATTTCGCCGTTTTCTACTTTCAGATAGGGTTTTTACTTACATCTTTTAGGCAAGCAACTGAATGATAACAACAGCAACGCCTTTTGCGTACGCCCCGAATTGTTTGCACAGTTACTTACAAATTTTTGCAATTGTGCCGAAAATCAAGATGTCGACTATACACAGAAAAGCAGCTGACAATGCTGGGAGTCGGCTTCTATCAATACCCAGGCTTGTAGTCGATACAATGTATCGATAAGTGAATGCGTCTCTGTTTTGACATTTGACGTGGACTTGCAGCTGTACTGTCAAAGCAAAGTCGTGTCCACGACAAGGCACGAAGCATAGCAAACTAGTATTCGTAGCTCATTCGTGTCGACGTTTTTGAAGAAAGCAGAGGTGTGTTAGATTTTAACAATTTTTTGTGTGTTGTATTTTTAACGTTGTAGTAAATAAAAGCTAAAAAAATAGACAGAAGAAAAATAGGTGCGCTTGTAGACATAAAGGACTATTTCTTTTTCCGTTCTTCAATTCAAACTGCAAAAAACAACTACGAAAAGGCCGACCGATTTCACCTGCGGAGAGCTAGCTCAACCTAATTAACAAGAAACGAACTTTAAATATTACAATTGTAGAAAAACAAATCAATGCAATAGAAATACTTCGCGTACAAAAAGAGCCCTTAAAGTGCAAAAAGGTTACTCTGACCCGAAGATCAACAGAAATTCACCTGTGACGTCGTCTGCCACGTCGCTAGTGTGTTGCTGTTGTTGTTGGGTTGCCGCTCTGTCAATGTGAAAGCAGCGCTCGCGCTCTAGTTAACAACACGCCGATTATAAGACTATCGTTTTGAAAGGAAATCTGACCCACATTCTCTTACTTTTGCAGTTCTAAACTACAACAACAACAAACATGGATAAAGTAGTAAAATTCGCTGAGCCTGGACGTGCTTTTGCCAAGGATTCAATTCGTCTCGTCAAACGCTGCACAAAGCCCGATCGCAAGGAGTTCCAGAAGATTGCCATTGCCACAGCAATTGGTTTCTGCATTATGGGCTTCATTGGTTTCTTCGTTAAGCTGATACACATTCCCATCAACAACATTATTGTGGGCTCGTAAATGTAACCATAAGCGAGGATGCCATGACGGTGGCGAGCAAAACAATAATCATCATTAACTAGCGTACTTTTCACGGATAAACAACTTTTTTTTGTATCTATAGATTATGTGCATTCAACGAATGTATTTACCAGATTTTCATGTATGTGAAATGTTTGCAGTGTTCAAAATTCCATTCATAAATTATGATTACAAACAAAATTAGTTATTAAGTATACGTACCGAAAAAGAATTGAAATTGAACAACTTGAGGTGTTTTGTAGCTTTTGTTAAATGTGAACGAGCACTAAAGGAGTTCTATTAATAAAAACAATTTTTCAAATATTTCATATGGAACCAATTAGTTTATTAAAAGTACAATTGGGCAAATGGCGGTTTAAGTTGCTAGCACTGTAAGCCAGTGTTATTAAGCATACGAATGTGAACAGCTGGTGCTTGCTAAGGTCGTGATCTTATGTCACCATCGACGATGAGTGATATTTATATTTTTCCCATACTATGGAATCATGTATACGGGAACACTAGTATCAACTTGCAGTGTTTGCTGTTTTATGTTCATACACCCGAAAATGTGATTGAAGTGCAGAATGCAGCAACGGTCATAAAAAATCGCAGGCTATCGGCACACAGATGTAGGGCTACAATTGTGCCGGTTACTTTTCGTAATTTGCGACTGCGACCTGTGATATTTTGAGTCAGTAGGTGAAAAAGTCACTGCCCGTAAACAGCTCTTATTATTTTATACAGCACTCGCAAGCATTTATCATTTGTGCAAACAATAACGCACAACGGTCTGCAGTTGTGGAGCCACATAAGTTGCGGAAACATCACTAATAACAATTTTGGTTGCTGTAAGTATGAATAATAAACAAGACATACACAAACTCAAGTGCAAAATGGCCAACCTCTGTGCATGAGTCAACTTACTGCGTCAGTTGGTGTAAAAGGAATGAAAACATTTTATTTTTGAAGAAGTTAGTGCGTTAAATGAAGTACATTGTACCATAATTGGGCGCGTCTTAAAGGGAGCTGCCAAAGAGAAATGTCAGCAAATGCACACAAATGTATGTATGTATGTATATAAATACATTTTGTGTATATGTACAAATGTTAATGCATATATTTATGTACATATTGTAAGGCACAGAGCTTGGCTGTGGTTGCTGTTTTAATGCCTTTTATGGCATTTAATTAAGTGCGCTTTTGAATGTGTAGCTGTGTGTGTCTCCGTCTACTTCCAATACACATACATATGTACATACATACATACATATGTGTGTATGTTTTTATTGAGCCAAAAATCCAACCGCAGCTCATCAGCCAGCATTGATAAACAACACACATGAGTAAATGTTGTTCTTAAAGCTTCAACGACAGTTGCTTTTGCAGTTGTTGTTGTTGTCATCGACGTTGTCATTTTCGCCATTTGGTGGCAATGAGTCAACTAACAAATGCCCGCTGAGCTGTGCAAACATACACACGTATGTATGTGTGTGTATTTATTTTATGTTGACATAGTTTGGTCACAGTCGTCTGAAAATTCAACATTGATCGACTCGCCGCTGCACTGCTAAATATAGAAGTTATGCATATACTATACATAGGCATATTCATCTACTATATACTTACATACATATATACAAGCTTACACTGCACCCCTATGCACACAGAATAAATTGACTAATGCCCGTCTCGCACACAGATCCACACACATCACCCAAAGACGCCATCATGTCCGCACGCAAAACCGCCGGCCGTCGTGCTACAACCAAAAAACGCGCCCAGCGTGCCACCTCCAATGTGTTCGCTATGTTCGATCAGGCACAGATAGCCGAATTCAAAGAAGCCTTCAATATGATTGATCAAAATCGTGATGGGTTTGTGGAGAAGGAGGATCTTCATGACATGCTGGCTTCGCTAGGCAAAAATCCCACAGATGATTACTTGGATAGCATGATGAATGAGGCGCCGGGCCCCATTAATTTTACCATGTTCCTAACGCTGTTCGGTGAGCGTTTGCAAGGCACTGATCCCGAGGATGTGATCAAGAATGCCTTCGGTTGTTTCGATGAGGAGAATATGGGTGTGCTGCCCGAGGATCGCCTGCGTGAGCTGTTAACTACAATGGGCGATCGCTTCACGGATGAGGATGTGTGTATAACAAAACAAGTTCTTAAGCTTTCACCAAATCATGCTGTTTGTTATTTTTATCCTCCAGGTTGATGAAATGTATCGCGAGGCACCAATTAAAAATGGCTTGTTCGACTACCTCGAATTTACACGCATTCTAAAGCACGGTGCTAAGGACAAGGATGAGCAGTAGTATTCCACCTTAATGCCCAAACTGCATACATGATTTAATTTTTTTACTCGCTACCCTTTTGTGTACTTACTAAGCATTTAGAATTATGTATGCATTGTATTATGAAGCGCCTTCACTGTCGTTGAGCTGATAACATACTTTCCCGATTTTTAGAAGTATTAACCCATTTTAAATTTACCAACTCCAATATACACGTATATATATTACGATATTGTGGCAATAAAATATGTGAATTTATATACATACCATATAATTTGTTTATACATAAATTAAACTCTTGACAAAGCACACGCAATTATGTACACATACATATGTACAAGTTAAACACTAACAATTGCTCTCAGACATATTTTGACCTCAATTCCCAAGCGGTTTGAGAAAGATAGAGAGTGTGCACGAGTGAGACCGCAACATATTTGTTATTAAATATGTATGTATGTAAATACATAAAAAATGTTCCAAGGCACTGCAGACCTTCAACAGTATGTAACTGGCCATACATACAAGTATGTATGCGTCTTGAGAATTTTTGAATCCATGTTTCTGTTCGAGTGTACTATTTTATTCTACAACATCTCACATAACAATAATAAATATTGAAATCAAAGAATATTTAAATGTAGCACTCATTTCGTTTAGTTAATTTAAAATTGGTTCACATCCAGTCACTATCGGGCCCAGAGCATGCATCGGAAGAAAAACGCGTATAGATTTTGTAAGCTCTGCTTAATTTTTATTTTAGTCACATTTTTTTTTTTGAAAACACAGCTCCTCCTCAAATTCGTTTTATACTAAACATTTGCATTCTTAGTATATTACATTGAAACTATTAATAGGGCTGATTTATTCAGTTTCTCTGGCATGCACTTAACAATTTTTATTTTACTACCTTGCATTTGTACGCTATCTACAATGCTACCTACACGTATCAAATATTTTTAGAAAATTAATTCTTTGCATCTTATATATTAAAAGGATTTTTATCTGATTGCGAAATCGTCAATGGTTATTAAAATGTACCATGGCGACTTGAAATGGTTTTCAAGGTTTGCTTTGGTTTTGGGTGTTCATTAAAAAACGATTGATTTGTGACCTTGGGACCACCATATTGATGGCATATGTATATGTATGGGACATTTTTCGCTTAACTATTTACAATATGTACAATTACAACAAATTAACTAAAACGTATACAAAATGCATGCATAAAAAACTTTGTCAAAATGGCCTCTAAAATTTGATTTGCAACAGCTTTATCAAAGCTAAATTAATTAAGCTATGCGGCTTATACGCAGATTTGAAAAATGGCTGTAACAAACAGGTCGGATCCTTCGTTTATCATCTATCCGTTCACAGGCTTAATCGGTTTTAATCGGTTGGGGCGCAGTGTTGAAGCGTCGGGCAAAGCGCGCTTCATACACATCTTTCAGCTGCGCCAGCACATTGGCAAATAGTATGGTGCCGAAGAAGACGAGCACAGTACCAATCCAGTGATTGATGGTAAATGGGTTGCGGAAATAGATAATGGAGAAGAGCAGGGAAACAAACTTGCGTAGCGTAACGACCAGAGTGACTGTCAATGAGGCACACTCCGTGGTCAGGACGTAGACGGCACTGATGCACACATACTGTGTGACCACATTGCACACCAAATAGAAGAGCATCAGCGGGAACTTTAAGTTAAGACCGAGGGCGCCCAATACGGGCACCGCTACAGCTTCCGAGGACACGGCGATTCCCAGATGTTGAACAATGTTGTTGTACATGATCAAGAATCCGGGAAGAGGCAGCATATGAGTGAAGAAAAGAGCCTCTTGAGGATGCTTGCCGTAGCGTTTGTAAATAACCTCCTGATAAATGCCCATGTAGGCAGTCACGAGCAGCGCAACTGTCAGCAGTGCAATGCCGACGCCCCACCAGAAGAAGTCCGAGAATGATGTATCCACCTTCAGTGTGGGGTGCGTGTTATCCTTTACATCGCCACTGGACACTAGAGTGCACAATATAATCCCCGCCGTTATCATGGCCACCGAACTATATTGGCGTAGATTGTATCGCTTCTTTAGCAATATAATGCCCATTATCATGTTCGCCATCAGCGAGCCAGATCGAAAGATCATGTGCAGCGGCATAGGTATGTTGAAGTTAAACGCATAGTTGTTACAGACGTTGGCCCCAAAGAACAACACCACCAGCACCACATAGTCCCGGAGTTTGATGTTCGGGCGCACCGTAAAGAACTTTGATGTAAAAATTAGCCCCTCCAGCGCTATGAATAGAAATTGCGAAAAGGTTATAAGGTTGCCGGCACCAGGATCAATTTGTATGATCAGTTCCAGAAAGACCACATTGCTGCAGCAGCCAATGAAGACGAACAGCATGCCTAGCACCGCCTTTAAATTGACCATCTTGCTGAAAGAGGAAATCAATAAAACTTTATTAGTTTGTTATGCGTTTTGTGCGTCCCCTAATTTTTGGTCTCAATTGTCAGCATTACTTGGCAGGTTGCGTTCGAGAGCACGTTCGAGATAAGAGTCCGCTGCCATATATTTACACATGTGTTTTTGATAATGTAATGCCATGCTCACACATTTTCGGAGACAACAACGCTTCTATTGTTGGCTCAAGGCCAGTTAAATGTGACACGGTGCAAGGCAGGCATGATTTGCATATTTGCACTCACCTTTTAATTGATTTAGTCAGAGACGGTTTGTTAAATGTTATTACCAAATTGTAAATCACAGCGTTTTCAGCCACTGGTTAAGTAATTTTATTGTCGTATTTTAGGTTCTACTTTTATTTTTGGATTTTCGTGATGTGGCGCACACTGTACATTTTAAAACGAAATAATAAATTGCTTAATAAACAGCACGCGAGCACAAACCCACACACATTTATGCACAAAACCTGAAATTAATACACACATATATTAACGCTCCCGCACGTTCTTTCAATGTTCTCAGCCTCTTGCCGCTAACCACAGGTTGTAGTAACTGCCGACTACAAACAGCTGGTCTGTGCTCAATCAGCGGATCGGTAAAATTGGAGTGGTAACCTAACCGCCTCCCTTGACAATCGGCATAACAATATTGTTTTTTTTTTTTTTTTTTTTTTTTGGTTTTAAGTTACCACGATACCCTTGGGTATTGTGGGATTATTTGGCCGCCCACTTATTGGTAAAGTGGAAAATGCCACGCGGGTTATTTCGTAGTGTTTGCTTGTCTTTAAAGTTTTACGTTGATTTCTTTTATAAAGTTGACCAGTGAATTGTACTCAGCTGTGGCCGCTTGCTTGAAAAAAGTGTGCACATTGTTGTATTTTGCTAGTGATGTGTAACGTTGACGAGCTGTGTTGTGCTTTGTGCATTCAAAAATAACATGTGTTGCGCTGTCAGGGACGTTACAGCTGTTGCATATGTTATCATTTAAAACGTGCATTTTCGATAGAGTGACTTTGTCGAATGAGTTTTCACATATAAGTCTGTTCATTAGTTTGATATTATTTGGATTTAATTTGCAATTTTCGTTCTGAAACCAAGGCTTGTTCACGGTTGCCGGGAAGAGTGCGCAGTATTTTCTGTCCTTTTCTGCAGCAAAGCTGGAGTACTCCCTCTCCCAGTCCTGATGAATCCTCCTGTATATAGTACACACCGCGTCCTTCAGGCTCCATTTCACCGTCATGAACGTACCTTCTGTTGGTGCTTTCTTTGCTGCCGAATCCACTATGCTGTTTTGTTCTAGCCCTACGTGACCCGGTATGTAGTGCACTTCTACCTCCATTATCCTGGAATTATTAATTTTATTCTTTATATTGTGAGCTATGTAATTGTTCTGCGATGGCTTAGTCAGTATTTGAGCACTGCCTCTACTATCTGTTAAGAATGCTACCCGTGGTATGCCCAGTGAAATAGCGAAATCTAGTGCCTTATCGATAGCTAAAAGTTCGGCGGAGAGTGACGACAGGATTTTGTCCGTGAAAAAACTTTCAATGTGCCCTGACTCCTCATGTAAGAAGGCTGAGCTGGAGTGATTTACGGTGACCGATCCATCTGTGAAAAAAAGCTTAAAACCTCCGCGCCTAAGGGAGTGAACCTTTTCATTAAAAATAAGACGAGTGCTTATTGTGTCTATTGATTTCTTGTTTCTCGCAGCGCCCTTGAAGAAATCCAGGTCTCCTTTAATTTTGGCGCACTTGTCCTGATTTAAAGGGATTTCTTCTATGCGATTGAAAATGTCTGCAAATTCATTGTACACTTTCGAGTAGCTGGTGTTGATTTCGCGACCATACATGAGTGTGTCACCTGCTGGCAGGTTAAAAGCAAAGACTTTCGCCAATTCCTTGGCTGTGAGAAATTTGTATCTGTATTTGGGAGGAAGCTCAGCCGCCATGTGGTATATTACCGGGACCGGCGTGCATTTTAAAAGCCCCAGAGCTTTCCTAAGGTACAGGTTTGTACTTCTTGTGACTTTTTCTAGAGCTGCCTTAGTCAGATTGCTGAAGGACGAGCATGCATATTCCAGTTTGCTCCTAAAAAAAGCCTTGTGTAGCAGAACCCCCTGTTTAGGGCTGACCCCAAATTGGCAGCCGCTTAACAGCCTAATAAAGGCACATGTTCTGTTGGCCTCTGAGATGGCTTGATTGACATGACTGCACGCAGAATTGTTAGCCGAGATGATTCGGCCAAGGTACTTGATTTGCTCCACTTCATTTATGAAAGTGCCTTGATATAGAATATTAAGTTGCTTTTTGTGCGAGCTAAAATGGATGGCCTTTGACTTGGATGGGTTAAAAGTCAGATTAATTTCGCTGCATTCTCTTCCGAATTCTTGTATCTTGTTGCTCAGTATTTCTACGGCATCATCTAGCTTCTTGTGAAAGCACACCAGGAAAAAGTCATCAGCGTATTGAAAAAGTTGACAGTTTTGGTTGTTGACCTTATGGAGCCCTGCCGTGTATATGTTAAATAAAGTTGGGCTCAGGCAACTGCCTTGGCAGACTCCTCTATTTATCTCCACCTTGCTAGAGCCCTTTATAAGGAATCTGCTTCGAAGAAAACAAATTATCCATTGAACTTGGTGCATATCGAACTCCATGCAATTCAGCTTGTATTCCAAGATATCGATATCTACACAATCAAACGCCTTTTGCAGGTCCAGACATGCCGCTGCCACCTGGAAGCCTTCGGCTTTTAGGCATTGAATCTTGTTTACCAGGTCGTTGATGCATAGGGTGGTTGATCGGTTTTTCCTAAAAGCGTACGATCTGTCCGGCAGTAAGCTTCGGCCGGCGATGTGAACTTCAAATTTAATTTTAATTATTCCTTCAATTGATTTAAAAAGTGAACTCAGAAGGCAGATCGGCCTGTGATTTTGTATAAGTGCGGTATCTGCGTTCCTTTTTGGAACCGGAACCAGACGTATATGTCTCCAGCATTCCGGTATGATCCTTTTGAGCCATATGCCGTTCAGTATTTTAAATATATGGACTTTCTTGGCGTTAGGTAAAATCTGCAGCATCCGGTATGATATGCCATCCAGACCGCATGCCGATGCTGGGCTTCTTGTATTCAAAAAAGAAATGAAGTCCTCAAAATCTAAGGAACTGTTTGGCGTGATATTTTGGGTTGTTTGAGACAGTCTCTGTGGTGGATTGCTTGATGTGCCTGGTGTGTCTTTTACTATTTGTAAAAACTCCTCGTCTTCCTCTTTGGACCATGTATTTGCTGTCTTTTTTATTTGTTTGTAAAACTTTAAATGCTTGGCACCACTCCACAATGACTGCGTTGACGTGATATCGCTCAAGAAATTGGTAAAATTTATTCTACGGCAGTTCTTAATGTGGCTTTGCAGTTTTGTTTCCGCCTCCATTAATTTTTCCGCATCTGATAGTTTTTTGGAAAAGTAAAATTTCCTTCTGCTCGCATTTCTAAGGCGGAACAGCCTGTTTGCGTCTTCATCCCACCACTTCTTCGGCACGTATTTGTTGTCGCTGGGTATTGTAACGGTGTTCGCTTTGATAATTGAGCGAACATTGCCATTGAGTGTGTCCAGATCTGAGAACTCACTGTTAGAGAATACCCTTGCGATTCTATTGTGCAGTACTTTTTTGTGATTAGTTGTTGTGGTTAATGGGTCCAGCTGGATCATGACCGGCAGGTGATTACTTTTGGATATTTTGCAGCTTAAAGTCTGCCATCTTACTTCCTGGCTTCTGAAGTTGCAGAAGGTCAGATCCAAGACTGACCCGTGACCTGGACCACGAGAAAAAGTTGGAGAGCCATTGTTTAAGCATATAAAACCGGAGTCCGCGGCGGCCCGTTCAATGCTGTGTCCCTTACTGTCACTAGTAGGACTACCCCATGTGGTAGATTTAGCATTGAAGTCTCCGCTAATTAGGGATGCCTTGTTCAGAGAGGCCGCGAACGCGAAAATGTCCTTAACTCCATTTTTTATGTTGGAGATTGGTGTCGAAGGAGCTGCATATATGCCAAATAGGTTTATGTTCTTTTGTAGGTTGAGTGTTTGTATTCCTATACACTCCAGGCAGTTTTGTATATTAATAATTTTGAATTTTATGTTTTTCCTGACATAGATTCCTACTCCACCATATCCATCCTCTCTTGGTTTTCCGTAGAAATTGAAGTCCGGAATGCTGCATTCAGAGTTATCTCTCACCCAAATTTCTGCAAGAATTGCCACGTCAATGTTATTATTTATAAGGAACATATTTAAAAGCTGTTTGTTGTTGTTGAAAGTCAAACTTTGAATGTTATACTGTAGGATCTTCATATTAATTATTATTTGCCAGAGCCGACGCGTTTCTGATTGAATTGGCGTCTAGCTCTGCGTTCGTGGCGTTTATGAAGTCCCTTATTTCTTCCCAGAATATTCTTGGGGGGCCAGCTCCATTATTGTTATTCTGATCCGTTAAGGAGCCCAGAATCTTTTTCCCCAGCCAAACAAACTTTTCCTGCAGCAAGGATTCGTTTGAGACCAATGAGTCTATGACCGAATTGCGATTTTCATTTCTAACCGGATTTTTATTCTGCTTTGGCTGTTTTGAGGCGTTCCCCCCTCCATTCTTGGCCACTTCGGCGAAAGGCGATATGGCATGCACCTCTCTTGCCACATCTGAATTATTGTGCACGCGGGTGCCCGACTTGTCGACTTGCTTCTTTAAATGTGGGAACTCCCTCAAATTTGCCAATTCTGGAACCCCTCTCTCGAATAGAGATGGAAATTTTTTCCTAGTCTCCTGCTTAGAGAGATTTTCTACAGCCATACATTTTTGTATTGCATACGCCTTTTGCCTTGCTGGGCACTGTGGAGCTGTAGCCATGTGCTCCCCTTTACAATTTGCGCATGCAATGGCTGAACAAATAACTCCCTTCTCGTGCTCCATGCCGCATTTGAAGCACCGCGCGGCTCCCTTGCAATGCTTGGCCATATGGCCGAAGCGCTGGCAACGGAAGCATTGCCGAAACTCAATATAAGGGTGCACCTCCACCTTTGTGTAAAGAAATTTAATTTCTTTGGGAAGCTGGTGTCCCTTAAACCAAACTTTGACTCTCATAGTGGGGACCAGATTCTTTGAATTCGAGTCTCTTTTAAAGATTCTTTCCACCTGCGATATTGGAATATCCGCTGACAAGAGCTCCATCAGTAGCTCGTTAGACATATGCGTAGGGATATTAAACAAAATGCCTGCCTTGGCTATGAAATGCCTAAATATTTTAGGCACAAAACCACGGTCTGCAAGCACTTGCAATGACGCCAGCTCATTCGCACTCTCGGCCGAATGGCAAATAATTTTGCACCTGCCATACCCTATTTTCATTATCTCTTCGATACCTTCAATCTTCTTGGAGCATAGCAGTTCCGTGAGTTCAAATTGATTTATGGCTTTTCTCAACCCGACTTCACAAGCCTTGTCAACATAAACCACATAAGGGCCTTTATGAGCCTCTTCATAATGAAAGTTATTCCAATAATTGTTTTTACTCACGCTTTTTTTTCCCACTTCTTCTTCTTTTTCCTTTAAACCATTTGTCTCCGAATTAACTGACTTACTTGAGTCTTCCTCTTTATCTTTCTTCTTGACTTCCTCCGAAATGCTGTGATTTACCGTTTTGAGCTTTGCCGCGCTTTTTGTTGGCGCGTCATTTTTTCCCGCTTTTGCTCCAGACATCCGACCTGTATCTGTACCCTCCTTCTTTTTAAAAATGTTAGGAGTAATGCGACGGGATATAGGCCCCCTCGTCTCCGTGCTGCCGAGTGAACGTCCAGCTCTACTCCTGCTTGCCATAGTAGCTCGCCTTAATCCACTGCCAGCCGGTACCTACACACTGTTGTGGATGTGAATGGGATTACACTTGATTTATATTTCAAACTATTTATCAAGTATTTATAAATCAGCTATCAAAATTAGGAGTAAATTAATTTTATTTATTTATTTTCTTAGAGTGAGTTGCAAAGTTTTCAGTTATTTTTTTTTTTTCTCCCCCCTTTTAGCAATTTCTTGCTATTAGTTCACTTGTACTTTAAGCACTCGAGTAGATGTTCTCCGAACGGCGTTCAAATTGCAACTGAACAATATTGTTTGTTATTAACTATTGTTCTACAACCGAAATTTGTGGGTGATGGCATATATGGCGCTATCCATCGATACTACGGCATATCGGTTTGCTATCGATGAAGCGTACTATCGTTTTTTTTGTGTGTTGGTAGGCGACGGCAAAGCGTTATAAAGTACGTTAAATTGCAATTTTGAAAAACTAAAACGATTGAAAATGCGTTTTATTAACAAATCCAAACATGACTGGCTCTTAATTGCAACTATATTTTTGTTGTTTGTGTTACAAATATTATTATAATTTTGTTTATTTTAAAAACGTTATACGACTAACTAAGCGTAAAACATATTACTCAAATTGTTTTAAAATGATATTAAAATCAAAATTGATGTATAAATATATATAAAAATGGAAGTATGGATGTATTTATGTATGTATGTTCGCTACAGACTCCGAAACTCCTCAACCGATTTTGATAAAATTTTGTGGCATATTCGAGTCCCGTGGGTGATTCTGTGAAGTTTCGTCAAAGCGATCCACCATTGTTTTCTGGCTTTTTTCTGCTCATTTTCATTTATTTGACAGTCACTTTTTCATTTGTTTGTCAGTGTTCTAGTAAATAAATAAAATGAAAATAAAAAATATATTGATCACAAATAGTTTGTTTTAAGTTTATATACGTCCTGAAATACCGTACACAAGTGCAGAAAGTTTCAAGAAAGTAAAAAACGAGCAAAAAAGTAAGTGGAATGAAAAAAATCAAGGTGACAGTTCAGAATACTGGTTTAATAAATTGTATATACATTTAAAAAAAAAAAAACAAGTTCAGATTGTAGATAACATAGAATTGTATACTGAGAGATTAATATTTGAGTTTAACATGTTTATAATAAGGTGATTTGACAGTCACTAGTGTGTATCTCACATAAGCGGTCTTCGACCTTTATGACGTAGCTAAGTACTATACTATATATAAGTACTCGTATATAACGCGTTGCCCTGTTCAGTTTTACTAAAATGTTTGTAATTTTTATTGCTGAGCTAGTATAGTAAAAAGCTAAGCCAATAATGTCCGATAATAAAGGAAAGATTCTCACATGAAATATAATATAAACATATTTTGCAAAGAATTCCAAAAGATAAAGGTGTGGAATGCTTTACGACTGAACTCGCTAAATGTGAATAATAATAGATTTCAGATATTCTCAAATAAAATAGAAATACACACAAATATATAACAAATAACAAAAAAAAAATACTACGTTTGTAAAACGAATATCGTAAATATTTGAAATTATTTATAAAAAACCCTACTTTGTGGCTTCCGACTAAAGAACAAAAACTACTTCTTAAATAATATCGTTTCTATCAAATTTATATATGTATAGTATATTATGTTGTAATCTAACATGGTGCTTCAAGATATATTATCTGTGTCCGTCATCATGAAATCTTTGTACAAAGTGTTAATACGATAGAGAGTTTAATCTGCACATATAGTATATGGGTATATGTGTTTATAAATAATTAATGCTGTCTTCAATTACTTAGTACTGTTTGCCTAAATGCTGAATTTTTTTTATCTAGTTGCGTTTATAGAGCCCTATCTGCATATAATTCTATGGCTATTGCGGCCATTAACTGTGTAGTGGTCCCTGATCTTGGTTCCTTTGTTTTTATACTCTGTACATGAAATATGCAAGAGTATAGTCGGTTTGTGCGAGCTGAAAATGTAACAGGTAGAAGGAGGCGTGGCAGACCCCACGAAGTATATATATTCTTGATCAGCGTGACAAGACGAGTCGACCTAGCCCTGTCTCTCCGTCTGTTTGTCCGTATGAACACATGGATCTCAGAGACTATAAGAGCTAGAGACACAAAATTTTGCACAAAGATGCCTCAAGTGTGTACTCTATACAAGTTTGTTTTTCATTTTTCGTTCGTATAATCACCTATATCTCGGAGACTATAAGACCTAGGGACACCAAATTTTAGTCTAAGTTGACTTATGAAAATATGCAGGAAATGTGCATTTTGGAATTTCCCTCCATTCCCCCTATCCTCCTTGGAATTTTTCATTGAAATTCAGAAAGTTCCTCTAGTTAGTGATTATGAGTCCGTATGCCAAGTTTCATAATGATATGCCGATTTAACAGGATGTTATAGCCATATATGTCTGTTGTTGCTACTGTGCACAGGCACAGGAGACGCACACAGACAAACACAAACACCCACAAACACATATAAACATGCATAGACACGCATAATTTTTCTACACATATGTACAGAGTATTTCAAAGTCGGGACACCTGACTTTAGCTTTTCCACTTGTTTATAACATGTTTGTTTTTTTCTGGGTTTCATTGTGTCTTCATGTCTAGGTTTCTTTATTAGACATGCTCGATTAACTTTTCAGTAAGAATTGTGCAACGGCGCAAAATGCACGCAGATCGTGGTAACTTGCTGCTTTTAGCCCTGTGCCTGGCCACAATCTCCGTGGGCTTCAGTCAGGTATAATTATTTAATTACAATAAATCCGTGTAAATACAAGGGTAGTTGATCTCAACCCAATATACGCAGGATTTTTTTTTCGTATTTTAATCGAGGCTGTATGCAACTTTTAGCTTGTTCTAAATATTGATTAGTTTCTGTCAAGGATTATATTCTCTATACTAATACTAAACTAGTAATACTATGCCGTAATGTGTAGTCGAAAATGAATCTAATTGGGTAATTGTGTGTTTTAAGAACCGTTCGTATTAATATAATTACCAATAGTTAAAATGTTAAACAGTGGTACCTCCTAGGCAGGGAAGAAAGCAGTTGATCACAATTTCTTTTTACCATCGTAGCGTTCCTTGATGACGGATGACACATACCATGCTGGCGTTGTGGAGTTCCCCTTGCTGGAGGGTACGGTTAACCAACGCACCTCAGCGGCAGCCAACGATTTCATTTCCATTATCGAGTCAAACGATGCGGCCGACCTAGACATACTCGTTTTTCCCGAGTACGTTCTAAATGGTTTGGACACAGCAACCTATGTGCCCGATCCGAAACTTAACATTTCGCCGTGCGTATCTCCAGACTATGACACCTTTTTTGTAGAGCTTTCTTGTGCTGTGCGTTCAAGAGGAATTTACGTGCTCTTGAATGTGTTGGAGAAGCAAAAGTGTGGCAAGGATTTGGGCGACCCCACACTTAATCCCTGTCCGGCCAGCGGGGTGCAGTATTTCAATACCAATGTGGTGTTCGATCGGCAGGGTCGTGTCATTGCACGATACCGTAAAACGCACCTTTGGCGCAACGAGTATTATTCACGAGCTGTGCTACAAACGCCAGATGTGGTTACCTTTACCACTGACTTTGGCGTAACGTTTGGAACCTTCATCTGTTTCGATATGCTGTTCTATGAGCCAGCCTTGAAGCTAGTGCGCGAGCTCAATATCACGGACATTATCTATTCTACCTACTGGTTCTCTGAGCTGCCATTCCTCACGGCTGTGCAGCTTCAGGAGGGATGGGCCTTTGCCAATAATGTCAATCTGCTGGCGGCCGATGGCAGCAAACCCGAAACGCGCACCACAGGCTCGGGCATCTATGCGGGTCGCGCCGGCCGCCTGATTGCGGCTATTTACGAGAATTCAACGAAGATTCTGCTCAAGGCACGCTTGCCTAAGCGTCGTGCAAATGGAGTGCCTGTGGCAGAGCTACCGGCAGAGGTGCTCCCGCTGTTCCAACCGCGTCAGGTGACCCCGCGTTATACAAAACTGGGACTCTTTCGTGACTATAATGTGGATCTGTTTAGCACGGAGTTGTTGCCTTCGGACTTTAGAAGCGAGCAGCGTCGACTCTGCCACAAACCCTCTGAATTTTGTTGCGAGTTCGATGTAGCTCGGCAGTTTAGTGGCCTGCCCAGTGATCACAGTGCTTATCGGTATCGCCTGGCCGCCTACTTTGGCGACGAGACAACGTTCATCCGGGTCGATCGCAGCGAGCAGGCCGTCTGCGCCCTATTCGCTTGCACAGATGCCGAGCTGGCGAGCTGCGGTCGCATCTTTCCTGGCAGCATCCAGGTGGCTAATGAATATTACTTCAGTGCCATCAATGTTAGTGCAATTTTTCCGGCCGCCCCTCGTCGCCTCATCATGCCCAGCACTGTCGATGGTGTCATGTTGCCGCTACCCGTGGCCCAGTATAGCTGGACAGAGAAGCAGGGTCCTTCCGGCAATACTTCAGTACAAATGGTATTAACAGCGCCCAAAAACGATCTGCTCACCTTCGGCATTTGGGCGAACTATTATACCGAGTTGCCAAGCTTGCACAACTTGGATCATATGCACCCTGGCAGCTCTAGCACTGGAACTGGAGGCAGCCCTAATGCTAACGGCACTACCAACGGTACCGGCGTAGCAGCTGTTTCTGCTTTCCTCTCCACGTTCGCTCTCTTCCTGACTGGCTTCGTTATGCTGTTATGCTGAGCTTGTTGTGCGCCTTGCATTGAATAAACCGATTTTTGTTGCTCAGATTTAATTTTTTGTTTTTGAATTTTCCGCCGTTCAGGCTTCCTTCTCGCACTGCACAACCTCCCACGCCACCCCCCCGCTAGTCATTTGTCGGCTGTGCGTCGGCTGCATGTGTAGAGTTTCTTCCAGCGCGTGCGCCGACCCGCACGCATGGCCAGCGTGTTGAGCACTTCCAACAGGTAGCCGACGTCATCGTCATCGTCAACGTCGGCGTCGGCATCGGCATTGGCTTCAACATCGGCAGTGCTGTCGCTGCTCATGCAACAGTCATCGCTGTTCATAATGAGGCTGTTGCTGTGGCGGCCGCCCGTTGTGCTGTGGCTTCGATTGCGGTCGCTAGGCGCAAAAGCTTGTGCTTGCGCTTGTGCTTGGAGCTGTCCTTGCGCGGGTATTTGACAGTCAGCAGGCATCCTTCCACATGCAGCGACGAAAGCATAATGCCCATCATCATTATCATCATCATTTTCAACGATTGCGGAGTGCGTTTAACATACTCGTATAATTATTCTCCCTGCCTCTTTCCACAAATAAACGCACCGCTGGATCTTTTACGAGTACTTTTGTTTGCCATGGCACTACATATTAAAGTGAAATATCGCGATCTGAGGTCAAAATTATTAGCATTTTTGCTTGCCATAATAGTAGTATTTTAAAAATACAAATACTTGAAAACAAACATTCTCCTTTAGTTCATGCTTTCTTGTTGCACTGCCTTTAGGGTTAGTTGTGAGAAATAATAAAATAATAAGTTGGTGATGTTCGTCTATCCGACACATAGAATTGGTTATCTTTTGCATCTTTTTAACAAGCAAATACAATTTGTTTATTATAATTTTTTTTGGTGCCTTTACGCATAAAGTTGCTTATAAAACAATAACAAAACAAAACGTTTTCTATTAACAACCACATTGGAAAAAAGGCTTAAGTTTTTTGTTTTGAAAAGTAAGGTCAAACGCATTTAATAGAATCACTTTAATAATTATTTTAAGCACTGCTCGTAACCATTTTAAAAAAACAATTACATGAATTTCATTTAAAAAAAAATGTATAAACAAGAACGGAATGCTAGAGTCAAGCTGGCCCAACTCCCGCTCCCACAAAATAAAATTTATAAAATATGTTAACAAAATTTGTTTTTTAAATGAAGTTAATTAATGTAATTGAATTATGACAAATATGTTTGTGTATTGCTTCAATAGCATCAATTCCCATTGGGATTGCGGCTATGTGTGTTCATTTGTGCCTAGGTGTGTCTGTGTGTGTGTGTGTTGTTGAGGCAAAGAAGCAACAATAACAACAGCTACTGGCAGAGCATGGGCAGAGATTACATTTCTGCCTATAACTCAATTAAGAGTTGACCTGTGAAACTTTTGACATGGGAACACATAAGTAGTAAGTCGATGTTATTGGTTATTCTAGCTCTTAAGCTTTCTGAGATCCCTGTCTTGTCATACTATCAAGCCTCCTTCTTTGTGTTATATAAAGGATAAATGAGTATAAGAGTCAAGACTAGAAATACATGTTTATTGAATGATGAAATGAGCTGCTATTATTATTTTCTTAAAATCTATACACACAATTTCTTATTATTTTATTCTTGAGGTTTCACTTCTTTTTCCACGAAATGACATTAATAATGCGTACTGAAAAGCAGGACTACAGTTATTTTGGTCGGGCACTCCAAAATGCATGTTTATTGAATGATGAAATGAGCTGATATTAGGTAGGAAGGTGATTTTGGCTCAAATCAAGAAATCTGCTGGGCCGCAACAATGCGACTTAGAAGTTAATAGAAGCTTCAATCCCACGTCCACTCGTAGATGTGATTGCCATATCTAGTTTTCGGTTATACTTGTAGTAGAGCCTGCTGTGCCGCTTTTCCAGGCGATTAAACTTAATTTGGTGCAGCAGTTAAAGGTAACCTTTTTGGGCAGTTGCCACGCCCACGTCCACATCGCATAAATTCAATGTGGCAAATTGCTGGACCCGTGAGGTCCAACAAAAATGTTGGTCGTTGGTCGCAGGCCGTTGTCCGTTGTCCGTGTACCCGTGTGCCCGGCCTCGAAAGTGGAGGGATGCTGGCTCGGTTTGTTGGGGCTGTGATAGTCCATTGTCAGGCAACAGGAGACTATTTTATATGCCTTGATGTACGTGTTCGTAACTCTCAGGGCCATTGTATGTTCAGCAACTTTACGAAATTTATCCTAAAAACGGGGAGTGGATTTTTCAAACTTATGCACTCGTGTGTGTGTGTGTGTTTAAATGTGAATGAAAGTGCGCACAATTGCATTTGGGCTCTGAATTGATTTTGCTGAGCTGAACCATGTCCAATGCTACAGTTTTCCTTGGCCGTTATTATCTATAACTATCAAGCCAGCAACATTTAATTGCACCTAATTGTGTGCTCAATAAGCGGCTCCACTGCTGAGTGCACTTTTGGTCAAGTGCTTGGCAATTTGCTGTAGCTTTTTTCTTTTATTGTGACTTTCACTTTTATCCACAATTTTAAACACACACACACACTATTTACGCTGGCAAGCAAAAAATATGCAAAATTGTTATGCGATTTTAATGGTCGAATCAAAGTGCATAGAGAAATCAAAGTGCTGTCGTCCTGTCGCACAGTGGGCACCATGTTGGCAAAAATGAGAAATGCTTGACACTATAAGAACTGCTCAAATCATTTTTATTTCACTGATATCAAAAGATCTAGTTTAATCACATCACAACCATCATGCCAGAACGCATGGTTGAACAAATTTCAAGCTTACCATATAATTTGCTAATTGTCCTTCTTAGGACAGATCTTAGAAAAATGAAAAATACTTTTTACTCTTTCCTTTTCTTGGACTTGGTTGGGTCAGAAATCCTCCTTGCATCGTCTCTCAAATCTCTCTGTTACATTGGTGTTTGTAAATTATTAAATTATATTGATCATCTCTTATGTTAACTTAACGGTCTAGACTACTACTTATTAGGCGCATTTTGTGCTTATTTTAAGAATTATTTGTATCGTTTTTAAATATGTTTTTGGATAATTTAAAGGTCATTTTGTTACATTTTATCACTTAAAGCTTGAGCTTCATTTAAACGAATACTTCTTTTTATCTGCTTCTTATTATTATCTTTTATTGCATATTTTTCATCTTCACTTCTGTTTTGCTAGGTCTAATAATCTGTGAATCGGGGCATAGCTCTCTTTTCATTAGATTTATGTTCTCCATTGTATTTCTTTCTTCCATTTTTTAACATCGATAGCTTTATTTGTCGATGAAATAAATAAAAAAATAAAATAATCCTATGATCCATGATTAATTTTCATTCATTTCCCCTCATATACATAGCGTGTAAGAACTTCCTCTAGGAAATTACCACTACATTTAATAAATTCAATTTCTGATCTCTATTTCTTAAACTACTGTTCTTATATGCTAACAATCGTATCTTATTGTGCTTATCTGTTGGGTTTCTTGCAGCTATGTTACCTAAGTATTACCCATGAAGGGATTTCGTTTTATCTATGGTATTGTAGAGAAGCATGCGGGCTACTCAAAATATCGGTAAAAGATTGAGAACTGGTTTTTATCAGCCAGTTATTTTTATCATGTGTTTTTGTTTGGTGGGAAACAGTTTAAATTTGTTTATGCGGTTTACACATTCGAATGTTAGGCCAGTCCAAAAAGATCTTACTTTTTGCTTATCGTGGCCTAACCTGAGACCTTTATCATATAAATGATACAATATGTACTACACTATTAATACTATATATGCTATAAATAGATTTTGTATTGCATTTTTTTCAAGGTCCAGTACCAGAAACAGTTCCCTAAACAGATAAATTGATGAGTTGATTTCTTGTTGGGACCACGGTGCGATGCTGTTTTTATCGGCTTTAAAATGTTATTATACTTTACATATTTAATAAAGGCAAAAAGGCAGCGGCATCAGCAATAACAACAAAAACAACACCAAAAATGACGATGGCGACGCTGGCGAGGACGCTGAGGACGACTTGAACACAATAAAAAATATGAAAATCAAGTAAAATCATTTCCATTCAAATTCAAATAACAACGGCAGCGCAGTCGCAGTCGCAGTCACCGTCGCAGTCACCAACGCTGTCACTGTTGCTTTCGTTGTTGCTGTTGCTGTTGTTGTTGTTGCTGTCGATATGGTCGCATTTGCCTAAAGGGGGCTGCTGAAAACTGATATTCAATTCAATCAGTTCTGCCCGGGGCCTTGAAGGCACCCAAGCAGGTGGGCGGGCAGGCAGGGATGGTCAGGCGTACGGTATGCTAAGCCTTCGGCATAGTGTGTCAGCAGGGAATAATGCTCAGAACATACTTGAAAGGGGGAGCCGGGGGCGGCACTATGAAGCTTTAGCGCGCATCGAAGGTTGTCGACAACGTTTTGATTTTGTGGCCTGTCGTCAGGCGTTTTTGGCATTGCATTCTTTTGTGTGTTCGTTTCGTTTCTGTTTCTGTTTCTAATGCTGTTGTTTGTGCTGTTGCTGTTGTTGTTGTTGTTGTTTTTGTTTTTGTTGGACCTGATGTTTCAGGTATTGATTCAGTCAGTGTCCAGCCTCAAGACGTACCTTGGTGGCCATCGATTGCTGGCCGCAAATCTAAATCGGAGCATTAACAAGGCTCGCTCGCATTTGAACTCCTCTACAAATTGTGTGCCTTCAATTTAACAGTTGATAACACAGTAAGAAATGGCTAATCAGTTAAAAGCTTCTTAATATGGTTAAAAGTATACTATATGTCTACAAATGGGTGCGTACTTTTGAGTAGTTAACTCTCGATAAAATCAAAACGACAATAGAAATTAAATATTTACATTAAAAAGCAAATGGTGCAGACTAAGTTCTCTAGATCTGTATCTTCCCAAATCCTGATGATATGCTAATCTGAAATTCTGAATTTATTATTTATTTTATTTCATAAGTTTTCAAATGTGAGCTCTATCGAAGCAACACTGCAGAAATATAACAAAACTACAATTATA